TAAATGTTATAGCTGCTACGAGGAGCAGCGCAAAGCTGATTGGGCGATTATGAAGGAAATGTCGCGGTACATTTGGCCAAAGGACAGCTTCGGCGACAAGATGAGGGTCATGATCGCGGTTGGGTTGCTGGTCGGTGCCAAGGTGCTCAACGTACAGGTGCCCTTCTTCTTCAAGGAAATCGTCGACTCTCTCAACATGGACTTTGGGACCACTGGCGGGACTGTCACGGCTGCGGCTGGGGCTATGATTCTAGCGTACGGCGGCGCGAGGATAGGAGCTGTCGTCTCGCAAGAGTTGCGAAATGCGGTTTTCTCCTCGGTGGCTCAAAAGGCGATCAGACGGGTGGCCACCAAGACGTTTGGCCATCTGCTCAATCTGGACTTGAGTTTCCACTTGTCCAAGCAGACAGGTGGTTTGACGAGGGCGATTGATAGGGGTACCAAGGGTATCAGCTTCCTGCTGACGAGCATGGTCTTTCACATTGTGCCTACCGCGCTCGAGATCACCATGGTTTGTGGCATCCTCACTTATCAGTTCGGCTGGGAGTTTGCTGCCATCACGGCTTGCACCATGGCGACGTATACCGCTTTTACCATCTGGACTACGGCATGGAGGACAAAGTTTAGGAGGCAGGCAAACGCGGCAGACAACCGCGCTTCGACGGTCGCGGTGGACAGTCTGATCAACTACGAGGCGGTCAAGTACTTTAACAATGAAAAGTACGAGATTGGGCGCTATGACCGGGCCCTGCAGCAGTACGAGAAGAGCAGCATCAAGGTGGCGACTTCTCTGGCGTTTCTGAACTCTGGACAAAACATCATCTTCTCTTCGGCGCTGACGATCATGATGTGGCTGGGTGCCAAGGGGATCGTGGCGGGTACGCTGTCAGTGGGTGATCTGGTGCTCATCAACCAGTTGGTGTTTCAGCTGTCGGTCCCTCTCAACTTTTTGGGGTCTGTCTACCGCGAGCTGAGGCAGTCACTTCTAGACATGGAGACTCTGTTTAATCTGCAAAAGGTCAACGTCAGCATCAAGGAGAAGGAGGGTGCCAAGGCGCTGGCTCTCCCCAAGGGCGGCGAGATCAAGTTTGAGGATGTCAACTTTGGATACTACGAGGACCGGCCGATTCTCCGGAATTTGAGCCTCACTATCCCCGCGGGCAAGAAGGTTGCTGTGGTCGGACCGTCTGGGTGTGGCAAGTCGACGCTGCTCAGGTTGCTGTTCCGCAGCTACGACGCCCAGAGCGGGAGGATCTTGATTGACGACCAGGATATCAAGGATGTTACGCTCGAGTCTTTGAGGAAAAGCATTGGTGTCGTGCCGCAGGATACACCGCTGTTCAACGACACTGTCGAGTTGAATATTCGGTATGGGAACATGGACGCCCCGGCCGAGGACGTCTTTGCCGCGGCGCAGAGGGCGCACATTCACGACAAGATTGAGTCTTGGCCCCACGGGTACCAAACCAAGGTTGGCGAAAGGGGGTTGATGATCTCTGGTGGTGAGAAGCAGCGGTTGGCGATTTCGCGGTTGATTCTGAAGGACCCGCCGCTCTTGTTCTTTGATGAGGCGACGAGCGCGTTGGACACGCACACGGAGCAGGCGTTGATGAGCAACATTAATGAGATTTTGCGGGGCAAGGAAAGGACGAGCGTTTTTGTTGCTCACAGGTTGAGGACGATTTATGATGCTGATTTGATTATTGTACTGAAGGAGGGAAGCTTGGTGGAGCAGGGGACGCACAAGGAGCTGCTGGAGAAGGGGGGGTTGTATAGCGAGCTGTGGAGTGCGCAGGAGAGATGGGGGGAGGAGGAGGAGATCAACGCTGAGAAGAAAGAGTAGATGCGTTTGGACATAGTGTATAAGGTAATTGTATGTACATCTGTACACCACCTTTTCAACATGAAGTAGTAAAACTGATTCATACCTTTAATTTGGTGCTCATGGCCACGGCATAAACAACCTGAAAGGGCAAGCGCGAGTCGGTTCAAATCGGCCTATCACCTCGGCCGGGAATTATGGCGAGCACGGCATGACGTCTTCCACTCGGCCACCACCACCCCGAGCCAGCACATGGCACCCCGCACTGTCAACTCCGATGCCGCCGGATGCAAGAGCGGGAAGCCATATTTAGTCGTCCACGGTATCGGTATATGCCTACTTGATTCCCATCTACCTTAACCTCGTCTACTGGACTCCAGCCGACATCACCACCTACTAAACCTTCACCATGCCCACCCGCGTCCCCCCCCAAGGTGTCTACGTCCCCTCCCCGACCTTCTTCCTCCCCCGGGACTCCTCCTCCTCCCCCGAAAGCACCCACGGCCAACTACCCGTCGACATCCCCTCCCAAACATCCCACTCCATCTTCCTCGCCCGGTCCGGCATCACAGGTCTGGTGTTGCTAGGCTCGACAGGCGAGGCGATCCACCTCTCCCGCACCGAGCGCGCCTCCCTCGTCTCGGGCGTCCGCAAAGGTCTCGACGAAGCCGGGTATCCCAACTACCCCATCATGGCCGGCGTCTTGACCAACGGCATCGACGAGACCCTCCAATGGCTCGACGACTACGCCTCCGCCGGTGCAGATTGGGGTTTGGTGCTCGTGCCGGGGTATTTCGGCGCTGCTGCTACCACGCAGGAGGGGATAGTGGAGTATTTCAGGGAGGTTGTGAAGCGGTCGAGGATACCGGTGCTGGTGTACAACTACCCTGGGGTGACGAACGGGGTGGTGGTGCAGCCCGAGACGTACACCAAACTCGCGGGGTTGGAGAATGTGGTTGGGGTGAAGATGAGTCATGGGAACGTGTCGATTCATTTGCAGGTTGGGCTTGACCCGGGGATTGATCATGAGGGGTTTAGGGTGTATAGCGGGTTTGGGCAGCAGTTGGGGCCGGTGGTGTTGTTTGGGGGAGCCGGGGTGATTGATGGGTTGGCGGGGTTTTATCCGAGGACGGTGGTGAGGTTGATGGGGTTGGTGGAGGGGGGGGAGCTGACGGGGGAGAGGAGGAAGGAGGTTCAGAGGTTGCAGTATGTGGTTAGTAAGGCGGAGGAGTTTATTGTGAGGTATGGAATTTTTGGGATTAAAGAGGCGGTGTTTAGGGTTACAGGGTTGGGGACGCTGGAGAAGGGGAGACCGCCGCTGCTGGGGGGGCTGGCAGAGGGGGAGTGGGAGAGGGGGAGGAAGTTGTTTTTGGAGGATATTGAGAGGGTTGAGCAGGAGTTGAAGGGGACGTGAGCAAGTAATACTTTATTTGGTCAGGTACAAGTTGTGACATACTGATGGAGCGTGAAGAACCACTCCAAACATCGGGACTACATACACTTCTAAGCTGGACGGGCATGACCAAACTCATATCCGATGAAACATGTAAAGAATTCAAGGCTACTGTGAAGTGTTCGCTGCGTTCCATCAATACAAACTCTTCCCCCCTTCTGTTTTTTTTAATGAGTTTCTTCCCTTTTTTTCATTCTCCTTCTCCTTCTGCTCAGGGCGCGAGTACCTAGCTTACACTACACCTGGCAAACACTACCAAGCTTGGGGCCACAGGAGGCTCTCCACAGTATCCACCAACCCATCTACCCTCCATCTACGTTCAACCCAATCCAGCTGCCCTTGGCTAAATACTGTAGCCTTGCCCATTCCAAAGTCTGGGCCACAGTACCCATGTATTCGCGCCGAGAAGGTTGCCCCCATGAGCGTGTGTAGAGTCCACACTTCTTGATTACCTCCCATAAAGAACTCCAAGAACTCCTGCTCTCTGTTAATCGAAGCCGCAGCCTGTCTATCCAGGGATGGCGCATTGACTACCCAGCGCCCACAGCCATCGAGCCAGCTAACATCAGTGTCAACGTCGATTACTCACAGCATAAAGATGTCCTGTGGGTCTATGGCCCCTCCCAACACTGCACCGTCCTTCTTGCCGTTGGCCCAAAGCGCGTTGGTAATCTTCAAATCAGCGGGATTAGAATCTTGCCAGTCATCACAGACCACACAGTTCTTTTGCTTCGCCAAGTACTCGCCGACAAATAGACGATAGGCAAAGGGCCTATAGAGTCCTCGTCGGGTACCCCAGACTTTTGGACTCAAAGTCTGCCCCCACTTCACTTCGGGTTCGCAGTCGTTCGGGTACTCGGATTGGACATCAATGTCCCCAAGAGTGAGCGAGATCGTGATCGTCTCAAGGTTAGTGTTCGACTATGGGAGCAGGCGATCGGGAAGATGGCGGCCGAAGGTGGGCGGATCCCTATACCTCCCAGTCAATGAGTATAAATCCTCTTCTCCTCCTCCTGGCTTCCCCAGTTCCGTGAAGCGGTGGAGGTGGATGTGAAGGTGTTGAATCAACCGCGGGGGGAGGCCGCATCCACCAGGCAGACGGGACGATTTTGGGACCTGTTCTTCCTCTTGTGAAAATACACTGTCAAAACTGCAAGAAAGTGTGCCGGCTCCATAAATCGTGTCATCTCCATGAATGACAGGACGACGGATCCATTCGAACACCGGTAACCTCTAGTCCTGCTCAGCGTGTACTTGGCCCACCATCTCGTAGTTCTGGCTCAACACATCTGTTTTGGGGTTGAAGTAGGCGACTGCTTCCAGTCGCCTGCCCACAAGATCGTGTCGAAAGGACAGTCGATAGTACAACTTCATCGCTCGTTCGCGGGCTCCTCTACACACATGAAAAAGAGGCTGGGGAGGGCTGACGTTCCAACCGATTTTGGGTTCGTAGCTGTTTCCTAACCAGTCCGGCATCCTGGACAACAATTCTCTCAGGCCTTGTCGACTGGTCCATCGAAAGAAGGGATGATCGGGATGGAGGCGGGGCCTCTGGCGGTTCGGAAATTTCTTGTCCACAAGATTGACCTCGACCAAACGAGAGTTTGATTCCTAGTCAAGTAGAAACTCATCCCATATCTTATCTTGAAGTTCAACTGGAAGCGACCTAAACCGGTGAAATATGGTCGGGGTGGTCGCGACGGCCATTTTGGTCTTGATGGTTGCAATTGTCTGCTGAGTACGGATATCGCGGTCAAACTGAAAATGATGCAAATGCCAACTAGCAATGGATATTTGACTTGGTAGTGGGAAGAAAACTGGAAGAGAGCACACTCAGCACAGAGTTGCGTTTGTGTGGGCCACCCGCAGGTCGCTCCGTTGCTCCTGCAGCTCTTTGCTGTCGTTGATTCCTTCCACAATCCAGTCAGCAACGGGAGTATAAGCTCGCACTTACCCGTTTCTTTTACAGTGGGCGAAGCCACTGCCCTCCTTCTGCCACCCGATTCAATGTTCAAGCAAGTCCTTGTGTAGACTCTCTATGAGCTAATAAGGCGGGGCGACTGTTCTTCCGGCTCGGCCAATCTCAACAAGGCCTGTTGACTCATATCGACCACATTCTGGTCTTCTTTTCAAGAAACCAACCTTCACTTCCATCATGCCTTCCAAAACAGCCATTCTAGTCGTTGACATCCAAAACTCCCTGGCGACAGATCCAGGCACCAAAATACCTCATGCGGCCCGGGTCTGTGAGGCGGGAACCAGCATTCTTCAAGTAGCTCGGCAGATTCGAGACACCCGAGTACGGGAACATAGTCTTGCTCCGGGCTTCATCACCGTATTTGTGCAGCACCAGGAGTCGCCAGAAGAGGGGCTGTTGGTCTTTGGAACAGACCCTTGGAGTTTGGTCTTCAAGCCACGACAAGGTTTGGAGAATGGGGAGGACTTTGTTGTCGCAAAATCAGTCCGTACGTCTCTTGAATTCCGCTGTCCTTGAGCCAGAGCTAAGTTCTTGCTTGTGACGTAGGCAATGCTTTTTCCAACCCGGTGCTTGAGCAGATACTCAGAGAGCACGGCGTGGAAGAGTTGGTCATCTTCGGCATCCAGAGCGAATGCTGCGTCGAGGCCACCTGCCATGGCGCCATTGATGCTGGCTTTGCCATCACACTGCTTTCAGGGGCACACTCGACGTATCCCGAACCCGAGGCCAGACCAGAAGAGATTGAGGCACAGGTAGAGGCCCGTGTGCGGGCAAGGGGAGCGACAGTGGTCAGGTGGGAGGATGCAGTCGAGGTATGGGAGAAGAAGGGCCAGGTCCTCGGACCATATCAGTAGGGATTGAGTGATAGCTAGCCGCTCACAGACTCATCATACCTAGGTACCTCAGATACTGACTCAACAAACACCTCAGCTATGACTTCAAGATAGGGCATTGCGCTCCGACCTCTAGCTAGGCAGGCATGCCATTGCTTAGCTACCTACCTTCTTTGGAGGCATACTATCGCTATGCAGTGCCACGATCGAATGTAACGTGGGGTGTTGCCTGTCAGTTGTGTGAGGAGAAACGACAATGGAAAGATTCTAGAACACCAACCACTGCAGTCCACCACACCCATTTCGCAAGCATGGAGAAAATGCACGCAATACTATATCCCTGGGACCTTGCAGGAGGGTCTTTGGCAAACAAAAGAGACTATCGAGCGCCCAAACGACCAGGAATGGACATTACACTTCGATTTCAGCGCACGCAATGCCAATCGTCTTGTCGGGAGCACTCTGGATCGGGAAGGTCCTTTGACAAGCAGACCAGCGCCCAGAACGTTGCCGATGCGCGCGGATGGCCCGGTTCGGCAGTTGGAGAGGCGCTTGGCAGCCATCCATGTCACGCTCCCCGACCTCCCCTCACTCACCCCACGGCACGGGATGGTAGGCACACGACAGTCACACAGACAGAATGCATGAAGCCCCCCCTCAGCTCACCACCACATCGACAGCTTGACCCCAACCCGGATACTGGGGAGGGGAGCTCGACGACGTTTCATTCGATCAGCAATGTCGTGATGGACGGTTGGAAACCACCTCCCAGATCTGTACCATCTGTCCGTGCCCTTATTCTTGGACCTTGGTCCTGCAGTTCTTGGGAGGGGAGAAAGACAATGTCGTGATACCTCATTGTGCATGTGAAGATCACCGCAGTGGCCGGTACCCGGTCGATGTTATCTTCAGAGGGAGGGGGGCCAGGTATGATGAGAGGAAGACGGCGAGAATCTCAACATAAAAGAGTGTCGATCCTCACGTCGTCAGTCTGTTTTGGTTCCTCATCCTCTTCATCGTCCGCCCCCCAGACAATTAAGCAAGGATGAAGCTGTCAACCGCCATCAGCCTTTTGGCTGGTGCCGCCCCTCTGGTCTCGGCCGCCGCCGCTCCCAAGCTCGAGCGCAAGATGAACTATGATGGGTACAAGGCCTACAGCATTGCCACCCATCATAACCCGGCCGCCATCAAGGCAAAGCTCACCAAGTTTGCCGCCATCCCCTTCAACCTCGACAACGATGAGCACCTCGACATTGCCATCCCTGCCGAGGAGGTCGCTGCCTTTGAGGCCCTCGGTCTCGAGACCCAGCTCATGCACGAGGATCTCGGTGCTGATATCGCCGAGGAGGGTACCTTTGCCCCCTACACCAGTATGTTTTGCTCTTCTACTTGTCTTTTTCCTGAAAGGCTTCCAGGTTCTAACAAACAAGAAGGCGTCGGTGCCCAGGCTGTCCCCAGCTTGACCTGGTTCAACTCGTACCACGCGTACGCCGACCACATCACCTTTTTCAACGACCTGCAGGCGTCGTTCCCCAACGCTTCCGAGATCTTCACCATCGGCAAGTCGTTCCAGGGCCGTGACATCTTTGGCATCCACATCTGGGGCTCCGGCGGCAAGGGCTCCAAGCCCGCCATCTACTTCCACGGCACCGTCCACGCCCGCGAGTGGATCAGCGCCAAGGTCGTCGAGTACATCACCTACCACCTCCTCACCCAGTACGCCACCGACGCCGCCGTCCGTGCCATCCGTGACAAGTTTGACTTTTACATCCTCCCCGTTGTCAACCCCGACGGTGTGTCCGCCCCCAACCCACCTTTTGTCTTCACAAATGACTAACAAACGCCCCAGGATTCGTCTACACCCAAACCAACGACCGCCTCTGGCGCAAGAACCGCCAAACCCGCTCCGGCCAGTCCTGCGTCGGCACCGACCAGAACCGCAACTGGAACTACCAGTGGTCCGTCACCGGCGGCGCCTCCACCTCGCCCTGCTCCGAGACCTACAAGGGCCTCGCCGCCGGCGACACCCCCGAGATCAGAGCCCTGACCGCCTTCACCACCACCCTCAAGAACAGCCGCGGCATCCGCCTCTACATCGACTGGCACTCGTACGGCCAGTACATCCTCCTGCCTTATGGGTACGACTGCTCCGCCCGCGCGTCCAACCACGCCGCCCAGAGCAGTCTCGCCTCTGGCATGGCTACTCGGATCAGACAGAGCTACGGCACTACCTTCACCACCGGCCCCAGCTGCTCGACGCTGTACAAGACTACTGGCAGCGCGCCGGATTACATGACTGCTGTTGGTGGTGCTACTTATGCTTGGACTATCGAGTTGAGGCCTGCGGGCAGCAGCGGTGGTGGCTTTGTTTTGCCTGCTACGCAGATTTTGCCTAGCAGTATTGAGCAGTGGGAAGGCATCAAGTATGTGCTTGCTCAGGTTTGAGCCCGGGGGGGTGTTGAGTGGATGACATTGGGGATGTCGGGGAGGAGAGGGAGGGAAAGGGAATGAAGATATGTGTATATACGATGGTACGATGTATTTATCTGACGTGCAATTTGAGTTGTGACGATCATGAACCTTGTTTTCTCGTGTATTGGCCTCAAGCTCGATACGATTAGTGTGAACAACCCGATATTGCATGGTTTCGCATATCCTAGCATGTTTCATATCTTCCCAATAGTATGTCTTTTCGCCTACAGCCACAGAGTGCAGGTCGAAGCCCTGGTGGTGGAGCGCGGGCCCTTCCTCATCGGCCATGAGTCCATGCTGGAGGCCTTTCATCATCTCAGGGGTGAACGGAAGATGTGTCCCTGAAACAGCAGCACGGGTATTAGTCCCACAGTCGTGGTGTAGGCTCTCCGAGTCGATTGCGCTGATCTCCAGATCCAAAAGAAGCTCAGAAGAAAGTGTCACCTTGGCCCGCTTGCTCGCAGCTAGCAACAGATCCTTGAAAGGGACAAAATGGGTGCCTTCAGTAACATCCCCGTTTGTGTTCTGCGGTCCGTAGATAACGAAATGGCCGAGGGCTGATTGACCGCATTCAACCAGAACCTCCATCATCTTCAAAAACCCATCACTAATATCCCCGGCTAGGTCCGATGTGCCAATGGCATAATACAGCACCATTGCCGTCGCCTATTGACGCAACGATGAAGAGCATTTTCAATACTGTGTCTCGGTGTACATCATCAATCGACTTTAGCAAGCTGTCGTACAAGCTGTTCAAATCTGATGGTGTTTTCAACAACAATCCTTCCAGCGCTTGAAAACTCTCACCGGTGGCTGTTGCGTCTCGTAGTTGGAGAATTATGAGGTATGCCTAAAAAAGGACTCCTTCAGCTCGGCATACCACATGGTCCGTAAGAGCCTTGTAGAAGGAGCTTGTCGCATCGAACGACGAACGCCGCTTAAACGTATTTTGCACAACCCTCAAAATGTCCCACCGAGTGAGCTCATGGAGGTTGACCCGAAGTTCGCAAAGGACCAAGTTGAGGAAAGCCATTTCGGGGCGAGAACCGACAAGCATCTTGATATTGGCATGTTGAGACCGTGACCGAAGCTGCGCGACGAGGTCTTGATGGCTGTGGCGGTGAGCAGGGTCGTGTTTGAACTCATCCAAGCCGTCGATCATGAAGCAAAAGCAAGTGTTGCGTGGAACAGACACCTCGATGAGATTCTGAAACCCTTCTTGCAACTTGGCGGGGAATCGAAAGTAGGGCTCGTCGATGTGTGGTTCAAAGGTGGTAGTGTCAAATACTTGGCACGCTGTCGGAAAGACATCTCGAATCAAACTTGGACAGTTTGCAAGAACTGAGAACAAGATGGACCGATAGAGACCGTGCAGCGACTGTTGCATAGCATCTCCAGCTCTCCAAGCAAAGAAGTGTGAGACAACGAGGGTCCTCTCTCCGGACCACCTTTCTAGCTCTCGGCGAGTGGTAGAATGACCAGCGATAAGTTTCATGAGTGTTGACTTTCCAGAGCCGGCTTTGAGAGAGATGTGCAGGAGGCCATGTCCGGATGAGAGCCACCGTAAAAGCGTAGACCTTGCTTCTGCTTTCTGCTCATAGTACTCATTTTGATAGCAGTCATCCTCATCAGAGCTTTCCTCATCAGAGCTTTCCTCGTCGACGTCCTCGTCATCAACATCCTCCCAGCCAATGTGGTCTTCAGCGACGTCCTCGCCATCGGCCCCTTCATTGCCGTTGCTGCTGTTGCTACTTGTGTATTGCCCGTCATGGTCGTCCGCTTCCAGGATCCATTCGAAAGTTCCGTACTGAGGATCACGAATAGCATCTTCCCGTGAGAACATAGAAGAGAATTAAAGCTGCCGCAATGCCTTGGCTTCAGCGGTGGGCGGAGAAGATGACTCGAGCAGACTCTGTACCTTCTCTTCTACCCTGCGTAGTATGTCGATTGAAAGGGTTTGCTGATCACAACTGATATTGGCCTTCATCTCGTGCAATGTCTTTTTGAGATCAAGTAGTCGATCAGGAACACTGGAGAACTGTGTGGTGACAGAAGCGTCAAGTTTGCTAATCTGGGTGGAAACCAGAAGAGACCGTTCACTTTATGTTCGTTAGTAGTGAGCATTGATCCATATCTCGCAACAGGAAGCACATGCTTGACGATGAGAAGAGAGATACGTAAACCCATCAGATCGGTATTGTTCCAGAAGACCAAGCAATTTGTAAATTTCGCCTTCTTTCCTCTTGGAGCGTAACGATATTCGGAGAGCTTCGAATTTGGAGGTGACATCCCAGGGAACAAGACTTTGCAAGATGCCCTGGACTTCGTTCAGGCGCTCCGTGGATTTGGTTGTCAAGCCTTGCAGAGCATCGACATGGTGAATAGAGGAAGCTGGAAAGGGTGTTTGCTGCACACTGTTCGTTGTTTGCTGCAGCTCATGTATCAAGGACTGTACGTCAGAGACACCGGGCACAGTACCAGTTCGCAGCACTTTGAGCGCACCAGAAACGAGGCTGTATGAAAAATCGACGAAGGTCAAAATAGAGGCAGCAAATCCAACCGCAGCGATTGCCTCCATTGTGTCTCGAGACGGAGAGTCGAAGGTATGAAGGTTGGCCTACCGTGCAATCAGGAAGATGGGTTGGGTTGAGAGAAAATCAGCGTCCCGAAACCCCGGCACCGGACACGGTCTGATGGCTGATAGAGCCAATTGGACATCGCGGTTCCCAATTGGACATCGCGGTTCCCAATTGGACATCGTGGTTCTGAAGGGAGAGCAAGGCTCCTGATCAGCAACCCTCGTCGCCCATGATGCCGTGGTAGGGTCGCACAACATTTTTTTTTTTTTAAATGTGGACGAGGAGGGCAAAAGACACATGAGTGGGCTTAAGAAATACGACTTGGAAAGTTGTCCTCGGTGAGTCCTGTGTTTTCTTCGTGGGCAATAAGGTAGATAGGTATATTCACAATGAGTGTCGTCATTCGAGAACCGACTAGTCTAGTTTTGAAATCTGGCTGGCTAGACCCTCACGTGACAGCGCGTCGCGTTCCACCTCGTTTTAGGTTTTGGGCCACACCTTAAGACGCGGTCTTTGTGCAAGAACGACCACCAGCGACCGGACAAAGCAAAGTGCCCGCTAAAGATGGCACGCCGGAAAAGCGCTCGTATTGCAGCACAAGAGCCAAAACTGCCAAACCCATACGGGCCACACAATGGTGATTCAGACGACGCCGCTGGGCTGATGTCAGCTTCTCAACCCTCATCGCCGGATTCCGCATCCTCTGCATCCGACCCAGATCCTGAACCTCGACCGGCAAAGCGCCGCAAGGTGACAAAACATACCCCAAACACGACAACAAGATCACCGACAAAATACTCCAAATCCAACTCCCTTCTTCTCGTCCAGTCTATCTTTACTTCAGCACCCCACGATGGCCGCGCCCTTCCTCTCCGCCCACACCCGCCCTCCTACCACCAACCCCTCCTCCTATCCTCGCCATCCGCCCAAGCCTCCCTCCTGAGGTGGTTTCAAAAAGAACAAACGACCCGCCTCATGCCGTGGCGCAAACCCTTCCTCACGAACCCCTCCCGCGCCGACCTTTCCCGTCGAGCCTACGAAGTCTGGATCTCCGAGATCATGCTCCAACAAACCCGCGTTGCGACGGTAATAGCATACTGGAACAAGTGGATGACAAAGTGGCCCACGATCGAAGACCTAGCACAGGCAACAGAGGAAGAGGTGGTCAATATGTGGACTGGGCTGGGGTATTACTCTCGGGCGAGGAGGATACACGCCGGGGCACAAAAGGTTGTCACCGAGATGCAGGGGCTGCTGCCGGATACTGTGGAGGGGCTTATGAAGCATGTTCCCGGAGTGGGGAGGTATACTGCTGGGGCGATATCGGCTATTGTGTTTGGCGAGGCGGAACCGATGGTCGATGGGAATGTTATGAGGGTGTTGTCGAGGCAGATGGGACTGATGGGGGATGTGAAAGGGGACAAGAGGGTGGTAGACGTGCTTTGGGAGGCGGCGGATAGGTTGGTGAAGGTTGTTGCTGAGGCTGATGGGGAAGAGGGCGAGAAGCCGGGGCTATGGGGACAGGCGTTGATGGAGCTGGGGAGCACGATCTGTACACCAAAGCCTCAATGTGGAAAATGCCCGGTGACGGAAAGCTGTATGGCTTACGCCGAGGGTTTGGCTCTGGCCTCAGGCCTCAAGCAGGCCGTTCCCGATATTGAGGATGGCATTGCTTGTGTGCTTTGTGAACTTGTGGAGGAAGATGCCATGGAAGCGAGCTCGCAGGCTACGGAAAAGAAGGGTAGGCAGCAAACCTCCAAGTTCTTCGAGGCGTTCCAAGCAAGTTCCATGAAGGAAAAGGATGTTGCTAGCAGAACGCCCTTGTCCCAAGAGTTGAATACCATCATCTCCCATGCCCAGAGGTTTCCCCTGAAGAAACCCAAGAAGCAGGTCAGAGAGGAAGAAGCTCTTGTTTGCGCCATTCGTCGCGTATCGGACGGACAGTACCTCATCAGTCGCCGGCCAGGCAAGGGGCTGTTGGCTGGATTGTGGGAGTTTCCCAGCTACATTTTGCCCGCCTCCAATGACAGCACTACCAAAAGCCGGAAAAAGCAGGCATTGGACTACGCGTCTGGTCTGGTCGAATCAACAGACGGATACCGTGGAGAACTAGGCACTGTCCCTTGGTTATTTTCACATCTGAGGCTCGCCATGCACGTTCAGCTGTTTGAACTGGACGATTCAGACAGAAGCCTCCGAACACTGCCCCTGGAATCGAACTATCGATGGGTGTCCAGCGACGAGATTGAATCAGAGTCCATGGGGACTGGTATGAAAAAGTGCTGGTCCTTGATCAAGGCAACCAGAGAGTAGGATCAGCTATGCTGTGGCGATGTGAGACTTCCCCTGTTCGCACTTGTGCTGCGTCCCCTGGAAGCGCCTAATTGCTGCCCAACCCCGGCGATGTTTGGTGGGATCCACACGACACATTCGTGGTGCCTAGCAACGCCGCTGGAGAGATGTTCAGCTACAAAACCACACCACGGAAATAAGCCCTCAACCGGCACCATCGAGTCTCCTGCAACATCAAGACACTTGAGTTGAGACTTTGGAGTAAAGAAAATGGACCAAACCAAAGACCGGCGACGCCTCAAGTTGGAGCCGTCGAAGCTCGGACCCAACGCCAACAATGATGCGAGCTCCCCCAAGACGCCGGACACAGAAGAAAACAAGCCCAAAGAGACCCCGGTATCCGTATCCCAGCCTGATCTAAGCACACAACACGAAACAGTGGAAAGCGAGGAGTTCAAGCGCCCCAATCTTGGACTTGGACCTTCCCACGAAGCCCAGGTTGAGGAACGTAGTCTTGAGCGAGAAGCACAGGAGAAGCAGAGGGATCAACCAGATGACGACAACGAATGCAAAGAAAACCCCATGTCGGATGAAAACCGGGAGTTGATTGATGTGTGGATGCAAACCAAAGATGAAGCGAGAGCCGAGGAAGAGGACAACGTGATGACTCGAGACAACTACGAGGCCAACTTTAAGGAAGAAGTGGCGCTACACAACCTGTACAAGCATCACTATTTTGACGAACAGTGGCTGCTGTACTCGAAAGAGACATCAAAAGACCGCAAAGACGAAGATTGGTTCATTCATTCACCAACTGTGCTGGAGGCAACCGACCCGCAGTACCTCTGCGACATGTGCCGACACGTCGACTTCACCGTCCTATTTACGCATCGCGATCTGAAGCCTCAGGGGAACAAGGATCCATCCACTGCTTGCATCGAGTTGTATGGACTGTCGAGAGTTCTCAACGAGAAATCTACGTGTTCATTTTGCAACCTGGTGCGAGAAGCCATTGAGCAACAATGCACTGCTGAAGAACTCGCAAAGGCGAGGCAGACAAAGGCGGGCAAGATATCAATCGACATTCTTGATGATGGGCCAGATTGCGCCCTGCGATTGGAGGTTGGCTTCAGCCACTTGGCGACGAAAGTAATTATGCAGAGTATGACATCCGAGGATGAGCCCTTTGCACTTCAAGGGCTTCCAGTACGCAAGGACGCCGCAGATATCACACGGCTGTGCAACTGGATCCGCACTTGCGAAGGCAGCCATTCCAAGCTCCACAGGTCCATTCACGCATTCTCGCCCGAAATGGAGACGCTGCGAGTCATCGACGTTGATGAAGGCTGTCTCGTGACAGTGCCCACGCCGTGTCGCTATGCTTGCCTTTCCTATGTCTGGGGGAAGAATGCAGCAAGTCTCGTCCATTTGACACTGGAAACAAAGGCAACCCTCGAAAGCCCAGGAATCTTCAGCAACGGATCAATCGTCATCAGCCAGACCTATCTGGACGCCATCAAGGTTACCAGAGATATTGGACTGCGTTACCTGTGGATTGACGCTCTCTGCATTGTGCAAGACGACGATGCGGAAAAGGCAATTATTGTCTCGCAAATGGCTGCTGTGTATGGCAACGCCGTCATCAACATCGTTGCCTCCACCAACTTCAGCCCTGATGGCGGACTTCCGGGGGTGGGTAGCACGCCAAGGGCACGATCCCAGGTAGTTAAACAAATCCAAGGGCTGTCTGTTGGCGCTGTGTTTCATGACTCCCGTCAGCCATACCACGAGATTGAAGACGCCATCTGGAATTCTCGTGCTTGGACATGCCAGGAGCGTCACCTGTCCCAACGCGCCGTGTACTTTACGGCTTCTCAGCTCTATTTTACCTGCCCCCATGGGACTGCGTGCGAAGACACAGTTCCCAATTCGACACGGGACCTCAAGCCAACGGTGCCTGTAGATCGGCCAAAGTTTGAAGAAGCCATATTACCCCTAATGTTCTACATTTGGTCCGACCCGACCCAGACAGAGTTCCCCAACAAGCGCTTCAAGCTAGCTGGTACGGGCACAGAATCTGACACCCTGGTATCTACTCGGGAAGAACTGCCTACTCCAACCTATAGAGCAATGCCCGTGGCAGCTTACCGGAGTGGCACTCTTCCCATGGAAGGGGAGACGCTCTGGAAGACATATCGGGAGGCTGTCAACATGTACACCAAGCGCAAAATGACGTGGCAGAGCGATGTCATCAACGCATTCCAGGGCGTCACTGATCTCATTTCTCAGGGGGTGAACACCACCTTCTGGTACGGCATACCCGAGTTTGCCTTTGATCAGGCTCTCTTGTGGTACCCCCAGGAGCCTCTCACCCGTCGGACCTATTTGGGAGCCGCCCCGTCCTGGAGCTGGGCTGGATGGGAAGGGCACACAAAGTATCGCGGCCGGGGCTGGCACAATGCCATTGCTGTGGCACCCTTCAACGTCGTCCACTGGCTTACACATCCGTCTAGTATCGGCACTGTTGTACGGTATCTTTTCGCCCGCGGAGATAGCCCAGAGCGTGTGGCAAAAATTGTTCAGGCAGCCAAAGAGCAGCCTAAATCCTTGAATTCCTGGGTTCACGCCTTCTTGTATCAACTGGAGGACCTTGACGACGGTTGGAAGGACGAAAAGGACACCTCGCGCAACGAGCTCTACTTCTCCCATCCCGCCTACCCGGGCCTCCGCTTTACATACCCCATCAACTTGCCGGGGAAACCGTTGCTACCACGACATTTACCGGACGGGACACTTCCCTTCACCGCTCGCTCAGTCGAAGCGCGCTTCACCGACATGTCCACAACCGCTCACAAGTCGATACCTGTCGAAGACGAGTTTCTGCAGATTGGCCTCAACGATGCGGGCAAATATGGGTCAGGCTCTCGCCGACCGTGGGAGTTTGCTGTCTACCATCAAGGATACCGCGCCGGGTTCTTGTCTCTCAACGTCCCCCTTTCGTCCATCGACCGTGCGTCGGCTTCGTACAGGCTGGTGGCCATGTCGAGAGACATGGTGCCACAAATCGCCCCGCCGCCGTGTGGATGGGACCTTTACTGGAACCTGAACCCACGGCGAATGCAGGACAGTGTCTTCTTCGATGAGGAATGGGGACGGCCTGAAGACAGGAGAAAGTGGACATTGTTTACTGACTCGGAGCCGGGGAGGGGGCCAGGCAGGGAGAATGGGGATCCGCGCTGGGACCTCGGGCGGTATGAAACACCGGCTATAAATGATGTGTACAATGTCTTGTTGTTGGAGAACAAGACTGGCGAGAATGGGGAGTGGTGGGAGGAGAGGATTGGGGTTGGGAAGATTCATGTCGGGGCATTCTGGATAGCAAGGCCCGTTATTGAGAAGTTTGCTCTGAGGTAGGGGATATGCCATCGTGCTTGTCTCGCCAGTGACCTGGGTCGAGTGCCGCCGCATGGTGGAACCTGCCGAACATTGTTTCGGGATTCCCCGCTCGAGCACATGGAGAGTGAGGGGTCGAGATAAGGTTGGAGATAGCTCCCAGAAACATGATAACAAATGAACATATAATTTTCAACATTCCGAACTCAAACTCAGCCATCGATTTCATTGTGGCCACACTCTCAAAACACACATCAAGATGTCACCCCCAGAATACCTCCACCTCGCCTCCCCCCTCGGTCCCATTTCCAGGCCCCTTTTACCTCACCCGCCCCGCGACGCCCTCCCCTCCGAAATCCCATCATTAACCTCACCCCCTTGTTTTCCGACGACCTCCCCTCCCGTCAGCACCTCGCCTCCCAAATCCGCCAAGCAGCCACCACGTCAGGGTTCATGTACATCACCCACCACGGCATCCCCCTCTCCCTCTTCCAAATCGCCCGAAACGCCTCTCTAGATTGGTTCCGCTCCCCTCTTGAGGCCAAACTCCCCGCCAACACGAACAACTCCCTCAAAAACAAGGGCGTGGTCGGCTACCGGCCCCGTCAGACACAGCACATCAACCCCTGGGAGAGCGTCGACGTTCGAGAGTCGTTCTCATGGCGGTACGATCCCGCCTATGACCCGTTGCATTCCCCGTCGGACTTGGAAAACATCCCGGATGAGGTGAAAAGGTATATCGACCACGATAACGATGGGTTTCCCTGGTCGAGAACACCAAAAGAGTTTTCGGGGCCGGTGATTGAGTTGTATCAGGCTGTTTTGAAGCTGGGGAGGGAGCTGGTGAGGGTGATGGCTTTGGCGCTTGGGTTGGAGGAGGACGGGTTGGACGGGAGGTTTGAGTTTCCTGATGTTGGGGTGGCGGTGAATTATTATCCGCCTATTGCTGCAACAAAAGAAGAGGGTAAGGAGAAGGTTAGTATTGGGAGTCATACTGACTTTCAGCTTTTTACGCTGTTGTATCAGGATAGTGTGGGGGGGTTGCAGGTGTTGGATAGGGAGGGGCAGTGGTTGAATGCGAGGCCGGTGGAGGGGACGTTGGTGGTGAATTTTGGGGATTACATGCAGCGGATTACGAACGGGAAGTGGGTGAGTACGGTTCATCGGGTGGTGAATAACTCGGGGAGGGAGAGGTTGAGCATGGCGTTCTTCTGGGGGTTTGGGCTGCATGAGAGGTGTGGGGTTTTGGATAGTGTGTTGGAGGAGGGGGAGGAGAAGAAGTATGATGAGATTGGGTGTTGGGAGTGGGTGCAGAGAAGGATTGAGATGATGAGGGAGGTGAAAAAGGGGTTGGGGAATATTACCCCTGAGAAACCCCTGTCAATGCACTCCCAATAAAGACCACCTCGACAGCGGCAAATCTGGGCATTTCATGTCAGTCATTCACCCTGTGGATTCCCGACACAGGGTCAACATACGTAGCGGTAGCCGCAAAAACCTCTATCCTCTTCGCATCGCTAAACACGGCAATCACCAGCGCAAACAGCGCCATAAACCCTGCTGTCACCCCTATTCTCGCATCGGTGCTGTCTAGCCGGTTCAGCACCAGGATTGTCAATACCGGTAAGGTAGACGCAAGAACAGTTGTGATGAGACTGCTTGCTTTGCTGATTCGAGAAGGACTGTACAAAGTGTGGCCTGTGTCTGTGTCGACAGCCTGGCCGGTGTTGACGCGATGGCCGAGGAGGTGGCGATAAGTTCTGAGAATCTTCTCAGTGATGAAAGTGGTACAAGGGTCGGTTTCCTTGACCGGTGCGCTTAGGCAGAGATATGACGAGGGGTTGGGGTCTGCCCAGCTGAAGGCTTCGTTGGACTGGAGGAAGGGATTGCCGCCTCTGAAGTCGCGTAGCCAGTCTTCGAGGGCAGAGAGTTGGGAAGGTTGAGGGGAGGGAACGGTGTTCATTTGGTGGACTATCACGCGTCAATGGTGATCTGAGGGGTTTGTGACAGCGACCCACCTTGGAGTATGAATTCTTCTGGCGTTCAAGATTAGCATCCTGCCGAGGCAATGGGAAAGATAAACTCTTCGTACTGTACCCTTTCAGCTTCTCTCTCAACTCCACCATCTTGTGATACTGCATAGTCTTCTTCTCCCGTCAAAGCTTCATATTCTCAGAAAGTCGCAACGTCGGATCATCCTGGTGGTCAAGCAAACACTGATCCCGATACTCTTGCCCTAGCTCAACAACCTCGGCCTGCAGCGATATAGCGCCAAGACATTCGCTTGATCAAACCTTCTTCAGACTAGCAGCCTCATTCTCACTCCCTCTCATAAAGGTTGCTAACCTGGGATATCCAGGAGGGAGCGGAGGTTGAAAGTCGTGCACGGTGTGTTTGTTTTGAAGAACAAAGAAACCTGCCTCTGAGAAGAGATGGTGCAGGTGTAAATACGGGTTTGAGGGTTGTCTCAGCTGGTGTGGTGGGCTGAAGTGTTGGGTTAGGGGCAAGGGGACCGCCTCGACGGCCATATCAGAGGCCCCCCGCCGTCCGCGGACCACACAAGAGACCAGTTGAGTCCAGGACCCCATCGACGGAATCCTTCCCGCACGCGCCCGTAATGCTTAGCCTCGATGAACTGTGGTTGTGTAAAGCCTTGCCGCTCATGCTAACGTTGATTGGGTGGTGATGGATGGATGATAGGCATCCTGGTTACACTTGAGATTGATGATGGCAAGGTAAAACAAGATAAAGTCTTCTCATGTTCCACATGGTGTTTCTTTTTCGACTCTATTGCGGTGCCCGACTAAGCAATACATCACCTCCACCAACATGCCCCAAGAAGACCAATTCTGGCTCATCAGTCCCATCACTCTAGTCCTGTTGGTCTCCTCCGTCATCACCCTCATGACAATATTCGTCGCAATGGCCGCCTTACTTGCCGACTTTGCCCAAAAGGTAGAGCGAGCCGAATCCCACTTTCAGGCACAGCAGACCGAGTATTTCTGTTTTGCAGCGCGTTCTACGAGAATGCGAGCACATTCTTGACCGACCCGTTGACGCTCCAGACCAAGTTTTGGAGGCCTTGGAGACCTGCCGACGCCAAGGGGCAAATTATGATGAGCACTCTTTCAAGCTACAACGGAACTCTACCAAGTTGAAGAGATTCCCAATGGGTCAGAATTTGCGAATCTATTACAATCAGACCGAGCTGGACAAGTCTCTGGCCGCATATAAGGGAAGTGTATTGCTTCTGAGAGACTTGTGCTCTGAGTAAGTGAACAAGAAGCCAAGTCACCGGGGAATAGCAGTGAAACTTTCTGATAAGCGACTTGACAGAATTAAGCTTCGACAGCAGCTGGTTGAAATGAGGTAAGTACAGGCAAGACTCTACCAAAAGTATACATGAAATTTGAGTTTCTAACACGCCACACAGCGCCGCCATGGCAAAACTATCAGCCCTAGCAATTCCAGACCTCGGGCAGAATGACTCCGATTCTGCATACCGAGTATCCCTAGACGATGATCCAGCCCCTCTAATGTCCGGCGCACTTACCACTAAGAACCCAAACAGTCTTGCACTCGTTCATCAGACCAACCACTTGAAACTCGTCGAACAAGTGTGGACAAGAGGCTTCGGCCAGCTCTCCCAAGAGAAATACAACATCGATGCTGCCATCCGAATCATAATCGACCAGACCCACGCCAAACATCCTGGCCAAGCATTCAAGTACTATCCCGCCGGAGTCAAATTAGACAGCGCATCCGACCTCGACTTGGTTTCCGTCTCCTATCTCCGCCAAGCCAATGCACTAGAGCACGTCACTCTTGTGCCCATTCCAGAAGACACCCAGATTGCCATCAGGGGTGGGTAACGGCTCACTGACCCCAACCCATAGGGTGTTACTCAAGTGGTGCGGGCATGGAGAGAGCAAGATACACGAGGGTTGGTTTGACCTGGTCGATTTCCCAGACATTGACATTTTGTTGGGGACCGCATCGTTGGAGAAGATTGCTGTTGCAAGAGTGGCGCGTGCTTGGCCGATTATCGGGAGGACGAAGCCCAAGGCGATATCCGAGAGAGAGTATGCTCAGGAGGAAGAGAGTTTGGCACGAGAGAGGGAGACCAAATTGCCGAGTTTGAGAGTAAGCTGGCGGAGAGGAGGAGGGATCAACTAGCGTTGGGGCGGGCAGATACAATTGTTTCTGATGAAATTAGCACCCATCAGAAAAGGCAAGATGTAGATTTAGAGTTGGAGAATAACAGTGTCGACCCTTAGACGCTGTCACGGCTCTTCATTACATGTAGCGCTCCTTCTTCAACACACACAAACATAATACCCCTTTTTTGCCCCTCGACCAGCTTTTCCCCTATCTAGTGTCTTTGCCCCCTCGAGATATCAAGGCCGGCATCTTACCGATCCCCAAGCATCATTTTGCGTCCCAAAGTTATTAACCCCTGGGTATATCAGCGGGAAGTACGTCCCCGAGTCTCTCTCGCAGTTATCACCCCTAAACGCTCCCGTTAGCATCACAACAAGTTCAAACCAGCAGAACCAAGTGTACTCACCTAAACAACACACACCTCCCCATATCCGGCCCAGCAGACCTAACTCTCTTATAAATGTCAGTCCCCGCCAAACTGACACACTTCTCCGCGTGCCCAACCCTGATATTCTCGCAACTCCCACCCCATTGAACCTCAGGACAAAGATACAGCCACGTCGACGTAGTCAAAACAGGCGGCACAGCAGGAGTGTAAGAACTAGCCGGGTACTTCGCCGTCCCATAAACCTCAATCCTCCACCCCGCTCCACACGTTTCTCCCCCGTCACCCGCGCAAGGCATATCACACTGCCCATCAGCCACCAACAACCCCGACCCAGGCTGGGAGTTGCCGCAAAAGCATTCGGTGCTGTATTCGACTCCCGCATAGAAATATCCCGCCGTCTCACAGGCAGAAATACACTTCTCCGTTGTCATACCACCGGTAATGCTACTGATCTGATGCGGCAGAACGCGAGGAGAGTCAGAATCAACAAAACACCCCACCCTCGTCTCAAAGATATCGTTCTGCGCTCCTGGGAAAAAGCCCATCTTGGAGTTATACGGCGGTGTGACGTCCCCCGGGGTGACAACATTGTTGCCCGTCCGCTGATGCCAGGCGATCATCTGTTTTGGACCTTTGACGCAAGCAGAGGGGTTATTCGCACAATACACTGGGGGCTGGGCAATGCCCAACCGACGAACTGACGTGCTCCCTGGAACGTGGCAGCGGAAGTTTTGCATGTACATGTTTGGCTCGCCGCATCCGTCGGGCACCCAGAGCCAGGCGCAGTAGCATTGGCCTGGGGCGCAGGGGGGGAGGTCGGCGGGGATGGGGTAGTCGACTAGGCGTTTCCAGGGGGTGCTTCACATAAACTGATTAGATGACTGTGTTGCGAAAGGAGAGCGGTGAACTTACTTGGGGGCGACAGAGATGACAACCAAATTCTCCATATTCACCTTCGCCAAGTTGGAATTGTACGAAATCGCCAGCGCAGTGCCTGTGGCCCTGGTCTCGTTCTGGGTATGTAACGGACCACCAAACCCGTCAGGGTTGTTAACCAGACAGCCCTCTCCTGTGCTGGGGCCGGTCCAGTTCACAGGGTGGTCCCGTCCGTCTGTCCAGTCTGTCGTGAGATCACCATTGTAGGAGAGAGTGGTGAAGGCGCGGTTCTCGGCCATTTCACCAGTAAAGACACCTCCTGCAGGTAGAGCGAGGGACTGTCCGCTGGGGGGGCCCACGACGTTACAGCCTCGGTCCGCTTGCATCCACCACTGCTCCTTGGTGAGGTTATAGAGGGGGTTGACGACGAGGTTGGTGTTTTGATCGTCCACTGCTGGGTTGTTGCCGCCCTGAAATCTGGATGTCAGTCAAGTTGAGAGCCAGAAAGATAAACGACAAATATCGATGGACGACTTACACGACAATGCATACCCGGCGCAAAGAGCGCGTGGTGTGCTGTCGCCCCCGTGGCCAGGGCCGCGAAAAGCTTTGCGTGGCGCATCATGATAGAGTGGTCAGATGGATAGTGAAATCACCTCAAAGAACGCATGGACATGGAGAGAAAGGGCTGCATGGACGGTAGCTATAAGTACTCGCCAATGTCTATACCCCCGGTGAATGTCACGATGGTGGAACTTGCCAGACAATAGTTCCATGTCAGCCTGTTCATGTGCATGAGATGAAAGCTACCCCTGACTGAGATTGGCCGCATCTTTTCTCTCCGTGTCCGCATGCTCGGTATGTGCCCCAAAGCTGTTCGTATAGTAATATTGGTATCGGTTGATTACTCACGCTGTTTTTGAATGTCTCGTAGCCATCTGCTTCTCCGAGGTACCTACTGAGGGTTCTCATCTTGGCAGCTTACACGCGGAGGTGAGCCTCATCTTAAATACGGAGCCTACTAAAATCTCACCACAGCTGTCAGCAACATCAATATTTTTTCCACGAGGTTCATGGCATTCCTAGAAGATCTTGAAGTTGTGCAGTACCATTGTGGCTGTTGATATTGATGACGGGGGGCTGAGATCCAATCCAGCTTCGTGTGATGCCCTCAACAGATTGTATGTTTCTCAAACAAGACTGGCAGCCTCCAACGCCCCTTTGACCCTTCCCAACAGCCAACCCTTTTCTTCAACCCCAACGCTGATCCGCACCAAACACTCCTCTACTCCAAACTCAGCTGCTCTATCCAACTCGTTGTAATGCGCCAGTAGTGTATACGCACAACAAAGCGTAAAGTTTGTCCCCAGGCTTGGCCCCTTGGCAACATTCAGCCCGTTGTAAAACGCCACAGCCTCCTCTTTTTTCTTGAATGTAACGCTTAGCAAAAAGCCATATCCCGCACCAGGCCGCTTGTAAGCATCATACCGCCTCGTGTCTCCCAATGACGGATAATAAACCTTCTTGACCACCAAACTTTCTTGCACTAACTCAACCACAGCCAAAGCATTCTCACTGGCAACCTGAATTCTCTCCTCAAAGCTTTGACAGTTTTCGGCCATCACCAAAACATCTTCCCAATACCACACGTCCTTCTGACGCTGTTGTCGGTTGTGTAGACCCTCTCTGAGACTCGTGTACAGCGTTGAATGGGGATTGAGGCCAAGTGAACCGCCCATGACATTACACTTTCCGCTGAACATCTTTGTCAGACTGGTGCAGACCACATCGCAATATCGCAAAACACGCAGGCAAGCGGCCGTTCCCACGGTGTCGTCCACGACCAGAACAAAAGAAAACGATTTTCGCAAAAAGGCTAATCGTTCGAGGTGGGGCGATTGTAACAGAGGGTTGCCGGTGAACTCGGTAAAGACAGCGTGGAACTGTTCGCCGTTATGTAGTCGACGCTCGAATCGCTCTGTATCGGCGTAGGAATACCCGTAGACCGTGACTTGACAGTTGTGTACTCGCTCCAGCACTTTGATCGTATCGACGTAGAGAAATCTGTCACAGGTTAGACGACCACAACATCTTGGGTAGGTAGAAGGATTGCAACGGAACTTGCCCAAAAACAGCCACGTTGGGCTTCTTGCTATCTCCGCTCCCCAATGAAGTCCCTGAATCCGTTCTGGTTGCTATCAACTCCGAAATAGCAGCCATTCCTCCTGGATACAACAGCACATCATCTTTCCTAAGAAGCATGTCTCCATCGGATAGCAGACCTGCAATCCGGTCTGATATGTCCTGCTTGGCCTGGTCAACAGAGGCCCCACCGCAGGTATCTCCATCTAAATGGAACCCGTTCTGTTGTATCTCATTGGCTGACTCGTGTCCTTCTCGACACGACCCCCTATTCAGAAAGGATGCCCTGTCCAACCAAAACACCGCCCTCCGACTCGAGATGCCATATCCAGTGTGTTGCCAAAACCTCCGTGCTTTAGACACCTCAGCACCCTTGGGCTCCCCTACAACAACCGCCAACCACAAACAAGTCCCCGTTTCATCGTCATCTGAATCAACCGCTCCACCATCCCACCTGACTCCCCACACTCTACCACCCGCGAGAAGCTCCTCACCCATGTACCTCCTGAACATCTCAGCCCACGTCCTGGAGGCAAACATCATAGGCGCTCCATCATCCCCCACACCCAAGTGTCGCGCCAGTCTTCGCCCCAACTGATCAACCACCCTCGGTATGAAGAAGCGCGGGTAACCGGTTTTCATGGCTTGCAAGACCGAGGGGTCTTTCGTAACCCATCCGAGACTGTCGTTCCAGGTTGGGAGGTGGACAGAGATGGCCTAATGAGAAGAACGAAAACAAGTTCCTGCCGCGTCAGCTTCCAAGAAAGGGCTAGGGCCCCAACGAAGAGATGATGTATAGTATGTAACTCACGTGCGGGTCATTAGGAGGTAGCGGATCACCCAACTGCAGGTCTGCCGGGTCGACGGGGAGGGCAAAAGACTGCATCCTTGATCTGTCATTGTCTTTTTTCAACGGCGTGGATTTCCCAGAACTGCATGTAGATGGGGGAGTGTTCATTTTGAAGTGGTCAACGACCGCCACAGCATCAGTGCCATGGTTCCGTGTTCGGAGCTGAGAAAGAAGCGCAGTACCAAACGATTGGGGACTGACCGAATCGCCAGAGTGGAGTCTTCAGTCGATAATACCAGGCGATGGATGCAGTTGTCCGCTTCCCGTGAGTTCCCCGGAAGGAACTGTGCTCAAAAGGGGGTGACATCATCTTGACCGGTGTCAGAGGCTAGCTGACCCGGGCAAATTTGCGCTGTTCACAGACCATTTGAGTACCTACCCGCCGCAAGTGGACAACTGACTCCGAAAAGCTGGGTTGGATTACATGACGTTTATACGAGTTTTCTGTTGGGAAGGAGGACCAGAATATATTGGTGGGAAGCCCCAAGGGAATTCGCATTGTTTGAGAGGCAGCGTGCTAATGTCACCCTTTGGCTGCAAATGTCAAGGTTGCCCAAAGAAGCTCGTGCCATGTCTCCCTATTGAGTGGTTCCCTCTTTGCCCTCCTAGGCTGTTTCCTTGTCGTTGAGCCGGGAGAACATCACACCGTTTTGACGACAAGGCTGTAGATAACAATGTTGGTGACGACGCCACATCTGCAATATTTGCGCCCGCGAGCTGCAGGTGTGTGGCCGGGAAAACCTGATAGCATCCACAAAGTGCAGTCTTCACCACAAAGGCAGCCCTTTAATTTCTTCTCGTCCAGCCTTCCCCATGATTGTCTAGCTTATGACCCCGCGTTCAACCCACCTTCTTCTCTCTTGACCATCTCAAGGTGCCAGGCTTGTTGTATCCTTCTGAAGTCTTAAGCCGGGAACATACCTAAATGATGATGCCATCACGCCCACTACCCACAGCAATACAAGCAGACCCCGAGAGGGGTCCATCCAGCCCCAAAGCACATAGATCACGATCAAACCCCATGCCCCTCTCACCAGTCGACAGTTCCCTCACCCGTCTCGCAACACTGGAGAGAGCGGCACGCTCACAGCAGCAATCCCGGACGGCAGCCGAAACGCCCGACGAAATCACCGCCCTCGAGGTTGTCTATAGATACAGCATCCTCTCCTCCCGCATCAAAGTCCTCCGTCACGAGATCATACACAAGGTTGAGTCAGCCCAATCTCTCATCGACGTGGCCATGCCGGAGGAATTGAGGCGAGATCTAGATCGGTACAGTATATTCAACCTACCTTGCTTTGCCTTCCCGCTCTCCATCCTCCTGCCCAAGCCTGACAACTTCCTTACCCTTTTCAGCAACCGCACTGCGAGACTACGCCTTCTTTCGTCAGGAGGGTAAAGATCTCTTCCGGTCATTCCAGACCCAGTCTATCCTCGCCACTATGAAAGCCCTTGACAACCCTGCAGCCGCCACCCCCCAACCGGAACTCGCCGTGGATGATCCCCTGAGTATCATCACCAGAGAGCTGAGGCTGGCTTTGACGCAAAGCACTTCAGGGCTGTCAAAATACAAAAAGTCAAAGGATCAGAAAATGCTATGGCAGCGCTTCTTTATGGCTTTGGGTGGCGGACTGGCCCTCGTGGGCCCGATGCTCATCATGGTGCGCAATCCGAGTGAAGGCGTCGCCATCATCACGACATCGTGCTGTGTTTTGGGCGTGGCAGTTATTTTGGCTTTGTTCATGAACGATTCCCATCCAAAAGATGTCGTCGCATGCACGGCAGCCTATGCGGCAGTGCTAGTTGTGTTTGTTGGTGCTGGTGGCGGTTCCCAGACTGGGGAAGGTCAAAGTGACGGTGCTTCCACTTCATGAAGTTGTTTACAAGCCTGGAGTTACTAGACATTGCATGATAATGTTGAATTGACTAACTCTATATAGCCAACCGACTAAATCTTCTTGCTCATGACAAAATAACGGATGCCTCCAGCCTGTATCATTCCATAACCTCTAAAACAGCACACTCAAGCAATGCATGGCGGTAATCGCTGATAATATCATAGTCTTCCCCCGCCTGTCAAAAACAAATAAAGGCACCGCCCGTCTGTAACTTCGCTCTTTTCACCGTGTGTCCCTTCAAAGCTTCTCGGGGATGTGGTCCTCCACAGCCGCCAGCGCTGCCAGGTTGTTCTCCCCCATGCTCAAGACACCGTCTGTGGCGCCCGTCCCGCTGCCGCCAACACCCGCAAGAAGCGCAACACACTCAATAACGTCTTGCGGCTCCAGCACGTGCCACCTGGCCAGCGTAACCTTGGTGCTGGCTCCAACGGTCACGGAAAAGGTGTTCTCTGCCTCCACCTCGGCTGTGCCATCGTTGGGCGCAGACAGGCCGTTGAGGGCACGGAACATGTCCTCGTCGGTAAAGTCATCTCCCATGCAGAGAACAAATTCGAGCTTGCGGGCCGATTCGTCGTCGGACTCGAGAGCCTTGAGCTCAGCATTGTACGTGTTGACAAGGCGCTTCGCGATCTCTCCCTTGTTGATAAATGTAGGGCGAACCTCAATGTTGGCCTTTCCAGGCATCACTTCCACATCCCACTTGCGAGCCACGGTGCCTTCGAGCTCCTTTTGGCATTCGCGTGACATGTGGAGGCCTTGTTCGGGATCGGCCAGGCGGTAATGCCACGTCAAAGCGCACCGTTTTCGTTCAATAAACGATCCTAGAAATGGTCAGTCAGCGTCGCAAGCCTCAGGTGACCGAAAAAAAAGACTTACCCGGGACCTTGTCCGTGTATTTCTGGAACACGGCAATGACCTCCTCTTGCCAGCCCATGTCGAACTTCTCCACCAGATTCTCCCACTCGGTCGAGCCTGGGTTTCTCATGAAGCTGCCATGCTCGGCACTGAAGCCAAGACCCGAAATGTGGCCCAGATGATGAGACAGGAACTCCTGGTCGCGACCAGAGATAATCCAGACGGCATTCTGGGGGTCGGCAGCAAGCGCCTTCAAGCTGGTGATGACGCGCTCCGAAGGAACAGCAGCGCTGGGCTCCCGCACTATGGGGGTGAGCGTGCCGTCATAGTCGAACATGAACAGGCGCTTCTTGGCCGCCCGGTACCTTCTAAGCATCTCGGAGCGGTCCAGAAGAGGAGTCGAGATGATGTTCTTGCGGCTACCAAGAACATTCACCAAGCGCCTGAGGAAACCAACAATCCAGAACTGCACATTCTTGCTGGTGACGTGAGCCAGCAGACTATTTTGCATTGCCTCGCGCTTGTCTTTTGGCATGAGCAGAGCATTGTTGATGGCTTCGGCGACGCCCGACAAATCCCATGGGTTGATGTGAATCGCGTCCTTGAGAGAGCCGGCCGTGCCACTGAACTCGGAGAGAATCAGGGGACCGGCAGTGTCGCGCTGGCAAATAACATACTCCAACGAAGTAGTATTCATGCCGTCTCTGACCGAGGTGATGAGGCCGATGTCGGCGGCGCGGAGGAGAGCAAAGTACTCTTCTTGGCTGATGTACTGGGCGTAGTGCTGCACAGGGGAGAATCCAAGCGAACCGTACATGCCGTTGATCTTCATAATAAGTTCGCTCACACGGCTGGCGATCTTGCTCTCGGAACCATCTCCCTCCTCCTCAATGCTGGTGGGAGAAGTGACCTGAATAAGGACGACCTTCTCGCGCCACTCGGGGTACATCTCGAGGAACCGCTCAAAGGCCATCAGCTTCTGGGCGACGCCGCGGACAGTATCCAGACGGTCACGGCCCACAATCACCTTTTTGCCCTCGTACAACTTCTTCAAGTTCCCATACTTAGTGTTGACCTCGTCTGTCCATGCAAGACTGGCCACCTTGGTCGCGTCAATGCCAATGGGGAACACACCGATCTCTACTCGACCTCCATAAGCGTCGATTCCTGCCGTGTCGGATGGGAAGCCCAGAATGCGCGTGCAGCAGCTGGCAAAGTGGCGGGAGTAGCTATAGCTTTGGAACCCCACCAGGTTGGCGCCGAGCACGCCCTCGAGGACCTCTTTTCTCCGTGGCAGACAGCGCAGAAACTCGCTGCTGGGGAAAGGCGAGTGCAAGTAAAACGAGATGTACATGTGAGGAGACCGTTGCCGCAGCATGCTAGGCAGCAGCATCAGGTTGTAGTCATGCACAATGACAATGTCGCCGGGCTTGTAGACCTCAAGGATCCTGTTAGCAAACTTTTGGTTCATGCGGTAGTAGTCGGCCCATTGCACTCTCTCAGCACGGCCGTCGGTGGGCTCGTGTTGTCTGTAGTGGAAGAGGGTGTAGAGGTCGTGCTCGGCATAGCGTCTCCATCTTGCCTGGTCCTTCAAGCGGATGCCCTCGTCCAGCCCGTCCGAGTCGTCGGCCAGCCAGACCGGGATCGTCTTTATTCTTTTGTTGTGGGAGAGCTGATTCTCGAGACGCAGCATGTCATCCCGGGGAATCCAGAGGCCGTCGACCAGCGGAGGGGTGGGCGGGGCAACGCCATCGATGGGCACAGGCTTAGAGAGATGGTTGAGAGCGCTGAGGTGGACCGTGGTGGTGGGCGGCGTGCCGGGAGGCGACGGGGTGTCGGTCGGGGTCTCAATCTCGCCAGTCCAGGCCACAACGATGTGGTTCCATGGTGAGTCGTCCGACGAGAGGTAGGAAAAGGAGTCGAAAAGGGCCGACTGGCCTCGGCGGGGTGTCAATTCCTGCAGCACAACGATGACATCAGCCCCACCATTCCGAAACTTGGCAAACCGTTGCTACTCGATGGATGCAACCACTTGGCGCCGTTGAACATCAACGACACCACCGTTGGAGGAAGAAGATAAGAAGAAGAAGAAGAAGAAGAAGAAGAAGAAGAAGAGAGACACGAGACATACCCAGTCGGAGCCTTTCCTGTACTTTAGCGAATGGGGGATGTTAAAGGTGGCTGAGATGATGTTTCCACTGAGCGCGAGATCCGGGCTGATCTCCCGAAACTCGGACATGGACTCTCTGCGGCCGGCCATGGTAGCTTCGGTGAGCCTGTTCATCCACTTCTTGCCCTCTTGTGCACCAACAGTCACCTTGTTATGGAACGACTGCCCTTCGCGGTTTGTGCTGTCGGGAGCGGGAGAAGCGGCAATGGCGTGGTCGAGGACTCTGCGCGAGAAGTAGTCCCCTCTGGACGGTCCTTGGCCACCGCTCGAGTTGTTGCTGTTATCCGATTCGTACGTCTCTTGGGTGATGTCGGGCGTCACGGGCACGGCGGTGACTGACGATCGGAGATGGGGCGGGAGGAAGGAGTCGTTTCGTAAGGGCACTTGGGGACGATGAGGCAGGCCTTTCGAGCCTTGTTGGTCTTCTGGTTTCTGCGCCATGGTTAGGCGTGTTAACGGATGTCTCGACGGTATATGGTGATTAGAGAGAGAGGGTAGAGGACGGGAGACGCAGAGACAGAGAGACAGAAAAGGATGTTGGTTTTTGCAGAGTAGTGAAAAGTGTAATGGGGGTAGTGTGGTGTAGTGTAGTGTAATAAAGTGTAAAGGGTAAAGTGTCCTGTTTTGTCTTTCTGCAGAGGAAGAGGCACAAGTTGGCAAACTCGCAGCTCTATGACGGGATGAAAGACGAGATGACTGGACTCGTGGAGCGCACAGTCAGGGGCAGGAAGCAAAGCAGAACAGGGCTCAGGCCTGTGGGTAGCGAAAGCCCGGTGGAGTCTCTCAATCTTTCGGCGTCCTTCCAGCCGCGAGTCTTTGTCTTCTCTCTCTCACTCTCTCTTTTCCTCCGGCAACTCCTGCAGCTATTCCCGATCTCGGTTGCTTTTGCTGCTGGCTGCCCGGACGCGCTGTTGTTGCTGCTGCTGCTGCTGTTGCTTCAATGGCCCGCAATGCACCGCCCGGCATTTCGCGATGTTGCTCCGTGATTGGGCACCATCCGCTTATTGGAGGTGAGGGGCATTTTGACAGCCAGCGCCCAGCAAATGGCGGGGTACTCTGCACCAAGGCCCAAAGGTTTTTTTTTTTTGGTTCTGTCTCGCTGTGTCCCTCTCTTTTCTTTCCCCTTCTCTTCTGCGCTCTATTGTTTTCCAAGGTTCTCTCTCTCTTCTTCATGACCCCATATGATTCATGACTCCACTTTCCCCAGCACCTGAAAGTGAGGCCGCATGTCATGTAATAGAATGCGATGATGGGGACGGTGACAAGGAGGGGCTCGAAGGAAGAAAAGCATTGACCACTCACCGACTGGTCCTGACGTAATGGCTAGTGGCACCACTAACGGCAAAGATAAAAAAATAGTGGTTTGCTTTTCCTTGCCAGTTCTTGGGGCGGCGGTTGTTCTCCGAGCGCGGCGCGTGTTTTCGCTGGAAACCCAAGTGCTCCCGTCGTCGTTGCTTTCCAAGATCGGATTGCTGGGGATGGAGATGGAGGGGGGAGGAGGCAGGTGACGAAAGAAGGACGCAACGGGGGAGGGGAGGGAACGGTTGGAGGTGCGGACAAGCGCCTTTTTACTCGCTCTGGACCGACCAAGACTAAAAAGAGGGAAACGTGCTCTTGGGAGTTGCTTGGTGCCTTGGGCCGGGTGCTTGGGTGTGTGGATTCCACCACAGCTTCCAGGTTCCAGGGGGGGCTTCTAACGTTGTTTTCTTGAGGCGACACGCTGCCTGAGACTTTGGTTCAGCACAGTGTCATGTCACGATAAGCTTGATTGCAGGTGCAGCAGCCACAATCGCGATGCCGAGCGATATGTTCCAGGCCCGACCAGGGCGACAACACCCCTGCTGGCCAGGGCCACGGGATGACGGGCCTCAAAAGGGTTGGCTAGATCTTGTACCTATCTATTTTTCTTCCTGGCCATTTCTCTGCTGACAACGACGCGCGATATCCGCGACACCATATCAGCCTGAATAGCTGACCTTCTCTGTCTCTCTGTGTGTGTGTGGTGTGCCATCGACAAAAAAAACGCAACACATTTCTGACAAGCGCCGCAACACACTCTCTTGAGTGAGCCATTTTCAACGTCGCTTCGCTTTTCTCACAGAGAGTCGTTTCTCTCCCGGCCTGCCGCAGTTGTGCCGCCGAATTGGCCGCATTTCCCCGACGATGCTGTCCATGATCTCCTGCCGTTATTCCATCGCCGCCATCTCCTTCACATGGCGAGATCTGGTTCCGTGACTGGTTCTCTCCTCCCTCTCCCTCTCCCATTCCCGCCCCTCCAACACACCCTCACACAGCATACATCGAGAAAAAATACCACGTTTTCCCCTCATCGGTACGACCGTTATTGAGATGCATACACCACCGATAAGCTCAATCTTTGGGCTGCGTTGGAGTGGATTGGTACCCGACGAGGCGCTCCCCCCCCTCTCACCAGCCACTTACGTCTTATCCAACATGACGTGCGTCTGTTTCAGACGATTTGGCCGAAATTGGTGATGGTACTGCAACGCTGGGTCGGCTCTCCCTCGGGGCTCTCTTGCGCGGCATTTAGGGATTATCTTCCGGGTGAGCTGCTCGTTTTCTCCCTCTCCTCTGTCCATCGTAACACCGTCACACTGTGACTCAAAAAGTTAAACGCCTCTATTCAAGTCCATTCATTCCCTTGCCCTACCTGCCTACCTATGTACAGCAACCATGGGACTCTTGGCAACCTCTACTCCTTCTTCTTCTCTTTCTCCTTATCTTTCTTCGGGTTAGTCCCCTCCATCACCTCCCCAGTCTCCTCATCACATAGGTCGCTCTCGTCCGCCAGCCTGCTAAACTTTGGCAACCCATCCTTGATATCCACCACCCTCTGCGGATAAAACATGTGACACTGCGCCGCAAACGCCTCCCTCCCCTTCTTGGTGTTGATCCCCTCAATCAGCGTAGGGAACAACAAAATCATATTCCTCCCCTCGTCCATGATCGGCGTCCGGCAGTAGGCACACTGCACTTTGCACGGGAGATGGTGAGTAGTCGACTTGGCGGTAGGGTCGTACCACCCCAGATCGTGATGCCCATTGGTAAAGTTGATATCTTCCTTGTGGAAAATCGCTGCCCATTGAAAGGGTGCCTATTTCCTCTCTCTCATTAGTCACTATATCCACGACGACAAGTTGATCTTTGGTGGGGACATACCCCGTGCATCCTCTGACAGGTAGTGCAATGGCAGTACTTGCTCGCCAGCGGCTTCTCCCTCGACAGCTCATACTGCACCGCACCGCAGTGGCACTTGCCCTTCCACTTGACGTCAAAGTTCTCGCCCTTGTCGTGGATCGTGTACGGGGCGCGGAACTTCCACTGGTCCTGCTCGCGGTCGGTCCGGGAGCTGGCCTGGTACTGGTGAGGCTCGTCGCCGCGGCTGCGCTTGTTGTTTTCGTTTTTGTGGTCAGCCATTTTGAAAAATCGAGGGGAAGTCGAGAGAGGGCGTGTGAATGCAGGAGTGATGATCCGCTTCGAGACGGCTGAGAAGTGGTGAGGACGGAGTACCATCAAGATTGTAGAGATTCCGTTGGTCTTGTTCAGGTGTAAGAAGTGGTAGTATCGTCAGTAGGGCTTTAAATTTGCGGTCGAAAACACGGCTTTGGCCCCGGGAAAAGTCGAGGATCTCAACTACAAATACCACCGTGATGTTTACTCTCAGCGGCCTTTCAGCGTGTCATTGATTCACATTGAACCCGTCACTGACGTCATGACATGCCCCGCCGTTTTCAGCCTCCCCTGGGAAAGATTTGCACACGGCGCAAGCTTATTTTCATTGTCCCTTCCTATCTATCATACACACAAAAACACCACAACCCTAATAACCGGTCGTGATGCCATCAGCCCCCTAGCCCAAACGCTCAAACTCAAGCCTTGGCGCATTCAACCACACAATGCGGATCACCCGCCCGGACATGATACTTCACCACCCTCATCCCAGCCTTCTCGACCAAATCCCTATACATCCTCTTATTCCTCAGCTTGCCCCCCAGATTGAACATCATCAAATCGACGTGCGTATTCTGTGGTGGCTGACCGATCCCCTCGAATAGCTTGAACTCAACAATCAAAACCCTGGCGTCCTTGTCGACGTCAGGCATCGCACCAGCCACCTGCTTGAGAATGTTGACTGCCAGGTCATCAGAGTAATCAAGTAGGATCCTCCTCAAGACATACACCCACGCGCCTCTCACAGGCTGCCTCTCATGGAAATCATGGCTCATGAACCTCACCCCTTTCAGCCCTGGATCACCCATCTTCTCCACCCCCTCAATCACATCAGGTCGGTCCTGAAGCACACACTCTTCTGGCTTCAATCCCTGCACATTTTCCAGCAGTTCCTTCACCAAATGCCCCATTCCCCCTCCCACATCCACAATCTTGACTGTGTTTTCATCCGTTGGTTTCTTGGAACCCACCCAAGAAACGTCATACAACGCCTCCTCCCCGGTAATGGGTATATCCCCCCCAAAGATATTCTTGGCCTGCATCGATCGCTTGAACGAAGCGCTGTACTCGGGATACAAAGCCTTGACTTCCCACGGAGGAAGTTCAGCATGGCCCCAAGCAAAAGAAAACGGCGTGTGAGTCTGTCCAAGCGGCTCGCGGCGGCCATACTTGGAGAAATAATCCGGCCATTGGAAGAAGGGCTTGAATCCGTTGCCTACAGCAATCACAGCGAGGTCCGAAACGGGGTTGGTGGAGATGTAGAGAGGTGACAGCCTAGAATGGGAGACAGAGTTCGGAACTGGGCCAGGGGAGAGTTTGCCTGTGGCGATGAGGTGGGTGATGAGCCGGGCTGGAGAACTTGGTTAACTCGGTAGGTCACAGCAAGGGGGGACAGTACAAACTGATCAACGACTCATCGGCGTCTAGTTGGCGGGCCAGGTCGGCATAGGTGATGTAACCTGGTGCGGCGAGGGGGATCAAGTCAAAGGCCTTCCACGAGGTGAGCAGCGACCAGACGGCAATACCGGAGGTGGTGAGCCATTCGTCTTTTACGGCGTCAAGAGGGTGCGATGTTTCAACGGCAAGTGTGCGGGCGGTCTGGGCGAGTTTGCGACGGAGGGGGACATTATCGCTGCCTTGGTCGATGGTGGCGGCCAGACGTTTGGCGTCTTCTAGGAGGGCTTCAGCTGCGGCGACGATGTCGTAGGGCTTGGTGGTCACCGACGGTAACACTGTTGAAGTCGTCATTGTTGTGATCCTAGGTGGTGGTGGTGGTGGTGGCGGTGGTGGTTGGATTGGTAAAGTAGGTGATTTCAGCATGTTGGTTGCAGTGTGTGCTCTGCCCTACGATGGGTACCACAGACATCCAAGACACGGGCATGGGATTGGAAATTTTATATGTTTTGCTCAGAGAAAGAGCTTTCCAGGTTCCCGTCTGTTTTGTAGCTATCCATCCGTACCTGCCCTCGGCGGATAAAACGTGGGGAACTGCCGCTCCCAAGGGATAAACAAACGGGAAGGTGCCAATCTGGGGTCCCCGCCAATCTGTCAAAATGTCCGGAAGGTGCCAAGGCCTTGGATGTGGTCACTTGGTGTGTGGGGGAATGGTTGCGCGTGGCCATCTTGTGCGATCTCGGGCCCGGATACACGAGCCTGACCCGGGGACGCAGGTATTCGGCTGAAACCAAGGGCTGAGAGCTCGGGGCCGAGATTTTGGAATGACGGATCGGATGATACCTTAACATTGTCAGTCCCGGTGACCAACACCCAACCGGAACCGCCAGCTCCAATGTCCCTCGGCGTCCTCGATCAAGGCCCTCATTTCACCGACAAACGGCCGGGTCTCGTCCTTCAACAGGAGACCTCTTTCCAAACACAGCCTCGCGAACTTGATCGCTTCCCACCTATTTCCGACACCATTGAACTCGATTGCGGCGCGGTAATATGCCTCGTGCAGCCTAGCCTCTAGGCCCTCGAGTTCATAGAGAATGGTCAAGAGTTCTGCCATCCCGGGGCCGTCTTTCACACCGTGATCGTACTGGTCCAGCTCGTTTCTGATGTTTACAAGCTGGGCTGTGCGAGCATCTGATTCTTTCTGGCGACGAGATGCTTGGGTGCATCGAGGGCAGGAGCAGGTGAAGTTCCAGTATGAGAGGGATGCCTGTCGAGTCTGAGAGGGCTGTGTCAAGCTAGAAATATTCTTTGTTAGTGTAATCAGAATGTCTAGAGGGAATATGGGTATTGCTTACTCGACGTCTCCTATCGTCAGCTCTTCTCCTGGGTGGATATCCCGCACTGTGATAAGACTCTTTCGCATGGTCAGCGGATCAAAATGGTAAGCAGCATTGGGGCCGCAGGCGTGGTTGACTCTGGACACTGAGATTCGGTTTCAAGATCTGTCAGCATCACCCTGATTACCCAACTGGGAAAGTCTCACCATCCAAAAAGACAGCATGAAATTCTATGTCCTCAATCTTGGTATGAAATGCATTCTTCCCAACAATCGCCAGAGCGCTCTCCTTCGAATTTCGGAGTAATCCCTCAGCCCCTGTTAAGGCGAAGAAACGCTCGCGCGAGAGATATGGCAACATGCTAGCCGCTTCGTGGATCAAATCAGCCAGCATTTCCGTTCTCAACTTGGTGAAAGCCCCGTGGTCAATCATCAACCCTGGCGCATCGACCATCACTCTGGTGTTTTTCCTGATGGTTCTGTTGGCTGCGACCACGCCTAGACCCTTGCCTTCGATGGGCTTGACCTCTAACAGGTCTGGTGTGTTGGCAGTGTTGGGGGTGCTCCACCACCTGTCGTGATGAGGTAGGGTAGAAACCGAGCGGATGACGGACGAGGTAGTCACAAGTGATATCCCCTTTCCATCGTTGAAGTTTGGAAGCAAATAGACGCAATATTCCTTGTCGCCAGCGCGATGGCAGAGAGAGCCGACGGCCCAGGGCTGCCTGATTGTGCTGGCCTTAGCGGTGCATACTGGCGCTGGTATAATATGTGGATGCTTGGGGCATGTGGAGATGTAGTTGATGACTTCGTTTGGGGGGCAGGTTTGGGGTGGCGGACCGAGGGGGGACTGTCCAAAGAGTGTTAGAGGGACTAATACTTGAGTAAGTAGCATGATGATGGATGATGATTCTTCTTGGTTGGGAAAGAAAGAGATCTGTGGGGTTCAGAGCTTGGAGGAGTGAAGATTCCAAGAGGTCTGAGTGTTTGGAGAGCGTGTTTCATGATGAGGGTTGACCACATGGGGTGTTGTCCTTGGCAAGGGCTTTCGATACATTCAAACTTTCCTTCACACTGAATGTACATGACATGATCTGTTAGGTTGATTGAGTGTCCTGGCCAACTGGAACCGGTTGAGCAAAAGAATTCGGAGACTGAGTACTGCGCGAGACTCCTGAACCGCGCCATTCTCAAAAGGATGGTGTGTAGCCACCATTCTCCGACAAGGGCTGTCATCGAAAAAGTCCGGGCCGATAATGTACCCTCCGTCGCCGGCTAATACCACTGGAAGTATTGTGGTGCGCGACCCGGTTTGGTCTTTATCGCCTGGCAAGATTGGTGAAACAAAAAATTGCGTACTTGGTGGCAAAAGCAAGAGCTAGGCAGATTTCTTCTCGACCAGGGCAGCAGAAGACAAAGATATATAACTGCGGCTCTGCTCATGTATCATTCATGTCCAGTTCGCCACCCCTCGGACAGTTCTGAACCCGGTCAATAAACGTTATCTCAAGTAACAAGATCGACAGTAATTAGCCAGGTTGAAATCTGGGGTTGGTCTAACCATTCAATGCTCAACCCTTGAGAGAGCATGCATGCATGTGAAGCGGCACTTGGTGCATCATGTTCCATTGTCGATCCGGGCACCGAAATGAAGTCGAGGTCAAGATGTCTGGGAAACTCGATGTGAAGTTCCCATTTGACAGGCATGCAGTGCCACTCGGTCTACATTAGAGTGACTGATATAGCATTTGTGATCCTTGTCATTGAACCCTTGGGTCCTCCACACTCAGCATCAAAGACTCGGTCAAGCTCTTGTTGACGACCAGATCAGTTCGACGTAATGGGATGGTGGCAGTCGGCTCCGGAATTTGAGACGGGATTTATGGCGGATAGACGCGTTCGTTTACCCAGAAGTCACGGCGTGTGTTGCCCTTTTGGCGATGGAGCTGATGAATACCTGGTTGCCTGAAAGTATGCGCAACAGAGAGGCCATCCCATTGCACCTGTTTGCTTGAAGAGCCTTTGCCTTCATGTATAAAAGCCAAGGACTCTTTGGGTCGGCGGCGGTATGCCTTTGTTGGTAGAAAAATTGCTCCTGATCACCACACCATCTTAACTGCAAAGTTTTCTGAAGCTACTGGATACAGTACTCCACAGATGGCAGCCTTGCTCATGCTCAATTGTCAGGACAATACCAAGCAGGACTCCTTGGCCCAGTGAGCAAGCCTGCCTTGTATCTCTCCAACTATTCCAATGATTGACTTTGCTCACGTATCCATCAGCCATACTGACACCACATCCTCGACCGAGCGCTGGGTCTCTGACAATCAGCCCATCTTCAACTAGTGAGAGCCAGTGGCCAAACCGCATAGACAACAATTTCTCCACTAAAGCCATCGGTCGATACTTTTCCTAGAACCTACCGTGGTCCCATCTGAAGCCGAACAATAATGGTGCGTTTTCACCTGGGCGGGGAGAGAGAAAATAACTACCTTAACAATGACTGGTTACGCCAGGATGGGGGTTGGCCAAGATAGAGAGGGAAAAGAGGAGCGGGAGTCGGATTTTATGATCACTAGGCATTTGATCAGGTGGTAACGAGGGCTGAAGCAATAATTATATGATGATACACAGTAAATGATGAAGGGATCGGAGTAATATGCACCGTCTTCCTTTAGTGATGCTTGGTGATGACTAGAGCTTGGATCATGTAACCTGCTATCAAGAGAGTCAGGTACCTACTTCGTGATAGTGTAATTCAGCAACTCTGGAGTGAGGCCGTACTCGTGAATGGGCCTGTTGAGGGACCAAAACCAAAAGGTATCAAGACCCAGGACGTCTATTCGCTATCTCTGACTGTGCATGATGAACCCTTTATTCTCAGAATTGCGACCGAGTAGCAGCTTGTCGATTCTAGAGTCACAACTAAATCACATACACAACGAAAGGCATAAGGAGGACAATCCATGCCTCCTCTGCTGTATTATAAACGAGATTAAGCCTAGTACTATCAGTAGCTGAGTAGCCCGCATGCTGAGCTCTGTTATGTATCTGGAGAAAAGAAGACAGTGACCTGTTCGGGGAATGGTTTCTACCTTAGTTTTACCGGCTACCCAAATCTCCATCGCAGTTACTCACATTGACTACTGGGATCCTCTTGGTCGGCCTCTTCCTGGTAGGCCTCTTCCAGATCGGCCTCTCGAGGTCGTTCCCCGTACTGGCGCGGGGTTCCTCTTCCACTCCAGTAATAGCCTGGAAAAACATCGCCTGGCCAAGGAAGTGGGCTTTGAGGCGGCGGAACAGTCGAAGCAGACAAAAAACTGGCAGGAATCTGAGGGACATTCGCGATCAGAGTAGGCACCACCTCCGGCAAAGTAGTAACGTTTGTCTGACTCTTGGCATCTTCTTTGGAATTCTAACCCAAAGCACGAGTATCCTTCGCAAGCCAGTCCTGCATGCCGCTGGGAAAGTCCTTCTTGACAGCGCAGTTTGAGCAGCAGGCAGTGAGCTTGAGCGGCTCCGGGGCAATATGGGTGTAGTAGCCCTTCTCTGCTCGGCTGGGCTTGTTCTTGCAAAAAGAGCAGTACGGGTCTAGCGGGTGGGCGATGAAGTCTCCCGTTGCTCTCATTGCTCGAAACAAGTCCAAAGACAACAGCGGAGCTTCCTCATCGAGAAACTTGGTGAACCGAGGCTCCTTCATGAAATAGTACCGAGCCGTGTGAATGAACGACACGAACGCCTTGCGAATAGAGGTCACGGCCGTGTCGCTGATGGGAATGTCTTCGTAGACCAGGCGGATGGCCTCGCAGAGCTCAGGGAGCCACTCTTTGCAAGACTCTTGTTGCAGTTGGATGGCGGGGAGTTTGGTATCGAACTCAGCGGTCAGAGTGTCGAGAGCAATCTTGGCCAGTGGGCTCAGGGCAAAGAAGTCGGCGACGCTGTGAACCTCGAAGCATGTGACAAAGTTGGTCATGGTCATTTTCTCAGGGCCCCGAAGGGTGGCAATGTCGCAGACCCCAGTGTAGATGTACCGGATGACCCATTCGACAGCCTCGGGCTGAAAGTCCTGGATGGTAATAACACCGCTGGTCGCCTCCTCAAACTGCCCGGTCAGGGCCTTCTCGAACCAGACACTGCGGGTGCTACTTGCGGGTTAGCTGGATGAAGTGGTCGATGTATCGGTTGCGAGACGAACCACAGAATGGCCTTGTGAAGCTTCCACTCTTTGTCTCCACACTTGACAACGACATCAGAGAATAGCCCGGTCTCCAGCAGCTTCTCGTCAGAGGAGAGGAATCTATCGTTTTTATCCATCTTTGTGAGTCGCGACGGGGTCGGTTGGGTTAGGGTTGTTGTCAAGTCGAAATTGGGCTAGTGGTCAACGGCTTCCCGAGGCACGAAAGGCAAAAATGCGACTTTACACGCCTAAGTTGAAGGGTTTTTCATGGAAAAGTGAGAATGGAAATTCTGAGCAAGACAGAGCGGGAGTTTGCCTGCTGTTTACTTTGCATTGAACTCTTGGACTTCGTAACAATAGAGAGAAGCGGGGCAGGAGTGCATGCTGGCAACGATAAGAATGATAAGGGTTAGGGTATTAATCAGCATCTAGCAAACAAAAAGCAAGTTAAGTCACTGCACTGTGAGCATGAGGTTAGTCATCTGCTATTCTCGATCATGGTACTATTGGCCATGTCATCTGTCTTTTCCCGCGCCTTTCGAAGTCTATTCTGGGATACTTGACGAGACAGTGAAGTATGGATCCAGCGAGACCCCTCGGTCCAAAGCATGGCAGGTAGATCCGGTCGTGTCGGAGAGGGCCCATGATGATTGATAATGTGGTAAGCAGACATCTTCCAGTGCTTCCAAGGGAAAGATGCAATCGCTGACCTCGCAAGGCACGATGTGAAAGTGATCAAGATATTACTCGGCAGATGTCATAGCCAGCAAGTTACATTCGTGTTCGGAACATTATCCAAGTCCCTGCATCGTGAACCTCTGTGCCGCTGGTTCCTGACAGAATGCCCGAGATCGAGGAGACATCATGCGACAATCGATCGATTCCACGAGGGGACCAAACAGCAATATATCGCTTGCAACCCCAACCCATTACCGCCCAACACAAAGCATTACAAAACCTTAGCAAGCACCTTCCCATGTGGCATTGCAATGTCAACAAGTACGGAACCGAGCGGACACAGCCTCTCTTTTGAAGACTCGGGCGCTGACGTACCTGCAAACCGTCGATTCCAACGACGTATAGCAGGGGGCGGCCCGATCTGACAATCGGCTGGGTCCCTAGTCCGATCGGATCGGCAATGTCCCCGGGAAAAGACGGCAAAGTTGCCGAGAGATCGCCTGCAGCAGAACCCGGCAACTGGTTCTACAATGGGGGTGATCTGCCGGCTTGGCACTTTATCAAGACCACTTACACTGTAATAATTATGCTGTTGGCTTGGATACACTCGTCACCAGCCGTGTGACGTCGACACTAGGTACGATGGCTGTGCTGGTATTGTTGATTTTTCGCAATATCGAAATGCAAGATGCCGAGAACAAGAGCCATTCACAACTATAAGAGCTGTTGGGTTGCCACAAACTAATTCTGCTTCGTCCTACCTACTCATCACTTCACATTCAACATCTCACTTCACCACCATCATCAAACCTTTCTCTCAAACAGATATCAGTCTGCCAACATGCGTTTTTCCGCCATCCTCTCCCTCCTCTCGGCCACCACTGCCGTGGCCAACAACGCTGTTCCCGCCCTCTGGGACGGCAGCTGTTACTATCCCGCCTCGGATCCTGCCTTCAACGTCACCAGCTACCTCGGCCGCTGGTATCAGGTCGCCGGCACCATCGCTCCCTACACCCGCAACTGCAAGTGCATCTTTGCCCAGTACGGCTTGAACGACAACGGCAGCATCGCCGTCAACAACAGCTGCCAAGCCGGCACCCGCGCTGTCAACATTGTCGGCGCTGCTTCTCCTGCTGAGCCTCAGTACGGTGCCACTGGCGTGTTCCGCGTCCAGTTCCCCAACGAGAGACCTCCTGATTGCCCCGGTCCCAACTACATCGTCCAGGACTACACCGGCGAGTTCTCGCTCGTGCAGAGCAACAACTTTACCACCCTGTTCATCTTGAGCAGGGAGCAGCATCCCGATGAGAAGGTTCTTGATGTGAGTAGCCCGTTTCCATCAGAAGATTAATGTCCAGCGCTAACAAAGACGCAGGCCTGGATTGCCCGCGCTGGTCTCCTCGGATCCGACCTTTCTCAGGTTGTCAAGACGGACCAGACTGACTGTCTCTATACTTGAGCGGAGATGCGAACAATGGGTACAATACCATCATAATGGTCCGTTCATTATTGGACCAGGAGCGCTGTGAGTTGTTGATGTTCAGAATGGCGAGTAATATTGTATGTAATGTTAAACTTAGCCTTGTACATAATTACAATGCATGCTTTATCAGAGCACGGCTTCTTTCTGCTTGTGTGTCTTTGTGTACCACAAGCTATGCCACACTTGAATACCTGGAGCCTCATCCTAGAATGTGGTTTAGTCCACCAACAACTCTGGGCAAAATGCCTAACCTGCGGTCTGAGGACCGCTGCCTGGCAAATGGTTGGAGCGTGGTTCTTGGCATCACCTCATCTTCTAATTCTCATCACATCAACACTGTAGGCTTTCCGCAACAAACCTTCAATTATTCCTGCAGAGCGATATACAACAATGCATCCCAGCAACCCATTTTCCTCGCAAGAACCAGCCAGCAAGAATGCCTCCGGTCCCTTGCGAGTACCCCTCCCCAACGAGCCAACCCCCCTGCTATGTATCGACGTCGAAATCAACGGCCACCCCATCACCGCACTGGCGTCCATGGCAAACGAGAACTCAATCATATCCCTTGAGCTAGCCGAACAGCTCTCCCTGCCCATTGAATCGCGAGAATTCAAACACCCTGTCCGCTTGCTCAACGGCACAATCGCCAAGGGGGACGGGACGGTCCAAGTAGCCATCACGCGCCGCGATCACGAGCAGCACAGGTACCTACCAGGGCTCCAGAAGTGTGATGTCTTACCGGGAAGTATTTACCCCCTCGTGCTGGGACAAACGAGCCTCTTGTTTTACTTGCAGGCGGTCCCCTATTGGCGTGAATGGTATAGGCTTCTATCCCCAGACCCCCCGCGGGAGTTTGACTTCAAGATTCGAATGTCTCTGCCCAGGCCCCCGCTGGGGGATAGGACCGTGTTTATCAGTGCGGTTGGGCATCTGGCGTTTGATGATTTGGGTGGGGACCTTGCCGGTGATAACGTCCCGTTTGTGTTGGATGGTGCGAGTACTTGTTGTATTATCTCTGGGAATTACGCCAGGTTCAGGGGGATGGACATGGAGGAGCTCCCTCCGGGCGAGGCTTACACCTTGGTTTTTATTGATGGGTCAACCGCGGAATGCTCGACGGTTGTCCGGGGAGTGGAGTGGACGCCTTGGGACAATCCAGGGGCTGGATACATTATCAGAGGCCGGACTTGTTTTGTGGACTTTCTTGTTGTTGAGGAATGCCCGGCTACGGTTATTCTTGGGAGTAGCTATCTTGACGCGTTTGGGATATTGGAGGGGCCGGAGAAGGTTCCTGATCTCGAAAGCTTCCAGATTACTTCTCTGGGCTTCGCACCCTCACTGGAACAGTACCCTGAAGTTTCGTGGCTGTCGAAAGGAACGCGACCTGGCGTGACGGTGGGGGATACGTGGTTGGAAGTTGAGCTGCAGGTAGGGGTGGCAATGGTCGAAAGGGGCGCAGAAAGTGGTCTTGACAGCAAGGCGGCCAGTGAAAAACAGGCCGTTCAAGACATTGGTCAGTGACCCGTTCCTATGAATTATGTTTGCCAGAGCTGACAAGGTGTTGGGCTGGCGACCTAGGAAAGTCACCGGCGGCGAAAATGAGGCCAAAAAATGGCCAAAATTGGTAAGCAAATTAGTATTACAGTAGTTGGTTGTTGGTTGAAAAGAAAACAGTAAGAAAATCCAGCCCCAAGAGCAAACCGGTGTGGGTCTGGGAAAACCTGGGCCCTTTTGGTGCCCCACACAAGGGGATGAATGTAGATCCTCAAGTGAACCAACCTCGGGAAGAAAGGACGAGTGCAGTTGCAGACAGCGGCTGGGAGGTAGTTGGCCGACAAGAAAGTTTAGCACCGGTACACTATGACTCGAAGGGAGTGGCCAAAGAGAAAGCCAAGAAGCGAGCTTGGTGGTGCTTCAGGTAGTCGGGTACATAACGGTTACCTGACGTAAACTCTGCCTTTAAACATTCTGTCGAGAGATGTGGTGTCCAATGTGAACATTGATTTTTATAAGAATATTGACAAGGCTGGGACGGGATCCGTACAACTTGTCAGAGAAAGATTTGAAGATTCGAACAGACATACGAGACCCTCAAAGCGTGGCGTCTGATACTATGCAGCAATACCAGCTACTGCGTGTATGTGATTGGACAAGTCATGAAGCTAAGCTGACAGAAGTTCTTATTACCCCGCATAGCCTTCTCTGAAGAGCGTTGACTGAGAGATTTTCTTTCTTTTCTTCTCATTGACACAGGCTCAAACTTCATATTGCCGGATACCCAAAGCCCAGCTGAACATGGCCACATCACAAGACAGGGTTTTGATCGTCGGAGCAGGTACCTGAACACTCTTGTTTGGTCTGAGAGCTTTGCAACATGAGATGCTAATTCGTCAAACAGGATCATCGGGCTTGCTCATTGCCCAGGTTCTCAAGAAGGTACTGGATGCCCGGAGAAAAAGGCCCAGTAAAATCACCCACTTATTATAAGCATCAAAACAGGCCGGCATCCCAGCCACAGTCTTCGAGCAAGACACCTCGCCCACGTCCCGCCACCGCGACTGGAACTTTGGCATCTACTGGGCCCAGTCCCGGCTCGAAGAATGTCTCCCCCCAAACCTACACCACCTCGTCAAGTCAACACAGACAGACCCGAACTATGAGCCCTCGGTGGATGAGAAGCTCAACATCTTCAACGGCCACACTGGCGAGATGATGAACAGCCTCCCCGCACCATACAGCATGCGGATCCGGCGCAGGCCTTGGTTGGAGCTTCTCACGACTGGAATTGATGTGCGCTATGGCAAAAGGCTTTCCAGCGTGTCTGTCACGGATATCAGTATGACGATAGCCTTTGAAGATGGGACATCTGAAACTGGCACTTTGCTCATCGGTGCGGAGGGAGCTCACAGTCCCACTCGAGAGTTTCTCTTCCGGAGGTCGCCCCAGGAGGCAGCGTTGCTTAGCTGTCCTATTGTCACGACGGCTACTTTGACGACGTTTCCCAAGGAGATTGCAGGAGAGCTTGCCAAGTTGCACCCTAAACATATCATTACGTTTGACCCGGCGGGGATGATTGTTTGGATAGGGGGTTTGTTCCCTTCTCATTGCGATCATGATAGAGAGCTGATAGTCAGTAGTCCACAACCGAACACCAACGGACTGCACTTACATGATCCTCGTCAGCTGGGAGTCACAAGAAGAGACTGGGCTGAGGGAAGCCGGCAGCGATGCCATCTTGGCTGACCTAAAGTGTCGAGCTGAGAAGCTGGCATTCCCCTTCAAAGACGCCATCCAGAGCGTGCCAAATGGGACGAGAGCTTGGTACGAAATTGCAGCATACCTACCTATTGGCCATGAAACACTATACTAACATTGCTCAAGGCACGCCCGGCTCTCCTACTGGCCCACCAAGCCCTGGGATAACCACAACGGAAAAGTAACCCTGGCAGGCGATGCAGCGCACCCCATGACGTTCCGTGCGTTGTCCTATCCTCTTATTATCACACACATCCTGTACTGACATTGACATGTTCAGACCGAGGCCAAGGCCTAGGCAACGCCATCGCCGATGCGGCCGAGTTCCAGACCTGTTTGTCGTCCTCCAGCAACAACCTTGTCGAAGCGGTAGCAAAGTACGAAAAGGAGATGTGGGCGAGGGGTTTCGAGGCGGTAAAGGTGAACTTGGAGAATAGTATCGCGTTGCATGACTGGAAGAAGGTGTTGTTGAGTCCATTTTACAAGGCTGGTATCAAGAGGGACGCGGAAGTTGGGGTGAGTGAGGAGGGCAAAGTGGACGAGAAGGGGCAAGCGAAGGGTGGCGAGGGGGAGCTATTTGATGAGTGATACGCAGTCATTGGACTGGAATGTTTTACCCCTGAACCCTTGAACCCATGTAGTCCTTGTTTCCCAGAGTGTTTGACATGCAGAAAGAAAACGTGAAAGTGTAAATAAACGCAGCTTTGATGCACCTAAGTGCCGCCGTCATGTTCCCTACGTCATCACCTAAACAACCCCACCACCGTCCCCTGATCCACAAACCTTCCATTCATCTTGTCCTCCATTTGCCAATTCCTTCCCCCCACCTGCCCAGACTTTGATTCTCTCCCTCAGGCCCTCTATTTTCTTCTTACCCAAAAAGGCAACCCCAAAACACCATCCCCCTTTCTTCTCACCCACCATGACGCAACCACCCACCACAAACAACAACTCCCACATCTCCCTCACCCTCATCGAACCCAACCTCTACCTCGGCAACCTGGAATCCTCTTACTCCATCCCCACCCTCATAACCCACGGCATCACCGCCATCGTCTCCCTGTCCGGCATCCACCACGAGGAATGGTCCCGCCCCGCCAACCGCAAGCTCGTCCCGAAGGAAAACCACTACCAGTTCATCCCCTGCGACGACAGCCCCAACCAAGACATCTTGTGCTGTTTAGGAGACATTTGCGATTTTATCGATGACCATATCGGGGTGCCTTCTGTGCAGGAGATATTAGCGGGTGTTAAACCCGGTGATGACGAGGAGGATGTGCTGGCGAGGGAGATGGGGAGGAGCAGGAAGGTGCTCGTTCATTGCGATGAAGGGGTGTCAAGGAGTCCGGCGGTGGTGGCGGGGTATTTGATGAGGCGGGATGGGAGGGGGGTGAGGGGGGTTATGAGGGAGGTTAGGAAGCGGAGGGGGTGCGTGAGGGTGAATAGGGGGTTTTTGGAGCAGCTGAAGGTTTGGGAGAGGGTGGGGTACAAGGTGTGGGAGGATGAGGAGAAAAAGGTGCCGGTGGAGGGGTATAAGAGGTGGTTGGAGAAGAGGGATAGTAGGGTGATGGGGGAGGTTTGTTTGGGGGATGTGTGAAATAAAAGAATGTTGTAATCATCATGTTACGCGCAACCCCTCCCAGCTCGGACTTTAGAATCCGGGCACCTACCCACCCAATGTCTTGCTCGTCTTACTCGGCAGTTTGAAAGCTACCTACCCCGACCCACCGGGTATATCAGCCCCCCACCCTACCTCCTTCTTTCACCATCTCACTATTTCCCACCCATCCACCCAACCCAAAATGTCATCCCCACCCCTCCCCCACCTAGCCCTCATCGGAGCAGGCATAACCTCCCTCACACTCTCCATTCGCCTCTCGGCCCTCGCCATCCCCCACACAATCTACGAGCAATCCGCCTCCTTGACTGAACTCGGCGCAGGTCTCGGCTTTGGTCCCAACGCCGTCCGGGCCTTGGAATACATCGATCCGAGACTAGTAGAGATATTCAACAAAACAGCCACCTTTGTCGGCACCCCCTCCCATCAAGGAAAAGAGTTGCTTGTTCAGGAGGGCAAGGGAGTTGACGAGAGGGTATGGATTGAGTTTCTTGATGGGACTAAACAGGGAGGAGGTGAAACGCTGGAGCCGGAGTTTGTGATTACCGCTGGGAATGGCAGGGGGCATGCGGCTGTTCATCGAGGGCAGTGGTTGGATGTTTTGGGGGGGTTGGCGGATAAGGAGAGGATAATGTTTGGGAAGAGGGTTGTTGATGTGGTATGTCTTGATGGGAAGATGAGGATTGTGTTTGCGGATGGGACCGAGGCGGGGGCGGATGGGGTGGTGGGGTGTGATGGGGTCAAGTCCAAGGTGAGAGAGGTGTTGATGGGGATGTTGGGGGAGGGGAGGGAGAGGGGGAAATGTGGGTACAGTGGGAAGTATGCCTATCGGTGTTTGGTGCCGTGGGGGAAGGCGGTTCAGGCGGTGGGGGATGATAGGGCTGGAGTGTCGAGTTTGTGGGTATGGCTTTTTATGTTTTGGCATTGGTGATGCTGTGGAAAATGCTGACGGATGAATAGATGGGCCTGAATAGGCATCTGCTGACGTTTCCGGTTCACAGACAGAGCGAACAGTTCTTGAACTTGGTGGCGTTTGTTACGGATGAAGATGGCCAGATGTGGCCTCAAGAGGGGCCAGCCAGCCTGACTCTACCGGCTACAAAGGCGGATGCACTGAGGGATTTTGAGCAGGCTGGGTTCAGTGGCTCTGTGCGGCGGTTACTGGAGATGACGAAGGAAAGGATGGACAAGGTAAGCTAGCATTGGCGCAACATTGCATGCCCTGGTGAAAACTGACGTCTTGGGCAGTGGGGATTGTATGATGTTGCTGATCGGCCGCTCTCCAAGTTTTATTTTGGCAGGATCATGGTCATTGGAGATGCTGCCCATGCATCGACACCTCACCATGGTTCTGGAGCAGGATTCTGCATGGAGGACATTGCCGTGTTAGGGGCACTATTCGAAGAATCTATCGCCCGTCAGTCATTGACGGTCGAGACTTTGGAAGATGTGTTCGCCGCTTTCGATTGTCAAAGGCGTGAGCGAGATCAGTGGCTTGTCAACAGTAGCCGAAGAGCAGCTGATCTTTACCAGTGGCGGATTCCAGACTTTCTGGAACCGAACAGCTTTGAGAAAATGAAGGCGGACATTGAGCAAAGACAAGAGCACTGCTGGGGGTTTGATGTAGAGGCAGCGGTCAGAGAAGCAAAGAAGCACATGAGTGAAAGGCTGACCCTTCACACACAAAGTTAATATTCTACTCTAATAACAGACCTGGAGCCGGACAAAAAGAATCTATCAATACCCGTGCGTCTTGTTCATGACATTGATCAACGTCGGTTTCTGCCCGCTCAACCCCTCCAAGTTCCTCTCAACAACCGCCTGGATGCGCTGGAACAGATGGGGTGTCTGCCAGCTGACATGAGGCGTGATAAACACATTGGGCGCGCTCCAAAGCGGGTGGCCGTCTGTAAGTGGCTCAGGGTCCGCCACATCGAGTGCCGCACCCCTGATCTTCCCTTCCTTCAAGGCTTCAATCAAATCATCCGAGTTGATATGCTGACCCCGGGCAATATTTGACACAAACGTCTTTTTCTTGGCCAAAATATCAAACTGTTCTTTGCTGATGATGTACTTGGTCGCGTCTGTGAGAGGCAGGCTGATGACCAGCAGATCAAGGTCCTGGGCGAGGAACTCGTTGATTGACTCCTTGGAGGAGCCGTGATACCATTTGACCGGGATCAGACCGTCGGGGTCTCCTGTTCCGGGGACAACGTAGCTGTCATCCTTTCTTGCCTCGGGCGTGGCTTTTTCGCGGCGGGTGTAGGCGTAGACTTCCATTCCGAGAGCCTGACCTAGCCGCGCGCAGTGCCTGCCAATGGCACCGTACCCCAGGATTCCCATCCGTAGGCCGGGCGAGTCTTCAATGTGGAGAGATGGCTGACGGTTCCAGGTAGCCTTCTTTTGTTGCTCGGCGTAGCTGAGGAATTGGTGGTTTGCCATGAGCCAGGTGCCAATGACCCATTCTGCGATTTGGGGCCTGGAATCATTGTTAGTTCAGTCATTCCAAACGGTTCCACCCACCCTTCAACCAAACACGTACGCGTGGGTCCCATTGGCGGTGCAGAAGGTGACATTGGGGTTTTTGTAGAGGTCGTTGGTGGTCCACCTGTCGGCTCCGGCAGACATGAGCTGGACATATCTGACTTTGGGCAGCTTTTCGGCCGGGTGAGGCATGAACCCGACCAACAAAGTAACTCCGTCGTACACCTCATCCGGTAGGGGCTTTGGCATCATGGTCAACTCAGACGTGTGCCACCGAATCTCCAGCCCAGGGTATCGTTCCTGGAGCTGAGCGATCCATTTCTCGTCTCGTGGCGCTGGCACCTCAAAGAGGAGAACGTCTCCGGCTAGGGAGCTTGTGGGGGTAATGGTTACCATTTTGGATACGATACTCGGTGTTGAAAAACAAGAGACCAGAACAGAGACAAGGCAAGAGAAGTGATGAGGCAGACCTCCGTGAGGGGTGGCCAGTCTTCTTTTATAAGCCGAGGTCACACCTGAACGTAAACGGCTTAGAGTCCGAGAGGGCCGAGTGCGACAGTCTCCCCGTTGGTGATGTGTGAATGCTTGGAGGTGCGGGGTCCGGACCGGCTACGGCGGAGCGCCAACGTCTTTCGGAGACATTTGTCGTATCTCCGTTGCCGTGATGACGCAAAGCGCCACGTTAAAAGCACAATATTCCCGGAGACGTTCACTAAACATGAACCTGCAGCTCAAGTCCAAAAGGTATAACGATAGGAGTGAATTGATTACCAACCAGCAACTCCCCAACTCCCTCGGATATCATTTCGCGCGGCTATGTCCACCTAGATTAATCTCAACAATATGTACAAAAGCTCCATCGCACACTTCTCAGCACCCTCCGAATCACCCCGTCATGGCCTGTTGCTCAGCTCGGTGTGCTGTTGACCCTGGGCTGGCAGCTCGATTCGATTCTCGTTGGTAAACGCCTCATGGACATGTGTGTTTGGAATATAGTGACGGTTATCCATCTCGACCTTTGGACTGTAATAATCGGCTTCGACTGGATACTGTCCGCCATAGTGATAGGCTCCTGGTGAAACAGCCTGCGTCGATGCACCGCTGTGAAGTGTGCCGCTGCCCTGACCTGGACTTCCAGCAATTGGCCCAACCACCTCGGCATTTTGAGCTTGCGCGTTTGCGCCTCCTCGCCGTCGACCGAGAAAGTACGCACCAATGGCAATACCAATGGCGAGAACAGCTGTTGCTCCGACTCCGATACCGATGCCAGCACTGGTGGACAGACCAGTTGGGCTGGCTCCCGCAGGTTGCTGATTGGGGAACTCATCTTTGGTTGTGCCACCGGCATCAGAGGTTGCTCCAGGCCCGTCGCTTGTTGCTGTGGTCGTCGACAGCCCGGGGCTGAGGATAACCGTGGTTTCGGTCGGGAGCTTCGTGGTTGTCTCGGACGGCTGCTGAAAGTTGGATATTCCTTCGCCGCGTCTCGAAATGTTGAAGTAGTGGCTCATGGCGAGATTATTGCTTGTGCCCTCCTCGAAGATGATCAGCATGAACATGTTGGATACGTCCAGGTCCTTTGTCGTCGCGACAATCCACCGCCATCCCGTCATTTCCACGACACTGCCTGTGGACGCAGTTCTGTTAGCATGGCCATGACAGGTAAGCCAAGGTCAGGTAGGAGGTGCGCATACGGGTGACATGCTCCAACTGTCCCATGGTCTCGGTTCCGTTCATCTGGAACAACGTCACGGAATAGGGCAAGCCCTTGGGAGGAGCGCTCCAGTGGAGGTCAACCGTGGACAACTCGACATAGGTGGGGTTCTTGCTGAAATCGCCCCTGGTTCCGAAGGCTGGCGGGGTGAAGAACTCCATCGCCGTTACGGCAGCGGGTAGAAGCGCGCCCAGGATGGCAAGGAGCAACATTGTATTGTCTGTCGTGACAGAGATGGGTGAAAGAGTCGCGTGGGGAAAGAGGAGGGAGGGGATCTCTCTCGCATAAGAGACTTTGGCGACGCCATGTGACACTGGGGCCACTCACCTGCCCCGGGGACTATGGTTGCATAGTGGGTTCGCTGATCTCCATCACATCACGATGTTGCTCGCGGTTACGTTGCTATTATATGAGGGTATTTAGGGAAGGCGTGTTTGAGCACTTGAACACGGCATTATCTGGAGCAGGGGGTGCTGTGCGGAAAACTCAGGGGTTGTCTGTTAGGGTCCCGCTTTGGAGGTTACACAGTGTTCGTCAGGGGTAGGTTAGCGCAAGCGTTTGGCGCATTTGCCAGCGGGCCGTTGGTGGCATTGCTTGTTTGCGCCGTGCCTCCGCAGCCTCCGCAGCGGGCCGGCACTGATTTTGCTTTCAGCGTCAGGCGCAGGCCATATGTATATGGTTCCAGCGACCTCTAGCAATCGCTCCGTCCAGGCCTTGTGTTGACCCAGCCCCGCGGGTGCGGGAGAACCACTCGGTACCGAGGGCCGGTTTGCGGTTCCCAATCACAGACACAGAAACCTCGCCATACACTCAGTCCCGATGACCAGTAAGAGAATCAGCAGCTACTTGAAACACTTACTGTCCTTTGTTGACCTTTCTGTCATGCCAGTCTTGTTCAGGCTCCTTCTGGCACCCCCGGCTTGTCTGTATCATCATGGCAAGGCCAAACAAAAGTACCGGAAAGACAAATAGAAGGAAGCATTCTACAGACCAGGCCTTGCCACACCAGACCTAACAATCACCACAAGCGGTCGTCTTGACGGCCCGTTCCTCGTTTGCAGGGTCGCCACGTGCTTAGGTACCTACCACCTCACAGCTTCTAATTTCATGATTTATGTTTGTCCAGGTAAGATACATCTTTCTCCCTACTTTGATTCCACCCCCCCTCCAACCATCTCCCCCGGCGCCGCCTCAAACCTCTCAACACCCTCAGGTATCTCCACCACCGCGCTCCTCGTGTAAATATGTTTTGACCCTTTCCACTCCAAACCCTCAATCACCCCTCCCTTGACAGAAACAGTACCCCTGAGCGTCCCATCAGCTTCATGGATATGGTGGTAGATCCGGCACCCGCATTCCCTGCAAAAGTAACAGTCCATCGTTCTGCCTTCTTTGGTTGGGCGTGTCCACTTTGACAGTTTGGATTGCATCTCGGTCGGGATGGTAAACGAGGAAGAGGGGAAGATGGCTGAGGTGCCGAAGGCGGAGGAGGATTGCTTTTGGCATTCTAGGCAGTGGCAGTGGTAGAGGTCTAGGAGGGGGGCTGTTATGGGGAAGGAGATGGAGGTGCATTGGCAGGATATTTGCATTGTGGCGTGGATGGAGTGAGTGGAGTGGTGGGTTGTTGTTGTTGTTGATGATGATGATGATGATGATGATGGGCGATGCGAGTGACTGCGAGAGGATGGGAGGGTGAAAAAGGAGGATGTTTGCGGGGCAATAGAGCGTTGATTAACATGGGCTAGCAAGACGAAAGGGCGCGCCAAGCCCCGGGATGTGAAAGTTGTGCGGATTAGCTGTGGTGAGAGCTTCATGATGGCAGATATTTTGGTGTGCATAAATGAGGAAATAAATTCTCAGGGGCTGAAGATTTCTGCACTTGAGGCGAAGGGCTTCACAAATAAATCTCGTGACATAGGTATACAGGCCGCTTCGAGCTACCAAATCAGGACAATATTCCGACCGAGACTAGGTCATCCCGCACCATCTCTGTACCTATCTGGTAGTTACTTAGAATCTTCAATCAGGTAGTACCCATACTCGGCAAACATAAAGCTTTGGCGACAGCGATGTCTTTTCTACCTAGGTTTTTCTAACAAAACCCTATCCACGTCTACCCTCCCCCTAAACCCCTGAATCCAGCCAACCGCATCACCACAAACACCCCGACCAAATCACAAATAACAAAAGAAAAGCTCCCTACTGTCTCATCACCCACCGAATCCTACTCTTCATAAAGAACTCCTAACACAAACCCCTCTAATCACAAATAGCAGCAAGCCCATTGGCGAAGCACCTCTCATCAGCACAGCAGCAAGCCCCGCGCGCCTGGGGGACGCCGTCCTCATTGGTAGGGAAGATGCAGTTGGCGGGCGAGTTGCCGGCCGGGGTGATCACCGCGAGCTCCGTTTCACTGCCGACGCCTGTTTGGTTGGGTACCAGTGTCAGCTGAGTTAATGCAAGTGCATTGGGAAGAAACAAGAACTTACAAGCGAGGCTTCCGCCGGGGAGGATGTCGCTTCCGCAGAGGCGGGCGTTGGGGGGGCATTGCGCGCTGGTGAGGGCAGCGGCGGTGGCGAGGAGGAGGAGGGTGAACTTGTTCATTTCCGTAGAGGGCTGGGTTTGGGATGTCGGTGAGTTGGTGAGGTGGTGTTGAATTGTTGTGTTATGGACAGGAGACTAAACTCAGGGGAGGGTGGTGTACTTATACTTTTGTTCTTTTCATGGCATGAGTGAGGACGAGGTTGATGGCTCGAGTCCGAGGCTATGGAAGGTAAGGGAACAGATCCTTACCCCTTGTGGCTGTTGCATTGTTTTGCCATGATTGAAGGAATTCTCACCGAACTTGAAGTCAAAGGATTGGGTCATGCGTCTGCGATGAAGACTGTTGGGTTGGTCTTTTATGGGGATGACAACATATACCTTGGGTCACAACATCGCACTTGTGGTATTGCAAGGGTAGCCGGCAGCCCCGGAACCAGGCATCGAGTTTTGTTATAGTGACGATCACTGGCGATGGATTGTCTGTTTCAAGAAGAATCGTGATGGAGGCATTGTCTTTGGAGGATTTCAAGCCTGTTGCCGGATGATGGATAGCTCTGTTGGCCATGCGTCCGAAACGATTTGGCCCCACCTATGATCAAGCAAGAAGTGATAGATACAGCAGTACTGTATGTTAGAAACACTGCTCAAAAGTTCGTAGCGCTGATCTTTTGTACCTACTTTAAAGGTGTGGACTGATCAACCCATCCCAACCTCTTTCCACACGAGGGAGAGACGGTTCAAACAGCAATCCCAGTTACTTAAGATTGAGAGTACCAGACAAGGACAGCCTGAAACCTCAATCCTCCATATCAGTTGTTTTACGTAAAAACTGTTGTTGAATTTTGTTGTCTGCCACGCATTAGAGTATATGACATGGATGTGGATCCGTCCCAACTTCAAACACAGGTCCCATGAAACCGGTAGCGAATGAGCCTCATTTTTGGTAGGTCAGCTTCTTTCGGTGAGCTATGTTGGAGGCGCAGCAATGAGGGTAAGCTCTCGGATATAACCAAGCACTTCGGAAATCGCAGCAGGTTTTGGAAGCTGCATGGGCTTGAGATCACATGAGACTGATGAACCGGCTTCCCCGGACATACACTGAGGATGAAGCTATTCGATGAGATCATCGTGAGGCATCGCACTCGTAAATCGGACCGAGTGATACTTGACATCGAAAAATGTCCAAACTAAAAGAGTTGGGGGGTAGGATTGATGAAAGATTCAAAACACGGCGTTAAAATAGGTCCTGAATTATGCCACCACGTAGACAAATACAAGGATGGGAGTCATGGCTTGCCAGTCCGCTACCTTATGATGAGTAAACCAGATCATGTTCTTGGAAAGCACAGGAATCATCCCTGTGTGACACATGCGGTCGGAGCACTACCTGACTCGTATGCCGATCGTCTATAGATAATTGACAAAGGCCAATCGTTGATGAACATGAAATCCCTTGATAAGATAGCCCCATGGTATTGAGCAGCAACGTGACAAGAATAATGGACGGCAAAATATTCGAGAGCGTCAAGACCTTCTTGCCGAAGCAGATGTCGACATGAGTCTGGAGCAAGCAATCGAATGTCGAGACAAGGCCGCGGATGCGATGTATTGACTCCAAGTCTATAGCGACGCCAAAGATTTCGACGGTGTTGTTCAGTCACTGAGCAATACGATCGATATCATTGCCCTCAGCGATGAAAGCTGGCGTTGGATGTACGACTGTGCGACAAGGGCGAATTTCAAGGGTTTCAATGCTATCTGGCCAAAACCAGGTTTTGATTAAAAAAAGGATATACGACCATGCGCTGGCAGCGTGTGGCGAGGTCCCAGGAGGCTCATGAGGTAATGGTTGTGCCTTGCAAAGCTCAGGATTTCCAAGTTGCAAAAGAAAAAGGAATGCGAACCGTCTTTGTGTGCAGATCTTGGAGACCTCACCATAGTCATGGCGAGTCAAGCGTCATAGGACTCGGACTGGCAGCTTCTTATGCCGACTTTGTTGTCTGCAATCGCCTTCAACACGCCGGGCATAATGAAGGGAGGTACTTGACTGATATTTTGGATCAGATGCACATAGATAAGTACCTAGCTGATGAAGATGTGTGACTTCATGTCTTTACTTGGTAGTCAACTGGTTATGAAATGAAGTCGGGTGTAAGATTCGGATTGACTTCACTCGTGTGCCAGCATGCCCTGCCATCTGATGGAGCTTGGTCCAATGCAGGGCCGTTTTGGCTAAACACGTCCAATGACCTCTGCTCTGCGGCCTCGCCTAACCACTGCACGATAAAGTGATTGTGATTCACTGAAACCCAATCAAGTGTCTGCAGTAACGAAAATGGGCTTGTTCGTATACCCACGGGGAAATTCTTCGGTCATACTTCCAAAATGCGTCGTGACTAGCTCCTGTTCATTCGAGCTACAATCAGGTTGGCGATCTCAATAGAGACTGCCACTACCGACCTAGGCAGACACCTATGTACTTATCCAATCTTCGTCTCTATCATACCCAACATACACGACTACCAAGCGTAAAGTGCTCTCTTTGCCGTCCAATGTAACGTTTCCGGCCCCGGGGTGTTTGCCCGATGTGGGCAAGCGAAGTAAATACGGCGAGGCCCGTTCGATGGTTACGATGTGTAAAAAGCTCCCAAAGATCCCGTCCCAACGGCTCGCTAAACGAACTCGCTTCTTCTCGGCACTCAATCAAGGGTCTATAACATCTCCGGAATGGTTCCTCTTAGCTCCAGGTGACAAAGAGCGTCTCGGGTTGAGAGCATGGATAAGTTACAATCCTGATCGGCTATTGCAACATTTGACTTCGAGTCTCGCCTACCTTGCCCATTCTTGTTCTAGACTCCTGGCCTTTGAACTTTATGATGTGATCAGTGACTTGTTGTGGACAATGTGGTCATGTCTTGCCCTAGATTTACAACAGTTTGTCAAATCTGTTATTGTCCATTGGACCAACGTGATATGGACACAGGGCAATGGTGATGGGTATGTAAAGAGCAAAACTCTCACAAATAGTCGAGTTGAGGTCGGTGTCCAAAACGAGACCAAAAATGAAGTAGTCAAAAACCACTCTGCTGTACCCGCTTCTCACACGGCAAGTCATATATTGCCCACATCATCTGCAGTCTTAGTATGCACGTTTTCATTGCGGCTGATGTCTTGTTCCACCTCTTGAGAGTGCTGAAATGTGTAAGGCTTCGGCCATCCTGCCTCAACCCCTCAGCTAGTGGACATCAGAGACATGAGCAGCACTGCTCTGCCAACATCATGAGATATTGCCGAGACTCAACCGTATCCCTGTTCAGTGGTGAACACTCTATGTTTGCATTCGATGAAACGAAAGAAGCGAGAGGCAATATCTCCATCGCGAGATGTGGGCTTTCTCCGCTTCAAGTCTGACGATCTTGACCGGTTGCCAGCGTCCGTTACGACAAGAGGAATTACAAGCGAGGACATCTCTGGCCTCTTTGACCGTCCCAAAGAAAAGTATATAACCCCCTGAATCTCCCTCTCTTTCCAGTTTATTCCCATCCTCAGCAGCAGCAGCAGTCTCCAGCCAGCACTCGACACCACCTCCAACAAACCAGCACCCAGCTCTTTTTGCAAAAATCTTTCAAAATGAAGGCCAACTTCCTCCCCGTCATTGCCCTGCTCCTCACCCCCGCCCTCGCTGCTCCCTTTGCCGAGCCCGAGGCCGAGGCCGAGTTCACCCCCATGGCCAGGGACATGACTCCCCGCGCCGCCTTCAACGAAGCCGAAGGTCAGTCGACCCCCCCTTTGCACTCTTTTCTCTCTCATACTCACTTGCAGCCTGCTAACACGGCGCCCGACAGTCTTCGCCTTCGCCCCTCCGGCCTCCTGCAAGGTCCTGAACTGCATCAGCGTCATCAGCTCGGCCGTCTGCGTCGCCAACGCCATCGACGATGATGACTACAAGGCTATCCTCAAGTGCGCCAAGAAGGACCAGGTTCGTCATTTCCTTTCCTCTATCAGACGAGGTTGCTAACATTTGGTTCAGCTGTGCGGCTGCGCTGGCTGCTTCAGCAAGCTCAATGGCTTCTTGGAGAAGTGGGGAATCTGCTAAGTGATTGTGCTGGTATTTGGGAGACGGGCGCACAGCGGAAAGAAAATGCCGGGCTGAAAGGGGGACACATGTACATGCTGGGATTGGAGGTGTAGGTGCTGGGATTTGTTGTGTATAGGGAGATGCAATGATTCTAGTAGTCACTCTTTTGGCAATCGATCGATCGTTGTTTTTTTAAGGTGTCGACGTTGAGCTTTGGTTGTCCAGGTGATGGTGCTCCATTGATGGATCCCTCGGTGAGCTTGAGCAGCACAGCTGAAACTCAACTAGTCGTCTAGCTTACACCGGCGCGCCACTTCTTGCAAGTCTGGGATGAAGTCGGCCCGACGTCGCTTCACCAATTACTGTCAGTAGGTAGGCAATTTAGAGTAGATATTTGGGTATCAATTGATTGCTCTGAGGTGATCTAGACAGGGTCATCGTGGTACACCGGGTCGTCTGTTTCCTGTTCAACTCGGTCCTGCGCAGTGACTGGTCTACCCACCCGCACACGAGACAACTCTTCCATCTTGGCCGCCCACATTGCTGCCGCCGAAGTGGTGGTCAGCAAAAAGAAGAAGCTCAGCACCGGGATTAGCTGCAGAATCATAGCCACTGTGCCAAACCACAGGTAGTCCCAGCTCTTGAAATTCAAATCTCTCTTCATGGTCTTCTTGTCAATTCCACGCAGCTTGTACCATCGGTAGTGCGAGAGTTTTCCCACGCGTGACCCGGTTATCATGATGAAGGCGGGTGTGCCAATGTAGGGAATAAGGTTGAGGGGAAGGCAGGCGACGAGCTCGAAGATTTGGGTCCAGCTGAACGGCGAGTATTCGGCGCGGCTTGTGGGTTTGCCTAGCATCTTGACCGAGTTCGGGGCATCGACGAAGAGGACGCGCTGCGGCGCAATGAGGTCGACGAAGCCATGGTTAATCAAGGTGGCCTAAGCAACAAGAAAACATCAGTAGGGTGGTCGCAAAAAACAAGGAAATGACGAAACAGCTCCTCTCACATCGAAAATATCCACGCGACATTCGTCGACAAACAGGCCTTCGAACAGTGCTTGTATCAGCACCAGACCCTCTCCCAGCACGAGGACAGTTGTGTTTATCAACGCGCCGGCGCGTCCTTGGAAGATGTAGAGAAGCAAAAATTGGGGAATAAAAGTGAAGGTAAACAAGATAAAGTAGACAAGGAATGATATGATAGAGAGAGGGAGCAGCCGGCCGACGAAGATGGGGTAGAATTCTGGGTGTCGCAAAAAGTACCAGATGCCGTGGATGGGGTACCAAGCGGCCCTGGCGGCGCGTGATAGCAGATGCGCCAAGTGGTGAAAGGGACGAGTCAAGGTGTGTGTACTGGGCGGCATGATGGAATCTAGAGTCGGCGGGTAGAGAAAAGGCGAGACGATGCGCCTGACAGATGGGTGGTGTTGCCCACACAGTCGATGATGGAAGCTGGGATCGCGTCGTCATCAAGTTCAACAAACAGCTGAGCTCGCAGCTCCCGTCTGCAGGTGCGGGGTCAAACAGGCACTGTGTCGCACACAGTCTCGGAAAGGAAAGGTGGGGAAGCACAAGGGGCAAGGACCAAGGGTTTTGACTTTCTGCAGGGATTACAACTAAGGTTTCCGACAGGGTGGCAGATTGCGGGGTCTGAGACGGGGCGGTGCCAAACGCAGGGTTAGGGCTGAGAGTTCGTGTGCTTTGGGGGCCATGAACGGGATCAGCGATGCAAATTGCGAAATAAGACACCACAATCGATCACAGCGTTGAGCATTAAGGTTTTGAATGGCAATAGCGCCGACAGAAAACACTCGGAACAACCATCATGGCCAATGCCAAGTCTGAACAGGACCACCATCATCAGCCATAGCTTCAGCCTCCCTCGCCGAACCAGTCGCAGGATTTGCTTACCTCATCAACCATGCACTACGACCGCAGGATGCTTCATGAGCCCGGCTGCCCGGATTTATGGGAGCGGCTGGGAAGAGGGACAACCTGGAACAGCAGTCGCCTTGCTGTGGTTGGATGTTGGCACTTCACCGGCGAGAAGCCACAAGCCATCCTCTCCTTTCGCCAGGCACTGGTGAAGCCACTTGACGACATCAACACTCTCCTCTTATCAATAAGTTGCTGCAAGAACAACAGAGACAGAAGCTTGAAATGGAAGAGCCAGCTGTGATCCCGGAGAAGACTGGGCAAGCGGGGACGGGCGCCGGGTCCGGCCCGGAGTTATCCTCGACAGCAGCACAGAAGAAGAGAAGTCGCATCCGCTTCTCTTGCACAACCTGCAGGGACAAGAAGTAAGCACCTGGCTCAGATTTTGACAGGTGGCAGCTGACACTGAACATTCTCAAAGATTGAAATGTGACCGCCAAACCCCATGCGACCAGTGCATGAAGCGAGGGATAGAGGCCACTTGTGAATTCATCCCCTATGTCACTGGCGGGTCCCGCCCCGGACCGGCTCTTCCTGCGCGTCATCACCCAAGAGACGCCACGAATCCTGCTACGACGACAGCACCTGCACCTGACAGCCACCGCTCCAAGCCCGCTGCCAACGACTCGGCCGTGCAAGCCCGGCTCCGACACCTTGAGCACCTCGTCCAGGTTCTCAAAGCCCAACGCCGTGAAGCTGTCCCTGTTGAATCAACCGCCGGTGTGGCCGCCGACTTTGGTGACGATTTCCAGGAGGATGACCTTCCCCGCATATCAGCCCGCGTCAGAGAGACGGCTGGAATGATTTTGAGCGATTTGCGTTACGTTGATGCCTCCCACTGGGAATCTATCCTCAGCGATGTACGCCTCCACCTTTTGCATCACATCTATACCCACAAGTTCTGACAAAATCAATGCAGGTTCTAAGTATCACCGGAAGTCTGGACAGACCTGAAGATGTGTTCCAGGACGATGATGACCCCATTGTTCCGCCCAAACCTGAGCGTCAAGGACAACCCGACTTGTTGTTGGGCGGCTGGCCAAGGCTCTCTGTCGAAGAGCTGGTTCGCTATCTGCCTCCTCGTGCTATTGCTGACCGACTGCTTGCCCGTCTATTCCAGGCCAAAGAACCAGGATGGATCATGTTCCACATGCCCAGTCTTCTCAGGCACTACGAAACCTTTTGGGAGCACCCCGCCGCCATGACTTACACCGAGCTCGCCCTTCTCTTTGCCATGTTCTGCAATGCCTCGTTGTACTATATGAAAAGTGGCGAAGAGCTGCCCGGCAGACTCGGCGATGCTGGAGAGGCGTACAGGATCTACAAGGCCCGGTGTGCCCAGTGTCTGGTTTTGGGTGACTACACCAAGCCCTGGCGCTACAAGCTTGAAGCCATGATTCTTTACTTTGGGTCGGAATATCTCGGCCAACAGGACGCACATATCAACGTCTCGGTCATACTGTCCATTATCGTCCGCCTTGCCATGCACATGGGCCTGCACCGAGACCCGAAGCACTATCCAGACATGTCCCCATTCGAGGGGGAAATGCGCCGGCGGCTGTGGACCGTGTTGAGAGACGTGGATATTCTGATTGGTTTTCAGTTTGGTCTGCCAGGCAACATACCAAACGATTTGTACGACACAGCCCTTCCGCGAAACCTTCACGACGAGGACTTTGACGAGAACACCTTAGAGTTGCCCCCATCACGACCAGAAACAGAGAAAACGGTGACGTTGTGGTGCATCATGAAGGGCCGCATCGTCAATGTCTTTTCCGAAATCACCACGGCCATGAGCTCGCGAAAGGCGCCGGGGCTTTCCGACATTATGCGCATGGATCGAAAGATTGACGAGCTTGCGACGCAGTTCCCGCCCAGCCTCCGCTATCGACCTTTCAGCCAGTCGGTGGTGGACCCGGTAGACATTATCATGCAACGGTACCAGCTCGAGCTGCTGTTTCTCAAGTGCCGCATCGTCCTGCACCGACGGTACATGGGTTACGCCCGCAAAGACAAGCGGTACGAGCACTCTCGGCGTGTCTGTCTCGAAGCTGCGACGAAGACGCTCCGTCATCAGTACGACGTTCATTGCGAGCTTCAGACGGGCGGCCGCTTGTCACACGAGCGCAGCCATTGGTTCTTGAGCAGTTTGAGCACCCACAACTTTCTTTTGGCGGATATGATCCTCTGTCTAGAGCTGTGGTTTCTCAAAGCCAGGGAAGGGCGGAGCCCTCCGGCCGTTGAGCAGTCTCCCGAGATGATCATGACGAAGGACCAGATTCTGGATATCTTGCGGACATCACGGCTGATTTGGCAAGGGAGGCGAAAGGAGTCGGCCGAGGCCAACAAGGCGTTCAACATTCTCACAAAGATGCTGTCTTTGTCCACGGGCGAGAGCCTTGATGGGAGCCCAGAGTCGAGTAACAATAGCGCATACGACAGGCTTGAGACTTCTTCGTATCCGGCAGTGCCAGTTATGACGTTTGCTGGTCTGGAGACGGGGCTGCATCCAGCGCCGGTGCTCGGGTCGCAAGCTCCGCCGACGATAGTTCCCACGGGGTGGGCACCTGTTGCCGGAGGCGAGTTGCCGCTGGACGGGCAGGTGGCTGTCACTTGGGGACATGGATTCCAGCAAGACCTTCCAAATTTGGGACATGTGGATGGGCTGATGGATCCGAATTTGGGGGGTGATTGGGTAAGTGCCTGGACTTCAAAGATTTGGGCTGGATGGTTCCTGTTGGGACATGTGCTGACCATGATGATGCAGACACTCTGGGACAATCAAATCTTGAACTCCAGCGATGGGGTATCACAGATACCATGGGATACGTTTTTTCAAGCAGGAGGATATGGGCTTTGAGTATCTGCTTTGCATCGTTGTCATCATCAACTATTTTACTGTTTCTTCATCGCTGTGTTGCCAGATGGCTGCCATGCTCCCTCCATTGTTCTCAAATCACCTCAACAGAAAGGAAAGTGCAACGAATGGCAAGTACAAGTTCCATCAGGTGTCTGACGATGGTGCTCGCGTGGAGTGGAGCTTTTTAAAGTTTGATGGCTGCCTGCTGCTTCGAGTGGAGAAGGAAGGAGCCCGGGCAGTGTCTCCCGTCGGGCAGTCTGTGGATTTGATTTGAAAATGCAAGAATCATGACCACCGCTTACGGGAATGCAAGAGCAACAGTGGTGCCCTGATATGGAAACATTGCCCGCCTTTTCAATCATGTAATGAGTTACTTCCACCCCTGGGTCATTGAATGTTGGGAAACTGGAGACCAGGCAAGCTGGAGCCGGGACCAGCGTCAGAACAAGACCGAGTGGAATGAATTACCCGGGCTGACTTCCAGACTTCGATTGCAATTTTCACCTTCCGTCCCTTCCTTCAAGCGTTGGTGACTGAATGGCCCCCGAGGAACGGCGTAGACAGCTCAGAAGGAAGGAACCAGCTGCGAGGATGACAGAGCAAGCTACGCTCACGAGCCCGGAATCGTGTCAACCTCTCCGTTCAAGAAATCCACAGTCAACACCTTCGCCCCTGTTTTTCCATGACTTTTATTGGATTTCAATACATGTTGAAAACGGCTTTAGGCCTGTCAACTATCGTTTCATGCCTCTTGGCTATGATTTAAGGCCTATAAATGTGACAATAAGACATTTGAGAGATGGTAAAAGGCGTTAAAACATATTGAATAGGCCTCAGAAGATATCTAACAGGTCTCAAAAAATATTGATAAGAAATTCAGAAAAAAGGTGGAAACCTCTACTCACCCCCCTATTGTGTTGCGAGCGCGGTCCTCCCTAGGTATCTACCGATTTACTTGCAGTTTCCATAATATAATAAAAGGGCTGTAAATCATGTTTTGAGGCCTCTTAACTATATTTTGAGGTGTTTAAATCATATTTTAGGCTATTTAAACTATTTTTAAGACCTCTTAACTATCTTTCAAGGTATTTGAATTATCTTTTATGGCCTTTTACCTACTCTTTTTAAGGCGTTTGAATTATTTTTTAAAACATAATTAAATTCTATATAAAGAAGGTTCTCTTAAAAATCATGTATGTCACATAACAGTTCATGGCTACCTGTTACCATGGCACAGTCATTGCTCCTTCCCATCACCATGAATCTGGCACACAGAAGAATGGCACCACTCGCTGTCACCCGACGTCATGGACAGACCAGGAAGGCACCTCACGCTCTTTCCTGTCTTTCCAGCAGCAGACATCTTGGATGTTGGGCCACAACACCTGTCACCTTTTAACATTTGACATCTTTGCCAGACCATCTTCCCTCTTCTCTCTTCCGTCCGCATTCCTGTCCCTCTTCGGCTCCTTTTGTCCACCATCCCTCAGCACGCTGCCATTTCCGCTCGTTTGGAGACATTCATTCCTTTGCAACATCCTGCACCCACGACACTATGCGTGTCCACGCCTCTGTTGGGGCTCTGGCCAGTCTAGCCTGGCTATCCTCTGCGGCCGCCGTACCACGGGCGTGAGTGCTTTCACCATGGACTTTCTTGATGCATGGCTGACTCTTGTTGCTCTGCAGGGAGGATTGGGCCCTCACCGACACAACATGCACCACTACGACGTCTGGCCAGGCCACTGTTATCGTTCTTCCCGGCGAGTCCGCTGCGTCTTACACGCTTCCGTCAGTTTTCACATTCACTCTTCCCGCCGATGGTGGTGCTGGCTCTGGTTCCTTGGTTTCTTCTGGCTTGGCAAACGGTCCCTCTTTCGCCTCTTCCACCTGCGAGTCCTCGGAAACTCCTGTTGTTCCTGCCATTCCCACTCCTTCAGCGCCAGTCATTAGCACCGTTACAGTCCCCGTTTTGACGGTGACGCTTCCAAGCCCGCCACTTTCTTCCACTGGTTCAGATGCAACACCAGTCGCTACAGCGACTGTACCCGGGGAGGCTGCTTCCAATTCTGTGGGCGTTGTGACGGTCACTATCCCAGAGGGGCCCAGCGATACAGCTACCGTGGTTTTGACCGTTACTGTTCCCCAAGGTTCCGGGAGCCCTGGAGCCTGGTCCACCATCATCACTGCTCCTGCCGTTTCCGGTGCCCCGGCCGGCCCTCTTGTCACTGTCACCATTTTCACCTCGCCTGCCTCGGCGGCGCCCGGTTCCCCGACAACTTCCATCGACTGGTGGGGCTCTGACTCGACGGCCTTTGTCACCATTCCACTCGACACTGGCTACGGATCTGACATTTCGCTGGCGCCATACACCCTCACGTACACGCTGCCCGTGGCCCCGGGTTTGACCGATTTGTCGATTGCCACGGTGACTGTGACCCCGGCGGACCTTTCGATACCTACTGGCGTTGGACCCTTTGCGACAGAGACCCTGTCGTCGGGCGTGTCTTCTTGGTCGTATGTTCCTGCGCCGCCAGGCACTTCCGTCGTCAGCTTCACCGTCTCGGCCAGCGGCACTGTTCCTGGTTATACTGGCGTCATCACCGTCACACCAGGCATGTCTTGGGGCCTTCCTACGCCAGTCTCCGTATCTGGGGACCAGTCAGGGACCGCTACGCCTACCGCACCTGCCCTTGTCACTGTAACTGTCACGTCTCCTTCGCAACTTCCCACGCCTTCGTCTGGTTTTGCCACGCCTTCTGTTGTGACCGTGACACCTTCCTTGGGCCTTCCTGCGCCTTCGATTGTTACTGTTACGCCTTCCGTTATTACAACGACGCCTTACGTTATTACCGCGACGCCTTCCTCGGGTCTTCCAACGCCTTCCATTGTGGCCGTGACGTACACCGTCCCCGCGTCACTGGGTTTGCCGGCATCCGAGTATACGGTCACGTATACGGTATCCCCGGAGGGCTACAATGGGGGTGGCCCATCCACCGTTTCAGTGCCAGCGCCATGGACCTTTACCATCGTGCCTACCGGGGACTCCGGCACGCCTATCGTTGTCACCTGGCCGAGCGAGCAACCTGGTCCCGTGACTGTCACGGTCACGCCTCCCACTTCTCAAGTTGTTGCAACTGTTGCACCTTCCGCTTCTCAGACTATCGTGACAGTGACACCTGGCGTCGAGCCAGCCTCGCCGGGCCTTGTCGTCACCACCATTACACCCTTGTCTGGAACTCCTGTGGTCATCACACTTCCCGACACCGGCACGCCTTTGGCTCCCGCAACATCCGCCTGGACCACTCAAGCCTTTATCACGGAAACGATTGTCAGCAATAGCGTGGTCACCGTCACGCCTCCTTCAGGCCCACCCGTCGTAGTCACCATCCCCCAGTCCGTTGCCTTCACTGTGCCCACTGGCGTTTCTGGTTTTCCACCTGGGACGACTCAAGCTTTTGTCACGGAAACAATCGCCAGCGATAGCGTCATCACCGTCACGCCTCCTTCAGGCCCACCGGTGGTAGTCACCATTCCCGAGTCCATTGCCTTCACGGTGCCTACTGGCACTCCACCTTTTTCGGCTGGCTTGTCATCATCGACTTCTGGGACAGTTCCTCCTCAAACAGTGATTGTGTCTCAAGTCACCATCAGCCAGACCATTTCTCTTGGACCCGGCTCCTCCACGGTTGTTGCTGTGACAACACAGGTCACTCTTCCAGCTGACTCGACCTCTACATTATCGGAATCTGGTGTCCTTGTTACACCTTCCCTGGCCACATACACCATCGCTGACTCCTATGGGAATCCAACAATCTTAACTCAATGGACAGTCGTTCCTGTCTCGCCTTCAAGCTCCAGCGCAGGCGGCGGCGGAGGCAATGGAGTGGACGGAACTTTGAGCAGTCCAACTGGGACGGTTCAATTCATCACCATCTCGCCAATTGCGCCCACCTCTGTGATCACGATATTGCCATCGGTGGCCCCGTCAGTCATCACCATTTGGCCATCGACAGACAGCTTCTTGACGTCGTTTGTTTCGTCAACTTTAGAGGTGCAGTCTGGCAGTGCCTCTCCGTCCGAGATCACCCTCTGGCCTTTGCCAACCTCGACTGACACCACTTGCACAACCTTTTCGACGGGGCACGGCTCTCCAACAATCTCGGGCCTGGGTTCGGCGACGTCTCCATCCTCACTGTCTGTCATCACACTATGGCCATCGACTGCCAGTCCTCCCTACTCTGTGATCACAATCTGGCCGTCGTCGGGAGACAGCGCCCTAGCTGGCTGGCCTACGACAAGCACTTGCAACGAGTCTCCGGCCATTCTGACGTCGGTTATTCTCTTGAGCTCGGTCTCTACTCCCTTCACGCCTTTTGGGACCCCGGCGATCTCCCAGAGCAGCGATTCCGCTGTGGTGGTGGCGCCCACAGAGACAGGACAGACTTTGGGCTCCCAAGGATTGGACACTTCAGCCGGCGCCCTTCCTGAAAGCACCGAGTTGCCGGCTTCGCAGCCTGAAAACACCGAGTCTCCTCCTTCGCAGCCCGAGAACACTGAAGCTCCTGCCAATGAATCCGAGGATTTGATGCCTCCACCGCAAACCCAATTCAACCGTCATGGGCAACACGCAAGGACCACCACGTTGGCTGTTCTGTCTGACAGCACTTTTGGCGGCTATGCCTTCAGCAGTCCGGCCGCAGGCTATGGTGACCTTCCTCCAGGTTACGGGAACCCCGTGGAAACAGCTCCGGCGTCTTCCAGCCAAGGCATTTTCTTCACGGATTCCAGTCTGCCGGTCTCACAGCCCGCGTCGGCTGATATCAGCTTCACCGCGTCTGTTCTTCCAATCTCGACGACTTCCACCGCAGATCTGGCGGCCATGTTATCATCAATCATGTCTGTCCTTTCGCCCAATGCCACCATTGTCTCTAGACCAGGGCCTGTCTTGACCTCTATTCCAGCTGCTTCGGACAACAGCACGTCATCTACTCAGCCAAGTCTCACCTCCACCACCTACGCATCATCGAGCAGCGATCTCTTGTTGACTTCAGACAGTATTGTACCAACAGTCACAGCATTGCCAACAACCGCCAGCTCTTTGCTAGCCAACATTTCCAGCCTCACTGCAGCCCCCATTGCCACAAGTCTTGCCAGCACTAGCCCGAATGTGAGCACTTCCAGCCGAGGACTTCCTGGTTCAACATGCGGCGCGGTTGGAGATCGGGGAGCAGTGGTGTTCAAGGTATGTCTTGGTGTTGTCTCTCTTTTCTCACAACCGAAGCACTGACCGTATTGTAGTTTGATGACATCCCTACCATTTCGACCGACAACGACACCGAGGCCAGCAGCTTCCCAGCAATGCCATTACCCTTCCCGTATCACCGATTCTTCTTCTCCAATGGCTTCAGTGTCGTTCCCCCGCCTCGCACCAAGTTCAAGGCTTCCTCTGGCCAGCAGCTGATCCAGCACAATTCTTCGGTGTCGCCAGTCGCCGAGTTTGGTCTCGCTGAGCTGCGCTCCAATCCCTGCTTTCACTTCAGCTTTTTGGGTGTCAGTCTTGGCTGCGACTCTACATCTGACCCCTGTGTTTTCAACATGACGGGTCTGCGCTGGAACGGCACCGACGACGTTGTCGAGGCACGCCATACCTTTGAGGTGGCTGCTTGCTCCAAGAAGACCGACTGTAGCCTCAGCCATCAGATTCTGGACTCGGCGGCTGCGTTGCCATTCTCCAATCTGACTTCACTCAACATTTCGCTGTCGGTGGCTGGCAAGCCAGAGACATGGTGGGCGGATGACTTGCAAATTGCTTGGGCCGACAACGACTGCACAGTGGCGGCGTGCCGGTCGCGTGTGCCAAACACGATCATGATTCCGCGCATTTCACAACCGTTTGCCAGTCGAGCCAAGAGACTGTTGCGATGGGCGGTCCGCGGCAAAGATGACAAGTTCTATTGATTCGACATTCCAGTTTTGTCCCAATTTTGATGCACACGGGATGTGCCAATATGTCTGATATCATTTGCATGTTTTGCTGACTGGCAGTCAGCGCCGAGGCTGATGGTGGGTTGTCTGATTTGGTGGCTGAGAATTGGAAGACTAGATAATGAGGTTATGGTGGGAATTTTGACAGATAATATGATGGACTGGTGCGTGCTGGGGAATGGTGTAGATGGACGAGGAGGAGCCGGGATCTTTTTTGACTGTACATGTACTTATAGGACACGAGTGGTTGTGGGAGAACAAATGAAGGAATGCTTGCCCAATACTGTGTGGATGTGGCTGTTGTGTGGGTGTCTTGCTTGTCTTGCTGCCGATGTTGTCTCTGTGAACGACGACAAGAACCACATCAGATGTTGTCAATGATACAAAGCCAGGTATAGAAGGGAAGTATGGGCGGTTCAAGGCAACGGCTAGTGTATATTCTCTGTCATCAAGTCATGAAGCCACCAAACCAGGAGGCCGTCGTGGTTTTATGTCCTCATCATCATGACCGTCCTGGTATTCCTCCCAACCCAAGTCGGCCAAAGATAGCTATGCCGCTGCAATTCAAATCCCAAACTCGGGTTCCCCTCTCAAAACAAAGCAAATGCCAAACTCCCAGCGAAGCCAGGTATCTGCAAGTCAAAGAGCCTTTTCGGCCGTGCAAGCTGCGGTGTCGCTGTGTCAGCACAATGCTCACTTTTAGATCAGGGCCAAGGTAGGTAGTAGAAGGGAGAGAGAGAGGGGGGGGGTCAAGATTTGCCAATTGCTTACCGCTCGGTCAAAGCTGGGAAGACGAAGTCTTCTTCATCATGGCCCTTCGCTTGCGGCGAGAGGGGCAGGGGCGGCGGCAGCGGGCGTCACGCTTGCTCTCGGCGAGGTCCTCGGGCGTGGTGCAGGCGGAGCACTTGCGGGCGTTTTTGAGGCGCTCGAGGAGGTGGCGGGAGCGGCACTCGGGGGTGCCCACATGGGCGCAGGGGCGGTCGAAGAGGGGGATGTGGAAGGTGTGGCCGCAGGTGTGGATTATGCGTTGGTAGTAGCACATCTTTTGGGGTTGGTGGTGGTGGTGGGTTGTCAAGATGGAAGTTTGAGGGGTTAGTTGATGGACTAGGTACCCAAGGCATAGAGATTGGTTGAGATGAGATGAGGGGGTAGTTTTGCAAGGGAGAAGAGACGAGAGGGGTTGGATGGGATTTTGGAGAGGCCATTGTGTGTGTGTGTGTGTTTGGATTGTAAATTGGTGGTTGACTTGAGAAGGAACGATTGAAGGCGGTGACAATGGGAGAGTTATTGTGCCTGTTGTGCGGGGCTGGAGGGGGGTGTTTATTGTGGGAGTTGAGAGGGTCGGGTCTTTGAAAGATAATGGGATTGGTGGGTTCTATTGGTGATAATGGATTGTGTTGGATGTTTCATGTTCTCATTGTTGGTTGTCTATGCATGGAAGGTAGACTTTTGTGTGACATGAGGGGGGTTTGTTGATTCACCCCTGAAGGTAGTGGTGGACTTGTTCATGGCTGTTGTCAGCCCTCCACAGTACGTCATTGGAGCCCTACCTACACAATCATCACAAGCCTAGATAGGTAGGTAGGCAACCAACTGCCGGGTGGAGATGTGCTCTTGTCACAGACAAACAGAAATGAGCCAGTTTGTTGCTTTTGGTTGGAGCGCGCATGACATGCAAGCTAATGTATGTTTTTTTGGAGCCTCAATTTCTCCGATTGAAGGTTACAGTGAGGAGTGGACCCCCAGTGGGGCTGCCACATGGCTGTCAGCGATGGTTCGAGTTGTGACACGGCCTGCTGAGCGGGAGGAGCCTCCCACGATAAGGTACAGGAGGGGAGAACTTGTGCGACCAAAGCCAGGCATGCATGATGAGTGGAATTGGGCCGGTAACCCCTTTTTTTTCATCTCTAAATCTAATTGCAGGTCCCAATCCACTGAGCTGCTCCAGATGCTCGGAATCTCAGCCGAACTCGGCATAGATAAACCAGCAGCCAGCCAGCTCCACCGGGATGCCGATTTGCCCCAACACGCTACCAAGTAGCCATTCGATGGTGTCGGAGACATTGAAGTTTCCGCCGGACGGCAAAGAGGCAGCAAAAATCTCGGCATCAATGTTGGAAGCTCTCGGTGCCGTCAACACAACCTTTCCATTGGAAAATAAAATGGACATGACCACCCACGTCAAAAAAGCAACTCACCAGCCGTCGATCTTCAACCCCTCACCTCGGCAATCCTAGATCTTGGAATCGGGCTCCCATGCCCCTGTCGACAAATTCTTGGCACCTTGGCAGGGCTCCAACCGTCGAGGTTCTAGTTACTTTCTGACACTGTTCTACGCTTCTTGTCCGTCTGGCTCGGGGTGGGATCATAGGGGCAGTTATATATCTAGGTATGTTTGGATAGGCTTGGACACCTCCATCAATTGTTGGAAGTACACCATGTCATTCGTAGACGAGATCTTGTCTCAACTTCCAGAGCCCGACAGTCACCTAGTATAGACTCGGCCGATGGAGCAAGGGATAGATATCCCTTTCGGGCAACGCCGTGCCGGGTCCACCGCAAAATGGAGGCCGATTCCTTGGTTGTTGAGGCTCCGGTATCCGCAAGACAATGGAGAAAAAATGTGATGCGAGTGCGAAACAGACCAGTGCCGTCGCCGTTCCGTCTGATAGGATCTGCATGACTGTCGGCGCCCCGCTGCCAACCTGACGGCTGGGTCCAGGCCCTTGTTTCCGGGCCCGCCCCATGACTTTTTTGTCTCCGCTGTTTGGCCCAGGGGAAGGTTATTAAAATACATGGGCCGCCGCCATCTCTTGCTCCCTTCTGGCTTGGAAAGACGATGTTTTGAACTTCTGACCTCTTCCCGGCCACCAGCCCCACGCCAACCACCGCTCCCGCCTGCTCCCTCCCCCGGTCTATGCCGCCGCAACAGATGACAACATCACCGGGTGCCCTACCATGAAGAGTCCCCGACGTTTTTACGCCCTTGTTGGGCTGTGTCTCTTGGTATTCGTCAACACGGTCGCCGCCGGCGCGAAGCAAGTCTCGCTGGAGCATGAGCTCCTCGCGCTACCACCATGCGCGGTATGGCTGCACACTGGGAAGGACGAGAGGAGAAAAAGAAAACAAAAAGACTAACGTTTTTTGTTGTTCATGCATGTAGTTGCCCTGCGTCGTGGACGCAATCCAGGACGCCAAGTGTTCCGCATACGACAACGAATGCATATGCTCGTCGGCAAGGTTCGACAAAGAGGCCCACTTTTGCGTTCGCACCCATTGCACCCCGAGGGAGACTCTCAGTGAGGACGGCACCGTCTCGAGTTCCCAAAGTCACCGGCTAACACGCTGCCAGCGGCCAAAAACATTACGTATCAATGGTGCGACCATCCCAACGAGGGAGACCGGACGCTTCTCCCCGCCTTTTCCATCTTTCTGGGTCTCGCCATTGCCGCCGTGGCTCTGCGGTTGGTAGCCCGAGTGGTGACGGAGGCCTGGTTCTGGTGGGATGATTTGTGCAACTTTTTCGCCATTGTAAGCCCGTGCTGGTCAGTTAGTCGGAGTGGGGGTGGTTTGTTTCGCCGGGCTAACTGTTGATTTTTGTGTCGCAGGCTGGGTGTGCTGCGTACACGGGGTTGTACATCGAGGCGGTCCACTTTGGGATGGGAAAAGACATCTGGTTCGTGCCGTTTGACAACATCACCAAGATCATGCAGACGTACTTTGCCACCATGTTGACGTACGTGACGACTCGATTCTTCATCCGCGCCTCCATCATCCTCTTTTACCTTCGAGTCTTTCCCGCGCAGTCCGACTTTAGGCTGGGCAAGGTGATTGTCTGGACGGGCGTGTTCAACATTTTTTACAATATCGCCTTCTTCTTCGCCTCCTTGCTTCAGTGCCAACCGATATCAGCGTTTTGGACGGCGTGGGAGGGCGTTGGGAAGGATCAGTGCGTCAACCTCAACGCGTTGGCTTGGTCGGCGGCGGCGACGGGGATAGCGTTTGATTTATGGCTGCTGGCTTTGCCGTTTCCGCAGCTGCTGTCGCTCAATCTGCACTGGAAGAAGAAGTTGATGGGGTCGATGATGTTTCTTGTGGGCGCAGCGTGAGTGGAGGCTTGTCCTTGTTCGTCGCACTGGGGCGTCGAGATTAACTGGTTTGTGTTTTAGTGTGATTGTCATCAGCTTGATCCGGCTCAAGACTATCAACGCGACCACCCGGGCTGTCAACCCTACTAGTAAGTCTTTCGGGTGCTCTCTCTCTCTCTCTCTCTCTCTCTCTCTCTCTCTCTCTCTCTCTCTCTCTCTCTCTCTCTCTCTCTCTCTCTCTCTCTCTCTCTGTGGGTCAAAAGGTTGCTTTGCTGACACTGGTAACAGAGGATACGGTGGACCTCTCCCTGTGGAGTGGCATCGAAATCGACGTGGGCGTTATCTGTCCCTGCCTGCCTAGCTTCCGACTCCTCCTGCGAAAGGTCCTACCGCGCCTGATGGGAGAGTCTACAAGGTCGTACGAGCTTGACCCAATCTCCAAGGGGGAAGGAGGCGTGACGGTGACGACCAAGATCTCGGCCCATATTGAGCCGTCGGGGAATAACGGGATATTCTTGCGGCCGCACAAGGACTCGAACACGGGGAGGAGCTGTGAGAGTGTTACTGGACTGGTGGAGCTGTCGGATGAGGAGAGTAACCATGGTCGGCAGAAGGCGTAATAATACAGATGGAGAAGAGGGTTTGATTATTTTGTCATGGGTGGAAGCATAGATTCTGGTCGATTTGATGTTGCTCCTATGTTTTAAACTGTGACCAAGATGTCCTGGGTGGGTTGCAAACCCCAATTGATAGTTGGAAGCAATGATCTGAGAGATATATCACAACTTGCATGAGTCAGTGATAAGTTGCTGGTGTTTCTTGAGATCTTTGTTCGTTTTGTCAAGCCCCTTTCTTGGGGGCCCCGCTATTTGTTACTCTTTGTTGCTAGGGCAACCCACGAACAGGGGCTTTCAGGGGCAATCGAATCTTTGAACCTTGTGGCTTCCATAATCAAAGGAAACTTTAAATGATTCGAAGCAATTTTGGTTGACAATGTAGCCATGCTCGAGAGAATGATGCAGGGGTGGTGTTGATGTTCTTTGAGCAGATGTACTTTTTTTTGTGTCTGCTAGCTGATCACCGCTGTAGGAAAGGCTACACATGCTGTCACAAGGTGCAAGGTTGACGTCCATCTATTCTATCCGGGAGCCACTAGCAGGCCCACCTGAGGCTGTCGGGCGTGACACAAATGATTCTGTACCTGCCCGCACTTTGCTACCTCCAGAAACCCACTTAGAACTTGCACTACCATAATTTGCGTTCACTTGTTAACTTCAAAAACCAATCGCGATTACCAAGCCATAGAAAACGCTGGCGCTTGACGATGCACCAACTATATTCCCCTCTCTTGATTGCCGCAATCCTACAACTATGCTCAGCTACCACACCTCTGATCGCCGAACCAGACCCTCACATTTGCGGCCTCAGTCTCAACAGCACCAAAGACCACCCCTTCACCAGTGTCCACGCCGGCCTTGACATATCCACCCTGAGCCTGCGCGACGACTCGGATAACCGGGGGGTGGGTGGGGGGTGGGGGAGGGGGAGTGTTACGCCATGGCGTTTGCCGACGACCACACCATCATCATCATCATCTCTCCCGACTGGCGGACCAACCTCAAGATCATCACCATCTCGCACAACGCCATGAAGAAACGGGCTGACGAGAACGGTGTCACATTCGCCCCGGCCAAGTACGCCATGATGCACTTCCGGCAAACTCGAGACGACAACCCGCCCCCCCAAGGACCTTCCGAAGAATGTCGGCATGTCGGCCGGCCAGTGCGTGCGCAAGCTGCAAGTCCCGGGTGTGATTTTCAACAATCATCTCAGCTGGATTGATCATGCCAGACATGTGAGTGGTGCACCCCGGATCTCTTTCCATGTTTTGCTCTTGCTGACCATGCCTTGGTTGCCGCAGCTTCGAGTCAAGGTTCTCAAAACCGAGCAGTACATGCGGCGAATCTCCAGCTCCATCAGAGGACCCCCGACGTGGCAGATGCGAAGTCTCTTCTGCTCCAATGTTCGACCCGTGCTTTTCTACGCCAGCGCCGCGTGGTACCTGCCCGACAACAAGCGACAGCTGGAACACGGCCTTGAAGATGCTCGAAGCGGCTCAGAGGAAATGTCTGGTGGTTATCTCGGGCGCCGTCAAATATCCGCCCTCAGAATTGCTCCTGCACGAGTTGCAGCATTGGGACTGTCGACCGTCTCTTATGGTGGCCAATCCACAGTCCACCGTGCTCGTCATGATCAGCTTTCTGACCACTACAAGAATCTCCGCGCCATCGGTGACAGACTAATCAAGGTGTTTGGAAACAGGAAGTATCGTCTCATCGCCTCGCAATATCCCATCATCAAGGCCTACGCACACGCTGCGCGCTACCACCCAAGACTACTGAGATGGAGCTTGAGCAGGCCTCCAACTGTCCCAAACGGCACCACCCGAAACACACTCTCGCCTCTCAGCTACCGACCCAGGGCCGAAGTACGCCAAGGACATCAATCCGAATCCCGTCAAAGGTAGGAGGTCAGAGCGCGTCTTCACCGTCGACGCTTGCTTGCTCGGCAATCATCGACACCCGATCAGTGTGTTCCGTTTCTCCCCCCCCTGCACCGCACACTCTCGGTACTAATAGATATGTCGCAGGCCTTTCGAAGGCTGGGGCAATACGACTTTTTGATTGCGTGGGCCGTTCGGCTTCCGCGGTACGATGGGAACAAACGCAGTTTTCGATGCGGCATGGTGTTTGGTGCGCCGGAACTTGACTTTGCGGCCGGTGGTGAGGTAAGTCCTCCTCTGATGTTGGTGACCTCTCCAGTTGGGTCTTGCTGCTAACCTGATGAAGCTTTCTTCCATGCTTTGATGGGGAGCGACATCGTGTCTGTGTGGTGTAAGTGTTGCCCTTTTGTCCATCAATCCCACGTGGTGTTTGCTCTTCTCTAACCAGCGTCACAGGTCCCTTTGATGCTGATCTGGCAGCTCGTTGTGTTGGTTGGGTTTTTTGTGGAACGGAAAAATGGTTGTTTTTTATATATTTTTTATACCTCTCTTTTTTTAAAAAAATTTTTTTACTGTTTTAATTTTTTTTTCCTTTTTTTATTTCTTTCATTTCTTTTTTCATTTCTTTTTTTATTTTTTTTTTTTTTATCTTTTTAAAAAAAATTTAAATTTTTCTTTTTAATTTTTTTTTTAAATTCTTTTTTTAATTTTTTTTTCTATTTTTTTCTTATTTTTTTTCTATTTTTTTTTTCGAAATTATTCATCATATTACGCGCCCTTCGCAGCGTAACCTACCTTGGCCTCAACAGCCCAGCGTCCCCGGGTGCTTGTGTTTCTTGAAAGTGTCAACATTCTCAAAAAGGAAGCTCGCTTCAGCTAGGCTTAGTCAATCGAACACTGTCAGTCACGGGGGACTGTTTCATTTTTTTAATTTTTTTTATTTTACACTGATAGTTCTTGCTCGCAATCGCGTGACCTCGGGTGTGACCGATCAGCGGCTTTCCATGTAGAAAGAATAGGCAGTGTGATTGATGCTAGTCTGCTCTCGCCACGTTTGGGATAGATGATGTGGCCGACGCGGCATGTGGATGAAGACACAGATAATAAGGAGGGAGGTGTCAATTGTCAAGGCGCCTTTCGCTTCGCAGGTCCACCGTCAGGCCACCTCTGGACTAGACGGATTCTCCGCTGCTAACAAGGACAACAGGAGCTCGGCCATGAGGATGTCAACAACAAAATTATGGGGATGGCGCTGCTTGAAAGAACATGGGAACTCTGGGTTGTCCCAGTGGGGCCGCGTGCATTGCTTCAGTCGGGGATCGATGGCAGCAAGGAGCGCTACTTCTTTTCTCGTCTTGCGCCAGTCGGAGGGAGCCTGGGGACACACCAAGCCATCGGCACACAAGACAGCCAACGGCGAGCACTCAATAGATGATACACACGCACCTCGTTCAAAACATTTTGCACACCACCGTCGCGCCAAAAAGGCGGGTCGTCATCGCCCTGCTCCCGCTCGCCCCATAACCACCATCGAAGAGAGGATAGAAGTCAGGATAGTCCTCGCGGATCTTATCTATCATTTCGGGGCTCATTTTGCTCGCGGTGCGATTGATCAACTCCTGGTTCTGCTCGCGCAGATAGCGGAGGAGGTACTCGAAGCGACAGAGGCTGGTGCGCATAGACTCGGTTGAGGCGGGACGAAAGGTGACGGTGTTGACGCGGAGCGCGAGGCCGGACATCTCAGCGGCGACGAGGCGGCAGGTGTACGCGAGGCTCAGCTCGATCGGCCGGCCGTCCGAGACTCGCAGCTTGTTGCGGTCGAAGCTGTAGACGTAGCCATCGTCGACGAGGAGGTAGGCTCGGTAGATGGTGTCTCGAATCTCGGGAGGGGTGGGGGGGGGGAGAAGCCGCAGCAGGGGAAAGTGCGATGCCATGGTGTGTGAAGGAAGGGAAGGACACAGAGGGGGGGTTTTTGTGGTGCAGAAATTCTTTAAGGTTTTCGCTGCTCCAATGCTCTCCCCCCCCCAGTGCCCCCACCACCCCCACCGCCCCACCAAGTCGGGGTGCCCCGTGGGGAACTCCGGCCTTTCTAGTATATGGACCCCCGCCTATACCTACCTCTCTCCTCTACTTTTTACCCACGCTTACCTACCACCACCTAGGCCAACCAAACGCAAATGGTGCTCATCAACATCGCATACACGGCTCCGATCAACCGGCCAGGCCAGCATCCCGTCCTCACAACCCCGCAAGTCTGGGCCGGCCTGGTGCGCAAAGTCCGCCATGCCCAAGAATTCGTGCCCGTGATCGAGTCCTGCGCCGTAGCCTCCGAGGAGACCAACGCCGCCGGCCAGCTCGTCGTCACCCGCCATGTCAACTTTGGCCAGGCCGCCCCCGTGCCCGGGAGCGGAGGGGAGGGAGGGGAGGTCGAGGAGGTCTGCACCTTGTTCCCGCCGCACAGGGTCGACTTTGTGCAGGACGACGGCACCAGGGTGTGGAACCACGTCAGCCAGGGTCCCGGCAAGGACGGGGAGGACCTGTACCTGACCTATGTCTTCGAGGCGAGGGACGACGCGGTCGAGGACGGCTCCCCGGACGCGGCAGCTCTCGAGGAGAGGTTCAAGACGGTGCGTGCCCAGCCTGACTGACCACGGCAGCGAAAGACGGTGCTGATGACATGGGATGAGTGCAAAAGACCGCCAAGAGGGCCGTAGAAAGTTCCATCGAGACCATCAGACGGCTGGTCAGCGAGGGGAAACTCCAAAGTATCACCTAGTGTATCGTGTAAAATCTCCTGAAATTGGCAACAAAATAGCTTCACTATGCACAACCCGCTTGCTCTGCCTGCCTTGCTTGGTCTATGATATGATCTACACGCCTCGTGAGGGCATCCCAGGGTATCCGTATTCCGTAAAAAAATAAAAACAGCAACATCTGTCATCAATCATGTCACATTCACATCGCCCCCCCGACTCTACTCCTTCTTCTCCCCGCCCTCGGCCTTGACAATTTCCCGCTGAGGCGGCGTGGTGGAGTGCCGGGAAGCACCCTCGGAAATCATGCACCCATGGCCCAGGCCGTCCTCAAAGTCCAGGTCCTCGAGGTAGTTCAGGTCCAGGCCGCGAACCTCCTGCTCCTCGGTGGCGCGGATGTGGAGACCGGGAATCTTGTTGATGACAAACAGCAAGAGGCACGAGACGAAGAACGACCAGGCGGCGCAGGTGGTGGCACCGGCCAGTTGGAGACCCATCTGGCGGAAGTTGCGGTTCCACCAGCCACCTTCGTACGAGGCGCCCGACACGCCGTCGAGGGCGGGCACGAAGCTGGCCGCGAAGAAGCCGGTGAGGATGTCGCCGACGACACCGCCGATGCCGTGGATGGCAAAGATGTCGAGGCCGTCGTCGACCGAGAGGATGTACTTGTACTTGACGACGTAAAAGGAGCAGACCGAGGTGATGGCACCCACGAGGCAGGCCACGTACACGGGAACTGTTTCGGTCCCCTGTCAGCATTCCGCACACGGAGAAAGAGGGCCAAGAAGAGACGTACCAAATCCGGCAGCAGGCGTGATGCCGACCAGGCCCGCGATGATGCCCGAGCAGAAGCCCGTCAGGCTGAACTTCTTCTTGTACAGGTACTCAAGAATGACCCACGTGATGCCGCCACCGCACGCGGCCAGGTTCGTGTTCACCACGACGTAAATGGACCGCAGGCTCAGGTTGGCGGTGCTGGCGCCGTTGAAGGCGAACCAGCCGAACCAGATGAAGACGGTGCCGATGCACATGAGGAGCGGGCTGTGGGGCTTGTAGTGGGCAAGCTTGGACTTGCGGTCGCTGACGGTAGGGGCGACACCATGCTCGTTCAGACGGGGGCCCAGCATCATGGACCAGGCCAGGGCGCCGAAGCCGCTCGCAATGTGGACAGGGCCCGAACCGGCAAAGTCGTAGAGGCCCAAATTATACAACCAACCGGAAGGGTTCCACTCCCAGTATGCGAGGCTGTCGGGGTCGTTAGCAGACCGTCCGGCTGGGCTGGCTGTGTCAAAGAGGAGAGGACCAAACTCACAAGTAGTATACAAACGTCGTCCAGCAGAGCAGGAAGACCATGCTGGGAAAGAGGCGGCCGCGCTCCAGCATGGCTCCGGCCAAGATCATGGCGGTGGCGCTGACAAAGGTGAAGCCAAAGGCAGCATACAAGATGTCGGGGATGTCGCTGTTGGCAAGGCTGGGCTGGGCAAGGACATTTTTGAAGACGGCCAGGCTGAGATCACCGAGGATCGGGTTGGTGGTTCGGGACTGGTACAGGCTGTAGCCGTAGATCCAGTACTGGATGCCGCAGGCGCAGGCACAGAACAGGGACTGCAGCACCATGGTCAGAGCCGCCTTGCGGCGGTGCATGCCCGCATAGAGGAAGCCGATGGCGGGCGTGATTTGCCAGCACAGGATGGTGCAGACAAGCAGCCAGGCCAGGTCGCCCTTGTCGTAGGGCGCGTTGAGATCCTGGGTGAGCGGGTCACCGCCGTCGGGGTTGGAGGACCATTCCGGCCACTCTGTAACGGGGACGATCTCTGGTTCGGCCATGAGCGACGGGAGCACGGGAAGTGGTGAGTGAGGGGTGTGGGTGGCGGGAGAGATTGGAGGGCAAGACTCCTGGACGATGGGGAGGTGACGTCGCCAGTATTTGTACGCAACGGCCGTCCCCGTCCAGTACGGTATTATCAGCGACCGGGGCCATTGCCCGGCCCAGGGGTCTCTGTCTCTCTCTCTCTGTGTGTGTGTGTGTCTGGGCGAGATAAGAGAATGGTTTGTCTACCTATGGGAAAGATGCGATGCTGCTGATAAGAGCTGGCTTGGCCTGCCACCCTGCCTGGTGAGAGGGCTTATCAGTCTCCACAAGCCGCTGCCAAGGCCGTTGGCTGCTGTGATATTGCATGCGAGGTCGACGGCCGATCCGTGGGCTTGGGTTTTCTCGCAGACCGCATTCCATTACTGAAACGGGTTGGAATAACCCATGTGTTTATCAGGATTGTAGATACCTAGCTTCAGGCCATTGGAAAGCTTGAGGATAGCAATGGTAGGTGATCCCAGTCTCGGTAGGTACTCGGTAGAAGAAGACACCTGGTACCAGGTAGCAGGTAAGGTATCGCAGTCGATGAGGTGTCGGGACGGGCCTGGACAGGCAGGCGGGGTCGGGTGGGGTGGGGATCCAAACGTGGGGGGTGGTTTCGGTGGGAGCCCGCATCCTCGGGGTTCCGTCCAGGCACCCGGCATGGCCAGCTCAGTATAGCTGCAAAATCAACCCCTCCGCCGTCCATGGTGCATCTTCTGGACTTGCCCGATGAACTTCTCATCCAAATCTGCGGTGCTTTCCCACAGGCCGACATCTCAGACATCAAGAGCTGCCGTCTGAGTTGCCAGCGACTCTGCGCCGCAAGCTCCCATCTCTTGGTGCCCCTCGTGGCCGTCGACTGCCGCAAAGCCTCGCTCGAACGCTTCACCAAGATCCTACACCACCCCACCATCTCCCGCGGCGTTCGCATTGTTCGTGTTCCCATACATTCCTATCGCCATGAGCTGAGCGACCTCTGTGCCAGCTTTGTTAAGTTTGTGGTCGAACCAGCTCTCCACGCCCGTGCCGCCCACGACCATCATCGCAGAGCCGCCCTTTGTTTCTTCCGCCGATATCTGGACGGACACGGCGATGGCAACCCCCTGGAGCACGACGACAGTCTGTGGCTGCGGGCCCTGCGTCTCGTCCATGGGGAGTACCAAAGGCTCTACAGGGAACAAGAAGCGCTGCGAAGCGAGGGAACCTTTGTCGACACGGTTGCCTCGGCCGTGGCCACCATGCCCCGCGGAACTGTCTTGATATACGATGACAAGCCGTGCAGCACCCTGGACGCAGCCAGCCTCCAAGTCTTGGTCCGAGAACATTGTCGCCTGCTAGGCCTTGATCCATCTGCCTGGCGCCCCATCTGGTACGAGATGTTGTCTCCTACAACCTGGACCGACTTGGTCAGAGACGACTTTGGCTGGGAGGCCTTTGCTCCGGATCCCGCCTTCCAAGAGCCGCAGATGGATTTTATACTCGAACTTCCAGGCGCCATTGCAAGGGCTGGAGGCCAGGTCCATGACATGAGGTTTGATCTGTCTTGCGAGACACCTCTGCGTCACCTCGGGTCAGGTGTAGCAACTCGGTCCCATCTTGCCTCTGCGACGCAACAACTACAGGCCTTTACCCTCATCTCTCACCAGCCACAAACGGAGACGCTATCTCACGACTATGCAAGCTCGGTGCTGGCCAGAACACCCAATCTTGGTTTTCTTCGACTCGACATTGCCTCTCCCGGTTCGCATCCTGACATCCTAGTTTCCCGGCTATGGCCTCGTCTCCAGAACATACACCTCGCCGGAGTCCAGCTTACGCTGCCGGACTTGGTGACCTTCCTAGATGGATTACCGGCTTATGTCAAGAACATGCGTCTGAGCTCGGTTCACCTGATGCAAGGCTCGTGGGCAGACGCCTTGGAAGCCTTGCGGCAGAAATCCTACGGCTCATTTACCGTCGAAGATCCAAGGGGGTCTGAGGCGGAACACGTGGGTGTCGCCTTCGAAACAGGTGGGAATGGTCCAGGGGACCGGTTTGTGAAACGTGTGAGGGTGCCAGGTGGTCTCAGTCCAGCAGAGGCATTCGTCCGCAGGGTCACAGACACCAATCCGTGCCAGAGCTGAGGGATGCTTCGGCAGTTCATGCTAGAGCAGCTACTGCCAGACTAAAACAGGCCAGCTCGGGGCTCAGATATGGATCGCGATCCATCGAGTTCTCCTCGCCCAACGCCTCATTGTACAGAATAGACGACTGTCGACTTGGTCGTCGATCACGCCTGTGGAGGTTGTGGGGATCCTGATGCCTCTTGGATTCTTGGGGTTCCTCCCCCGCAATCTTGGCGCCAGTCAAGGACCCCCGACTTTGGCAAGCGTCCTGGCCAAGATGTGCTTGTTCCATTAATCAGTTAGCATGGAGGAAACTGGTGCCACGATGAGGGAGGGTGTCGACTTACCCAAAGGCTGTGGCAAACTACCGATGCTGCTAGATCCGGACGCTGTTTAAGGTCACAGGACCAGGCTCTCCGACTTCTCCAACCGCCAGTCCCCCGTCTGGATGCGACAAGCAACGGCGTTTCTCCGCACGAACCACACCTTTACCCCAATATATCCCCATGGGGACGGGGCTATCATGCTCCCCGGATGCTGCCCTTGTGTGTGGTTGACAGGGGGGGAATGAGCCAGCAATGAGAAATCTATGGTCCCCAGTGGGGTCTCTTGATGAATGTGTGGTTATAATTCATGGCGCCTCCCGCCCTAGCTACCGTACTCTGCCTCTTTTCCCCTCTGTTGTTGACTGCGATAGCAAGCGCGAGGTAAAAGCGACCGAACCTCACCATGGGTGCTCCAGAACCAGTCACCGCCCACAGCGGCGGGCGACGTCTAGTACACAGGTAGGTATACGACATACATCTCATCCAGAACCCGCCGTGCTTCTTCAACTGACCCCTTCCCCCCGTTTCAGCCACGCCAAAGAATGCGACATCCCCGGCACCGTCGACCTCTCCGTCCGCGAAGGGGACGACACAGCCTACGGGCAAGCGCTGTACCCGGTCCCGGCCGAGGACCCCAATGATCCCCTCCAGGTGCGTCTTTGCCTTGCCTCCCTTTTGGTCTTGTTGCTCACCCGAGCCGCTGACCATGCGCCGTCATCAACAGTGGTCGCCCATCCGCAAAACCCTCATCCTTGTCGTCTGCTCTCTCTACTCATTTCTGAGCAACTCGGCCCTGCTGGGTCCGTCGGTGTACATTGGCATTTTCGCCGCCGAGTTCAACACATCCTTCACCGACGCCAGCAATCTCATCAGCTATGCCAACCTGGCGTTCGGGTTTGGCAGCTTGCTCCTCGTGCCGAGCTACCACAAGTTCGGCAGGAGGCCGGTGATGCTGGGCAGTCTGATTCTCTACTGCGGAGGCCTGCTTGCTTGTTCTCAAGTCCAGACCTACTCGGGCTTAATGGCTGCCAGAGTGGTGCACTGCTTTGGCGCGAGTGTCTGCGAGGCGTTGCCGGTGCAGCTGGTGAATGACATCTTCTTCCTGCACGAGAGAGGGAAGAGGTTGGGTTATTACACCGGTGGGTGCCTCCATGCCGACGAGTTGATCTGGTCAGAGTGCTGACGTCAAACCCTAGTTTGCCTTTGCTTCGGAGCCACTGGGCCCCTTTTTGCCGGATACATGCTCAACGGCGGACACTCGTGGAGGTTATTCTTCTGGGTCGAGTTTGCATTCGGCGCGGCCCTCTTTATCCTGGCCTTTTTCGTGGTAGAGGAGACTCTGTACCACAGAAAGCCTCCGGTCGGCTCCTCGTCCCCGGAAAGGCAGAGCTTGGAGGGCGGGGAAGAAAAGCCCACTGCGGTAGAAAGCACCACGCCAGAGACCGGAGCAGCCATTCCACCCAGAAAGACGTTTGTCCAAAGCCTCAAGTTCTGGGGTGTCTACGAGAAAGACGCCGACTTCTTGCTGATGATCGCTCGGTCCTTCACCTACTTTCTAGTCCCGCACGTTCTGTGGGTCATCACCACATATGGTACGCAACATTCTAACAGCTCTGGTCGTCAACCGCTGACATAGCTTTCTTTGCTCGGCGGCAGGCATCTACATTGGCCTGGGCGCCCTCACCTTCAACTACATCTTCCCCCTCAAGATCACGGCACCGCCCTACAACTGGTCCCAGCTCGACTCGGGCCTCATCGCCGTGGCGTCGTTCCTGGGCTACCTCCTGGCCATCCCGTTCACGCCGTCGTCGGACCGGCTCGCGGCCCGCCTCACGCGCAAAAACAAGGGCATCCGCGAGGCCGAGATGCGTCTGGGCGTCATGCTCCCCGTCATGCTCCTGGCCCCTGCCGGGCTCATCGTCTTTGGCTTCGCGGCCGAGAGGGACCTCCACTGGGTGGCCTACTTTGCCGGCGTCGTCATGTGCAACTTTTGCAGCTACTTCTACTTCACCTTCACGCTGGCCTACGCCATTGACAGCTACACGAGCAACATTAGCGAGATGCTCATCGCCATGAACTTGGGCAAGCAGGCCATCAGCTTCGGCATGGGGCTGGACCTGCTGGACTGGGTGACGCAGCACGGGTACGCCGTCATGATTGCCGGGGTGTTTGGGGCCATTCTGTTGGCGAACAACCTGGCGCTGCTGGTGTTTATGCTGTACGGCAAAAGGATCCGGGCGTTCATGAGCACGACCTGGCTGGCGAGGGTGCACAGGGAGAGTGTGAGGGAGGTTGCGACCCATTGAGGGGGATGTTTGAAGCCATGAGCAAGAGCCAAACGCCAGACAGTATCCCCAAGGCAGAATATTCTCCTGAATTTCCTTTCCACATCCAGCCGCCCATCCATCTAGATAAAGTCGAGTATCATAACCCCTGAACCCCTTTACCCTTTTTCCAAACTCCTTCATCAAAAAGAACAAGAAAATAAGAAAAAAGAGACAACCAGCTCCGAAATTTCTTGTCATCTATCATTGCTGCCGCTGTCCAGACGTCGACGCAACCCACACCCAACACCCCTTCTCATAATACTCAAATAAAGTACCTCGCCCTACGCCCCGTCATGTACCGCTCCCCTCGCCCCCGGACCCCTCAGCGGATCCTCCACCTGCGACCCCCACTCACCATCTAACATGAACGCGTCAGTCAAGATCGCCTTTATTTTGTCGCGAAAAAAAGAAAAAGAAAAAAAAGAAAAAGAAAAAAAGAAAAAGAAAAAAAGAAAAAGAAAAAAAAGAAAAAGAAAAAGAAGAAAATCAACTCACATGTGTACTCCCTCTGGTAGTAGTCGACGTACTCGTCGTTGCCGCCGTCGTCGTCGTCGGCTTCGTCGTCTTCGTTCCTCCCCTCCCAAACCGAAACCCTCTTTGCGCGCCCTCCTTGCGGCCCCGGAGCCTTCCCCCTCCGCCTCCTGTGGACGTGACGCTTCTGTTGCGCTCTTGCGCTCTCGGTTATCATATTGATCAGCCAGCCGAACGGCTCCCACAGGAGCTCGAAGGGGAGGGTGAGGAGGCGGGCGAGGTGGCGGGAGAGGCTGGTGATGTTTTCGACGAGGAAGAGGACGAGCCACAGGGCGTAGGGGACGAGGAGGAGGACGAGGAGGAGGAGGATGAGGGGGGTGAGGAGGGGGCTGGTGAGGAAGAGGATGGAGGAGGTGAGGGTGAGGATTATTTTGAGGGGGAGGAGGAGGATGGAGAGGAATAGGGAGACGAGGGGTCGGGATTCGATGTGGATGAAGTCGAGGCAGATCATATCTATTTTTTTTCCTTTCTTTTTTTTTCCTTTTTTTTTTTTGGTATGAATGCTGGTTCGGTTATGTGTTGGATGGTGTTGTTTGATGTTTTGAGACAGCACTTGGAATTTTACATGCGAGGTTGGTAAGGTAGGATAGGTTAGGTAGGGAAATAGGGAGGAGTGTGCTGCATATTTGGAAGGAGACGAGATTGGGATGGATGGCTTTGTCGCTTCTTTGTGCGGGCTGCAACATCTACAGCCCAGCCTTTTTGAGAAGAAGCCTCCTCGAAGGTCAACTCCCGCAATCCTTTGTTATCGGCTCCCTCCTCTCCCGCCGGGACCTGTCGCACTGGTGTGCCCGCTTTCCATCAGCGCCATGATCTCGTCCTCGGCATCTGGCTCCCGCTCGGCGGTGGGATCACCGTAGTGTTACGCTGCCTTTCTCCCGTCTTCCGTCTCCAACCAGGTCTTGACCGGCTCCCCAATCCATTCCACACACGCCCTGAATCCCTCGTCCCCGACCCCCTTCAAATGGGGGACACTCCCCAGCACCCGTCCGTACCCGTCCTTCATCATGGGGTCTGCCCCAGACTCGAGGAGGAGCTTCACTATTCGGGCATCACCAAGCGGCACGGCAAAGTGCAAAGGCGCCATTCTCATCCCGTGAGGGGGCTGGCTCCGTTGGGGCCGCAGCCTGTGTCTCGGAGGAGCAGTCTGGCAATCTCGAGACGGTCGTCATTGTCCTTTGGTCAGAGGGTGAGGGGGATGAGCAGGTCGGCGGACTGGCTTGGGTCGAGGGTGTAACCGCCAGTGGACTTGTTCGCCGAGGCCATCTTTTGCAGGGAGAAGGCTTGGAACCACTGCTGGCACTGGGAGAGGGTGGGAAACGGGCCGTCGAGGGTGCCCTCTCTGCCTTTGTGGAAGCGGATGACGGCGTCGATGGCGCTCGCTTTAGAGAGAAAGGCTTCGAGGTGGGCAGGGGAGATGTTGGTGGTGTGGCGGCGACATGTGTGCTTGAGCTTGGTGGTGATGAAGTCTTGGGTTGTGAGGTTGAGGGACTCGAGGTAGAAGGTCTCGCGGGTGACGTCCTTGTTTGGGAAGAGACTTTTGAGGGTTCACTCGATGATGAGGCGGTCTGACATTTTGTAGAGGCGCGGTATGAGAAATCTGGAGGGAAAGATGGTGTAGGCAAGGTAGGCTTGATCAGACTTGAATGGTTGACTATCTGTGTGTATAAGCACGCTTCACAGGCAACCATCCTGCCCGGACACCTGTTGAAGCTGTCGCGGTTGAATAAGCTCATTTGAGGGCTCTTACACACAGTCATGGTCTCAATGCTCTTGCACGTGTTGGCATTCCAGTACTGCCACCTTAAGCTCAATCTCAACTGTCTTCCAAACCCAGCCTGTCAAGCTCTTGTTGTAACATCACACCAGAACTCTGGACTATCTCAGAGCCAAGCAGGCTGAACAGCAACAAAGTTCCCCACCAAGGCCACTTCTTACCAAATGTTGACCACCGCTGTAGACTATTGCTTACCTTCCCTCCAAATGGGCGCGTTCCTGCATGATGCTAGAGCCAAACGAGCAATAATACTGCATAATCACCTCGCAGTAGAGCGGGGGAAGCCATTTGACACCTACCATCTCAAGGATGCATACCTGCCTTTACATCACTACAACAATCACCCTTCCTCCCCTCCTCCCTTTTTTTCCTTCCCCACCACCACCATCCATCCCCCCTTTCCCTCTGCTCCTCCCAAAAATCAAACCCGCCACCGTCCAAAATGGCCCCCCGATCCCAATACGACCCCATAGCAACCCAGTACACCTCGTACACCACCGTCCCCGACATGCGGCTCGAAGCCTCCCTCGTCCGTACCGCCCTCGGCCCCTGCCAGCCCACCGACATTATCCTCGACCTCGGAGGCGGCAGCGGCCTCCACGCCCGCACCGCAGTCGACCTCGGCGCCGGCCGCGTCGACGTCGTGGACATCTCCCCCGAAATGCTCCTCGCCGGCCGGCAAATTGAGGAGTCCCTCGGCCGGACCGACCGCCGCATCCGCTACATCCATTCCGACGTCACCAAGCCCCTCCCCCCTCACCTCGCAGAACAGAAATACGACGTCGTCATGGCGAATTGGGTGCTGGATCACGCCGAGAGTATGGACGACCTGATTGGGATGTGGAGAAACATCGCGTCTGCGCTGAAGCCGGGGGGGAGGTTTGTGAACGTGAGGGTGAGGTGCTTGCGGGCGGGGTATTTGACTCGAGGAAAATACGGGGTGGTGTTTAGCGACTTTGAAGAGATCGTCACCGGCGGGCCGGGGTGGAGGTATAATGTTAGTTTTCGGCTGGACGGGGTGCCGGTTGTGTTTGAGGCTACGTCTATGGAGGCGACGTTGGGGTTGGATCACAGCATACCTGAGAGCATGGGGATGGGGGGGTGGGGGATTGTGCCGTTGGAGGAGGATGAGGTGGTCAAGGGGGATAGGGAGTATTGGGCTGATCATGTCGGGGAGCCGTCGTTTGTGGTTGTGGTGGGAAGGAAGCTGGGGGGGTAGAGTTGGGTTCCACTGTGTCACGGATTTCACTCCCTAGAGCACACCCGGTTCGATAAAGGCAAGAACAGCTAACCGTTCCGTATATCCCTCCTGATCAATCTCGCCATGAAAATGCCTCTGATCTCTATGAAAATCGAAAACACCATCGAGGTCCAAGCACTTCACCCCGTGACCAAACCGTAGCTGTAAGCCCAACCTCCCACTGCTCCCTCCATCAAATCACACGGTGAGATGGCCGAGCGGTCTAAGGCGCCACGTTAAGGTCTTCCTTAATCAACATCTACGAGTTAGATTCCGTGGTCCGAAAGGGCGTGGGTTCGAATCCCACTCTCATCATACATTTTTGCGCCGATCACACCCTATGCGGCATTTTTTTTTTCGGTCGGCTAATTCCGAGGAGGCCTCAAATTCCGGTAGCGTACTTTGAGCAAAGACCTCCTCCACCAACATCATGATGAGCAGTCTTCTAGGTGGCCATCACAACATGCACGAGAAAACAGTTGCCAGCATAATATGTATTGCCAATCTACAGGTGCTACATACTGGTACCGGAGACATGTTGACTGCAGAGCAGCTCTGTACCATGTCTTGAAATTCTCTTTTCCTCCTTGCTGCAACGTGAAATGCAAATGGGAGTAACCACCAGGACCAACCATCTCCTCCTCCTCCTCGGCCTCCAGACCCGCACATCCCTTGGTCTTTTCCCCTAACCCCTCATAATCGCACAAAACACGATCATCAGCGCGAGACACGACCATCACCCGGGGCTTCCCGCCCCTTTTTAGTCAATCCCGTCCGGTATCCGGAAGGCGGCTCTCCGAGGACTCATACCCGCTGCTCAAATATTCACCAAACACTCTCTCCTCAATGTCCAGATCCTTCCACTGCTTACCCGTGGTCTTCTTGGCCGTGCGGCGGAAGTACACGCGCTTACCAAACTTCCACAGCTCGACACCAGCAAAGAAAAGACCAGCCGCAATGAAGACGATGCCCCACTCCCACGTAATTCCGACGTGCTTGAAGACCTTGGTGTTGAGCACGGGAATGTACACGACAGGGAAGAGCGTGACGAAGCCACCGACGATGGCCCAGAAGAGGAACTGGTTTCTCCAGACGTCGTGGAACCACTGGGTAAAGTACTTGGTGCTGCCGGGCTGCATGCGGAAGAAGGACCGGCGCATGTCGACCAACTCCCAAGCCAGGAACAGGGCGAACCAGGTGAGGCAGGCAAAGGTGGTGGCGCGAGCCTTGAAGACAGTTTCGCAGGCCTCGGAATACTCCTCGTTGCAACGCTCGCCCAAGCTGCCGTCGCCCCAAGCGTACACTCTGAGCACGAAGGAAGCCAAGCACAAAGCGGCAATCCAGAGACCGTACACAACCATATCCACGCAAAACTCGAGGGTGAAGATGCCCGTCTTGAGGCTCTGTGGAGGACGGCGCATGATATCGGGAACGGCGCGCTCAAAACCAAGACCCATGTCGGGAAGACCAGAGGTGACCATGATGATCCAGACGATTTCGACAGGTGCGAGAGGGAAAACGGAGAGGCCAGAACGATCCTTGAAGGCGAGACCGATGAGGAGGGTACCGGCCTGGGCGATGTTCTCAGCAAGCACGTGAAGCACAAACTTTTGGATATTGTCAAAGATACGGCGGCCCTCCTCAATGGCAGCGACGATGGAGGCAAAGTTGTCATCAGTGAGCACAATGTCGGAAGCATCCTTGGCAACATCGGAACCGGACTCGCCCATGGCGATACCAACGTCGGCGCGCTTGAGGGAGGGAGAATCATTCACACCATCACCAGTCTAATACTCTGTTAGCGAAAACTGGAAGGCAAAAACAGCAGAAAAAGAAACGACATACCATTGCGCAGAACTTGCCGCGGCGGTGCAAGGCATCAATCATGCGAACCTTGGTGCTGGGGGCGCAACGAGCAATGACCAGGGGCAGCACGGGGAGCTTATCAACCGCCTCGTCGCTCAAAGCATCAAACTCGGAGGCCGTCATCACCATGCAGGCGGCCACGTCGGCGCTAACCCGCTCCATTCTCCTGGGCAGGATACCGACTTCAATAGCGATCGCCTTGGCCGTCTCCGGGTGGTCACCAGTAAGCATGTGCACGGAAATGCCGGCCTCGTGGCACTCGCGCACAGCAGGGGCAGATTCCGCACGAGGGGGATCATAGAGACCAATCAAGCCACGGAAAGTGAGGTCCTGCTCGACCTGTTCACGGGGGGTGTCCTCGGTGAACTGGGCACCGGCAGGCAGCTTCCTTCCGGCAAGAGCCAGCACACGCAGACCCTGGGAGGCAAATGTTTCCATGTTGCGCAGGATCTGCTGGCGGAACTCGTCGGTCATTTCTACCTCGGAGCTCTCGCCATCGGCCGCATCGCTGTCGCAGTACCGGGTGCAAACACCAATCACTCTCTCGACGGCACCCTTGGTGAAGGCCCAGTGCTCGTTCGTGGTGGTGTGCTCCATAATCACACTCATGCGCTTGACATCGCTGTCAAAGGGGAACTCGGCCACCTCCTTCCACTCGGGCTTGTCACCGTTCATGACGTCGAGCCTGTTTCTGTTGAAGCGGCTGGCAAACACCTGGATGGCAATCTCGGTAGGGTCGCCGCGAGCGTGCCAGTCGCCATCCTTCTCAAAGACGGTGGCGAGGTTGGCCAGCGAGGCGATGGTGAGGAATTCGTGAAGGCGAGCCTTGCTGTCGGAGAGGAGCTGCTGGATCTTGGTGATGGGGCCCTTGGGGTTAGTCGATTCGTCATCCTTTTCAGACTGCGAGCCGAAGTTGATCTCGTGGGGCTGCTTCTGAACAAAGCGAATGTCGCCTTGGGTGGGGTTAAAAGGCTGGCTGGAGGTAAGCTCGACAGTGTAGGTGCCCATTCCGGGGATCCAGGCGCCACGCGCCACCATCTTGCCTTGAGTGAGGGTACCGGTCTTGTCACTGCAGATATCGGTGACGGCACCCAAAGCCTCGAGAGCCTTGAGGTTACGAACAATGACGTTGCGCGCAACCATGCGCTTGGTGCCAGCAGCCATGGTGATGGTGAGGACGACAACCAACGAGGCGGGAATCATGGAAAGACCAGTGGCCACAGCGTAGATGATGACTTCTTTCGGGGTGCGCATCTCGTTGGCACCAAGCACAATGATGGCGCAGACGACGGCAATGCCAAACAGAAGCATGGCAAGCTTGCTGAGCTTTCGCTGCAGCGGAGTACCCACGTTGACACCGAGGAAGCGACCAACGGCATCACCGAGGGTCAGCGTGTAGGCTTCGAGATAACGATGGGGACCGGCCTTGCCATTCGGCTTGCGCTTGACGGGGCGGACACGCGAGTCCTTCTTGTTCAGGGCGGAGGCAATGGCACCAATCTCGGTGAAGGTGCCTGTCGCGAACACAATGCCCTTGGCACGGCCCTTAGTGACGGTGGAACTGCTGTAGGCAACATTGAGGCGATCGCCGGGGCCGGTGTTGTCGTCAAAAACGTCGTCGACACGCTTGCGAACGGGGAGGGATTCGCCAGTGAGAAGGGCTTCGTCGGTCTCAAAGTTCTTGGCTTCGATCAAACTGTTGGGCCAAGTCAGCATTCATGTGATTTGCACGTGCTTTCTTGCGGCAGCGGGGTTCTCGCACCGAATATCGGCGGGGATGGTGTCACCCATCTTGACTTCAACCAAATCGCCGGGAACGAGCTCGCCAGAAGGCACAACGGTGGCCTCACTGCCACGGATAACAGAGGCGGTAGGCGAGGACAGCGAACGGAGGGAGTCCATGGTCTTCTCAGCAGAGTACTCCTGGAAAAAACCGACGACGACATTGAGCAAAATGACAAAGGCAACGACAGCACCCTCAATATGGGAGCCAATTCCAAAACTGACAGCCATGGCCAGGATAAGCACCTAATTTCTCATCAGCATGTATTACCCAGTTTACCTCGTTTGTTTCGTTGGGAGCCTACCATGGTCATGGCATTGGCAACCTGAGCAATGACAATCTTGAGAGGCTGAACGCCCTCACCCTCACCAAGCTCATTGCGTCCAAACTCCTTGATGCGGCTCTGGGCCTCGGCGGCGGTCAAACCGGAGAGGGTATCGGCATTGAGTTCGTGGGCAACCTGTTGGTGAGACAGAGCATGGGCCGGGCGACTCAATGGCTTGTTGGACTGGCCCGAGATGTGCCCGCCACCCGAAGCTTTTTCGGGGTCCGCAGGTTGCGACATGTTGGAAAGTGCGTTGGGTCTAACCAGACCTCGGAGGGGGGGGGGTCTGCGTAGGTGTCGACGGGGGTGGGGCGAGCTCGATACCGTCAGGTGTGTCTGTCTGTGTTTGGAGTTGAGAATCTAGAAGTAGGGACGAAGGGACGAAGGAGGGTCTTCAGACGGGCGGGAGACCATGACGTGTTATACGACTTTTGCTTCTTCACCGAATGCCATCTCCGGCTTCCTAGCGCAATCCACGAACCGAACGGAGGCAAACCTGGAGAGCAAGATAGCCACTAAGGTTCCTGGAAGAGACATCCTTGCCTGTGGGTTCTGTCCACGGATGGAAGGTCCAACCTCGATGTGCAGCCCTTGGCGGGCTCGGCAGTGCTTGGCGCTAGTGGGGACTGCCGGGGATGAAGGGACTTGGGTTTCGTCACTGGCGAGGTTCAAGAGTCAAGACCACCCTGCTGCTGTTGGTCAATTTCTGCCCTGATATTGGCCAATAGTCCCCCAGTGGGGGATGGTTTGCTCATGCGTCATGTTCGGAATCTTTGGGGATCAACTGGATCGGAGGGGGGCGATCAAATGTCGTCATGTCACCTTGTCAGCGCGGGGGAAGTCGGTGGGAGGTTGGTGGTGGCCTAGCTGTCTAGGCGTTTGAGATGCCGAGAGCCATCCGTCCGCAAACAACAAAGACAGTTCGTTGGTCGCGTGCCGGGCGGTGGGAGTTCAAGAGGACAAAGACGGAACACGGAAGAGGCAGGAAGTGTGGGAGCCAAGCCAAGGCTCGCGTGAGAAGGCTCAGGCTCGGCGCTGGCTGACAGCCAAAGAGCTTCACACGTGCAGGTTGGTGTTTCTGGAGCCAATATTTTTTTTTCTGAAGGGTTCACCGCTGTAGCCAGCTTTTGTTGGGTTTTTTTGGCGGGGATAAGAGCTGGGCTGCCAAGCCCCGATAAGGATTCCGGGCCTCCCCGCTAGTATCAGACACCACCAGACACACTCCCTTAAACCGACCTCAGCCGGGTATGCCAGGCGACAAGACGGCAAAGATCTGGGGTCGCACTGGTCGGTGTCTGCACGTGGATGGAGGCTCAGCAACTCCCGACAGCAAGCCGTGCAAACCCCTTTTTTGGCCTGCAGAAAGGGGCAGGTGTTGATCTGTGTTCCTGGATTATTCTCCATTCTGGAGACATGCTGGAGACATTCTGGAGTCGATGCAGCACTGCGCCTTCCTGGGAAGGAAACTCATGCCGTGGAGACCCCGCTACTAACGCTTGCAAAAAGTCTTGTTTAAAGAATGCATGCGATGCCACACTGCAGTCCGCGCGCGTGCTTCCCTGCCACATTGGGATGCCATCTCTGGTCTCTGCCTGCGCCTATCAGATATCTATCCGTCGCGTCTGCCTGTGACCTGTCAACTGAATAGACATTAAAAGAGGACTGCCTAGATAGATCAGATCATGTCGGGTTCAGAAGCAGCGTCAGATGAATATCATGATAATTAGCGCAGCTTCTGACCACCAGATAAAGAATGAAAAAAATAAAATAAAATAAATCTTCATCACGAGAAGCAAATGCAGCCAGAGACACCGTCACATGGCAGATGGATTGGCAGACAGGGCTCTTTCCACCGCTCCAATCACAACACACCATGGCATGCGTGCCAACCCGCCGAGCCCGCGTTAAGTGCTTGTTTCCGAGACCAGTCATCTACCTCACCCACTGGCTTCAAATTCTCGATTGCTGACACGAACTGTTTGAAGGTCGAAACAGGATCTGGGTGTAACGGAGACACGGAGATAATTTAGATCGCCCGCCGTGCCACCCGGCATTTTCGATGACCAGTTTTCTTGCTCTGAGGCGGCAGACACCACAGCTCCCCGCGTGAGATGGGCTTTCTTCACAGCTAACTTGAGATAAGAGGTGAAAGAGTACAAAAATAAAATACAAGTACCTAAAAGAATCATGCTGAGACTGGGGACTACATGCTTATATTGATTTGCGGCCATCGGGAATCGAACCCGACTCTAATGCTTGGAAGGCATTAATGCTAACCACTACACCATGGCCGCTGATGATTTGTTGAAGTCCCTCCATTGGTGTTGGGCATCGTGAGCTCCACTGAATGGGTCTTTGGGTGAATCATCCCAACGAGCGAAACCTATGGGATGCGTAAAGGATCTTACTCGCCTCGTAGACTTGTGTTTCAAATGATCAGGGTGTGTGGATACAAAGTTTCATGACATCCCGCACTTTGTCGTCAACAAGCACATTGTTCAGCACCGAAGACCAGGGTTAGGAGCATCTTCTACATCCATGTGCAACCAATCACCAGGCCCGATTAGCTCAGCTGGTTAGAGCGTCGTACTAATACTAGCAATAGCATCAAGTCATGCGAAGGTCAACAGTTCAATCCTGTTATTGGGCACTATTTTTTGTCATTTTTATTTTTGCATTTTATTTTCTCTGGATGACACTATACATGATACATCCATCACCTACGCTTCTACCAATTCCTATCTTCTTTGCCTCTGATAAATTAGTTTTTCTCACTCTCTCTTCTTCTTCGCCCCTCCAGCATTCCGCAACCTCCACACTGCCCTCGCCACGACAAACCACTGTTTTGATCTCGTCAGCATAAATTCAATCAATAAGAGAAGAAAAAGAACTCACAATAAGAACCAACCCAACCCCAGCAGCAACACCAACAAACCTATCCACCCCCTCCAACACCCTCCCCTCCAAGTTCAGGCCCCTCCCCCTCGTCGCCTTGACCTTGGCCTCGTGCGGCCACTTGGGGTTGTCCAACGTCCCATAATCGGCCGGGTCATCGCTCCCAAACTCAAAGTCGATCCCGTACCCGCCAGGGAGATACGCCCCCGGGGCGCTGTAGTCGTAAAAGTTTTGGTGGAGCTCCAGCAGGAAATACAGCCACTCTACCACCGTGGCCAGCTGGACGAGCGCCTTCCAACCTGGAGTCACGGGGTCGGAGGGTTGGGAGGCATCGACGAGGGAGAGGACGATGCCTGATAGGAGGAGCTGGATGCCTGGGGAGAGGAGGGCTGTCAGGGAGGTGACGTTTGTGGAGTTTAGCAGGGCGTAGGTGAGTGTCCCGAGAAGGATGAGCGTTCCATGCAGGAGGAGGTAAGGGGGGTGAGGGGGGGAGAAATCTTCGTTGAGGGTTTTACGCAGGGAGGAAGAAACCATGGAGGGGTTTCCGGGGGGGAAGTCAGGGGATGTTGGCGGGGTGGTGAAGGAGTAGACGTCTTGTTGGTCGTCTTGGAGGTAGTAAAAGTTCTCTGAAAATGATTCGACTTCTTCTTCTTCCGGCTCGTCTTCTTCAATGGGGGGAAGGCCGGTGGGTAGGAGCTCGTCCGGGACGGTGGCGAATCGGAAGGGGTCGTCGTTGTCAGTGTTGGAGTCGTCGTCCTTGGGTTTGGGGAGGTCGGGTTTCTTTTCCTCCCCTTGCGTCTGAGGCTTCGGTTTCGGCTTCTCCCCGGGTTTGACATTGGGATTCTTATGCGCGTCTTCTTCCACCACCTCGGGCTTCTTGTCCTCTGCGGCCTCGGGCTTCTTCTGCTGGCCCTCTTCAAATTTCACCCGCGTCCCCTTGGAGTTGTTTCCCGTTTGGGACCCCACTGACGAGCGACGGTGAATTGGGCTTGTCGTGGCAGTCGGGCTTGTAGTGGCCGGGTTGGAAGGGACTGGGATCCCGGAGGGCTTGTCTTTTGCTGAACTCATGGTGAACAAGGATCCAGTTGTTGCAAGTAGGTGAGGATCCGATGAATTGTGTACAGCTGATCAATTTGATCACGCCAAGGGGGACAGACAGCACTGGTTTAAAAAGGTAGGGACAGGAATCTGAGGCCGGATGCGGCATGGAAGCATGGTGTTGATGTCATGAACAAAGGGGTGTCAACATTTGCGGATGTCAATGACGTGAATGAATTCTCGCAAGTGAAAAGGAGAATTTCATTGTTCGATTTGATCCAGTCTGCAATCTGTGACTTGGATGATTGTTCTAATACAATTGATGCAGGGCAGAATGAAGTTGTTTGGGTGGCCCATGGGAGGGAAGGAACTTCATTGCAAGCCCTGGTTGTGTCCGAAACAAGGAGAGGAAGCACACCATGCTATTGTTGGTTTTTGTTGATACGGGAAAGCTGTTACAGGATCACAAGTTCATATACATACAGGAAAACACAGAGCTATTGAAAAAAAAAAGAAATACTTATTACCTTCTTATTAAAAATTGACTAATTGTAAAAGTCGTGATCAGAACATTACCTTACGCCCCAGTGGAGAGAGATTCATCAGATGCTTACTAGACACTAAAAAGCAGTGAGGTTCCTTACCTGGATATCTACCACGCCCTTGCCAGTACGGGTCCGCCTGCGGGCAGCAAGGTGGACATGATTCTGCAAAGTGCAGTGAAACCACTTATACCTCTTGGATCTCATGCTGATATCAATGTAGATTGTCTTGAGTTTAGGGCACGCATCGCCATCCCAAAGCCACTGAATCTGACGGCAGACGACAGCATCGTCTATCTCCGGCTTCCAGTAGATGGCTACAGAGGTGATGTTGGCCAGATAGCCGGTGGCAGGCAAGTCTGGAACAAGAAGAGGGTACCGGCGCCGCCAGTGACCAACACTGTCCACGGTTTCAAAAGTAAGTTGAGTGAATGGTTCAGGAACTTCTGGCTCTTCGGGCTCAGAAGTATCCATGTCTTCAGCGTCGGTGGGTGGCTCGGAAGTATCTATAGCGTGGATGGGTGATATGACCAGCATATCTTGAGATGCATCAAACAGAGGGAATGGGCCACGATTTTCAGATTCAAGATCCTTCTTGTGGAGGCGCACTGCAGTCTTGTTAGCTTCGTAGCAAGAGCTGGCAATGGCTGAAACACGAGACCAGGATTGAGTGAAGCTGAGAGGGGAGGGGTTCAGACTTAGCAACGACTGACCAAATGCTGCCAAGTTCGGAATTGGACCGTAGATGGGTCTGAGTTGGCCGAGGGAATGATGCCCCGAGTTCATGGTGAGGAAGTGAGTGTTGGGCTCGGAGAGAGCCAACTCCCAGATCACCCATTGAATCTCAGTAGGAAGCCGCGTGAATTGGGGGAACGAGGCCATCTTGTTGATAAAAGTGCTGGTTCTGTTAGTATAGGTGGTGGGGGTGGTGGGGGTGGTGATGGTGATGTTGCTGTTCTTGTTAGTGAAGGTGATGATGATAATGATGATGATGGTCTGGAATGGAAGTGAGGGAGACTTATGGTTAAATATCGCATAAGAAGCAGCACATATTGTGTTGTGATTAAACCAGTTGTCTTGGTTACAGAACTCGACAAGGCCTGTTTCATTCTCCATTGTGTTGAACTAGTCCGCGACAATGGCATTGTCTTGCATAGATTTATAGTGTCCAGAGAACAATTCTGAGAGCTAGGTATGTTACTGATGGCCGATGCTCCCGAGGAGTTGCAATTTTGGAGAACGCATCAGCGAAATCGGACATTTTTCACTTATCAACAGGATCCACTGGAATACGCCATGGTCTAACCAGTTTCCGACAAGTGCTGCTTCTAGCTCCGTGAATGATCCGGGAATAACGCACATTGCAAGGTACTCCGGGCCGAGCACCATCATGACAAAGCAGCCGACACTACGGGAAAACTTTGCAACGCACTTGTATGCTTCAACCTCTTGTAACTTGGACCCAGCGACTATGAAAACACTCCCAGATTTGTCAGGACATTGCGTCAACTCGGCCCTCGGTGTTGATCGCGTAAATTGACCCAATGTACCTACGGAAGGTTCCTTGTTGTCGGCCATGCCTATCTATCGGATCACGGTCGGGTCTGGGGCAAACGGTTTGACTCTATTCCCGGCCGGGGTGCGCCGTTATGGAACCAACGACTTCCTGCCGAGACGGCCCCACAGAGACCAAGGATTGAAAGTCGGTGACTGATGAAGTCGATGACTGATAAAAAAGCTAAGAAAAAATTAGGACCGACCAAATCCCGACGCCCTTTGCAGGACATATATGCCCAAGCAGCTTTCCGTTGACTGTTCCTACATTGCAGCTTGTGTTACCTTTCGATCAAAACAATAAATAGGGGTTCAAGGGGTATCTTAACAGCAACACCAACCTTGGCAACCGGAAGATAACGAAAGAAACCGGAAAACGGCATCCTATCCTCACAAAAGCCCAACAGCGACGTCGTTAACACCACAGCCATGGCGACAGACCTCGAAACGGGGCCACCACCCCCCGTCGCCGGACCAGAAAGAGACATTGACACAGATTCCTCCTCACCAACCTCAAAATCACCACCAGTAAAGCCAACAAGAGAAAAGACGGATGGCGCCTCGACGACAGACACAGACTCGGACTCGGACGAAGACGTCGCCCCCCAACCGCTAGAAACAGGAGGCGTCATATCACGAACCATCAGCCGCCTGACCCGTCAAAGCACAAACTACGACCCCGGCCCTCCCCCCGACGGCGGCGTCAAAGCTTGGACTGCCGTGTTCTGTGCCCACCTCGTCATCACCAACACCTGGGGCATCATCAACTCCTTTGGCGTCTTCCAACCCTATTACACCACCACCCTCTCCCGCCCTCCATCCGACATATCCTGGGTTGGGTCAGTGCAAATCTTCCTGCTCTTCTTCATCGGCGCCATCACCGGCCGCCTCACAGACGCGGGTTTCTTCCGGCACATCTTCGCCCTGGGAACGGTGCTGCTCCTGCTGGGGACGTTTACCGTTTCCGCTGCGAGCACGTACACCCAGGTCTTTCTCAGCCAGGGGATATGCATGGGCCTGGGGATGGGGTGTCTGTTCTGCCCGAGCATCTCGACAGTGAGCACGTACTTTGACAAGAGGCGGGCGATTGCGCTGGCGGTTGCGGCCTGTGGCAGTGCGACGGGTGGGTTGATCTTCCCCAGCATGGTGCGCGAGCTGCTGCCCAAGGTTGGGTTTGGGTGGACGATGAGGAGCATTGGGTTCATCCAGCTTTTGACCTTGGGGGTGGGCTGTGTGTTTTTGAAGCCGAGGATCAAGCCGAGGAAGTCGGGGCCGTTGATTGATTTGGCGGCTTGGAAGGAGGGGGAGTATGTCATGTATGCGTTAGGGGCTTTTACTGTGAGTTTTGATTGAAAACGCCCCTTGGGAATAGCACAAGACAATGGAAGAGAGCTGACATCAGACAAGTGCTTTATTGGGTTGTACTTTCCGTTCTATTACGTGGCGTCGTTTAGCAGGGACATCATTGGGCTGGACTTCACCGAGAGCTTGAATCTGTTGCTGGTGATGAACGGCGTGGGAGTGATCGGGAGACTAGGCCCGAACGCCGTTGCCGACCGAGTTGGACCTCTCAAGGTCTTTGTTCCTGTGGCGGGACTCTGCGGCGTGTGTGTCATCTGCTGGATGGCTGTGAAAGATGTGGCGGGCCTCTATGTGTGGTCTTGCTTCTACGGGATGGTCGCCGGTGGTATTCAGAGTCTGTTCCCGGCCGGACTGAGCAGTCTCAACACCGACGTGCGGAAAGCCGGTGTGAGGATCGGGATGGTGTTTACGACGGTCAGTTTTGCAACCCTGGCAGGCCCGCCAATTGCCGGTGCCATCATCACAGCTTGTGATGGGGACTACTGGGGTGCGCAGGTTTTTGCCGGGACAACGTTGCTCATTGGAATGGTGCTTGTCGCGGCCTCCTTTGTCATCAAGAGCAGGAAGATGATGGCTGAAACTGGGGCAACATCCATGTGGAGCGTCAAGGCGTGAGTGAGAGGCAAAACACGGGCGGGCAGGCAATGCGCCTACCTTTGCTCACATGTATATACAAACCATGATCTACGTAACCGCATGTTGACGCCGCTGCCAGGGGCTTTTCCTTCCCCATATCTACCGAAAAGAGCAAGGCATCATGTGGCGAACTTTGCCCACTGTCAGTTCTATTCCGTCGCTTGATGCCGCGGCTGTCAAGGTCAAGTTGCTCGCCCAGTGCGACGTGAACACTACTATTCCACGAATCAGAAACAACCCCTGTAGCGCGCCTATGTCGATGCTGGGATCAGCTTCTGAACTTGTACAAATCCGGCAAGTCGTCCAAGAAAGTGCCATAAGCGAGTTTGGCACCCACGTACCTGGTTCACTCAAAGTTGAGATGGTTCCGTTCTTACCTGATCGAGTATGTGAGGTTGTATTGGTGCGACACTTGTGGAGGATAGAGTCGGACTCGGACCGACAAGTATCCTGCAAACTGGAGTCTGCGAGAGCCTCAAGTCTCCGGAAAGATCACGGTAAATCGGTAAATGGAAAGGTCGGCAGAGCTGAAAGGTGAGGCTTTGTTTGAAACATTAAAGCAGACCAAGCTTTGCCTTGAATCACTTCTCTGCCGTCCGAATCTCTTGTCACCAGCGGAGACACGGGTTGCGACAGCACGGACAAAAGAAGGAATCAGGACCACAGTCTACATGTTCACCGTTCGCTCATAGATTTGGTTGATGCAATGAAGTAGTCCATCGCGCAAAGGCTCCTCTACCCGGAACTCTGCGCAAGCCAAGCCGAGGCCAAGCCCACAGAAGATTCGGTCGGTGGATTTCCGGGACTAACACCATGTCGCCAAGGTCCTCCGATAGGCGCGGCTACCACAACAGCACGCGCCGGCGTACTTGTTCCATTAGGAAGTATTCGGAGTGTACTCCGTTCAACGACAACCGAAGCATATAATGGACAAGGCGTCCCTTGAGGCTTCGTTATCCTGTGTCTACTGCCTTGTCCGTCTTTCAGTACAGCCTTGTTGGAGCAGCAATCATGCAGACTCTCGCCTTTGTTCTCGCTATCGCCCCGGCGACTGTCCTTGCCCAGTCCCCTCTCTGGGGCCAGTGTATGTGACAGCCTTTGTGACAACCTTCCTCAAACAATTTCTGCTCGACCAACTAACTTGTCTTGTTTCCAACAGGCGGCGGTCAGGGCTGGACGGGTCCCACTACCTGCGTTTCTGGCTCAGTCTGCCAGAAGACCAAGTACGTAACACCTCTCACAACCAGAGAGTTGCTCCCTTCCCCGAAGGCCATCACTAACAAGTTTCTCTCACAGCGACTGGTACTCCCAGTGTGTGCCCGGATCCGGAGGAGGCAACCCTGCTCCCACCACACCCACCACTCCTACTCCTACCAACGGCGGCGGCGGCGGTGGCGGTGGAAATAGCTTGCACGAAAAGTTCAAGGCCAAGGGGAAGCTCTTCTTCGGAACCGAGATCGACCACTACCACCTGAACAACAACCCGTTGACCACGATCGTCAAGAACACCTTTGGTCAAATCACCCACGAGAACAGCATGAAGTGGGATGCCATTGAACGTGAGTGTCCTTTTTTTTCTTCTGGAAGAGCTGGCTCAAGCTAACTTGTCCATCACAGCGAGCCGCAATCAGTTCAGCTTCTCCAACGCCGACGCTGTCGTCAACTTTGCTACCGCCAACGGGAAGCTCATTCGTGGCCACACTCTCCTCTGGCACTCTCAATTGCCACAGTGGGTGCAGAACATCAACGACCGCAACACGCTGACGCAGGTCATCGAAAACCATGTCACCACTATGGTCACCCGCTACAAGGGCAAGATCGCCCACTGGGACGTCGTCAACGAGATCTTTGCCGAAGACGGCTCCCTCCGCAACAGCGTCTTCAGCCGCGTTCTCGGCGAGGACTTTGTCGGCATCGCCTTCCGCGCTGCCCGTGCCGCCGATCCCGCCGCCAAGCTCTACATCAACGACTACAACCTCGACAATGCCAACTACGCCAAGGTCACCCGTGGCATGGTCGAAAAGGTCAACAAGTGGGTCGCCCAGGGCATTCCCATCGACGGCATCGGCTCCCAGGCTCACTTGGCTGCCCCCGGCGGATGGAACCCTGCCTCCGGTGTCCCCGCTGCCCTGAGGGCTCTCGCTGCGGCCAACGTCAAGGAGATTGCCGTCACCGAGCTCGACATTGCCGGTGCCTCGGCCAACGATTACCTCACCGTCATGAACGCCTGTCTCCAAATCCCCAAGTGCGTTGGCATTACCGTCTGGGGTGTTTCGGACAAGGACAGCTGGAGGTCCAGTGACAACCCGCTCCTCTTTGACCGCAACTACCAGCCAAAGGCGGCATACAATGCCTTGATGAACGCCTTGTAAGGGACATGTGGTACTCATTCGAGTTGTGGATTTCGGGGGCAACATACGATGGCGATGGGATTGAACAGTGTGTGTATATATGGAAAGCTTCGAGGCACCTCGTTTTAGAAGCGTAGGTACCTAGACTTCAATCTGATCGTTTCTACAGTTCGTCGTTGTGTCATGTGAAAGGTGTCTGATGTGCACATGTGCAGTTAAATTACCTAGGTCAACACCCAGTCACCGGTTTTCTGAGTCACCAATCGTTGGGAGGGCCCCTTTTGAACCCCGCCTTCCCCTGCATTCTATAACTGCATCATGTCTTTCCAACCTACATCACACTTTGACCCAGGTCTCAACCTCTTCAAAACGGAAACAATGGCAGCACAGGGAACCTGTCCTCCCAGACCCCAGGAAACGAAACATTCTCATTACCAGCGCCCTTCCATACATCAACAATGTGCCGCACCTTGGCAACATCATCGGGTCAGTCCTTTCAGCCGACACGTTTGCGCGGTACAGCAGAGCGCGCGGCTTCAACTCACTTTACATTGGTGGTGAGCTTGACTTCTCGGTCTGGTGCCCGTACCCGTTTGCTGACTCGCTCCATAATCAGGTACCGACGAATACGGAACCACCACCGAGGCCCGAGCCCTAGTTGAGAACTGCACCCTGCAAGAGCTTTGCGACAAATACTACGCGATTCACGCTGCAGTCTACAAGTGGTTCAGCATCAGCTTCGACATCTTTGGTCGCACCACAACACCGCTGCAAACGGAAATCACCCAAGATATCTTCCTGAAGCTCAAGGACAATGGTTTTCTCGAGGAACGCATGACAACCCAGCTCTACTGTGAGCAGCACCATTTGTTTCTCGCTGATCGCTTCGTCGAAGGCGAGTGTCCTGATTGTGGCTATGTCGATGCTCGTGGAGACCAGTGCGACCTATGCGGTAAACTTCTCGAGTCCCTGGAGCTTATTCGCCCGCGCTGCAAGGTGGACGGTTCTGTACCAGTTACCAAAGAGACCAAGCATATCTTCTTGGAGCTGGATAAGCTCCAGCCAGAGGTGGAGGCTTTCTTCCAGGAGTCAGCTGCTAAAGGCGCGTGGTCTAGCAATGGAACATCAATCACAGCAGCGTGGCTCAAGGAAGGACTACAGCCGCGAAGCATTACGAGGGACCTCAAATGGGGCACTCCGGTGCCCACGAGTTTGGAAGGCTATGAAGAGAAGGTTATCTACTCGTGGTTTGATGCTTGGCAAGTTGAAATCCTGTTCCACTGTTGACTCTGGAAAACTGTGCTCCTTGCTAACTGACGACAGCATCGGTTATGTATCGATCACAGCCAATTACACCGACCAATGGGAGAAGTGGTGGCGCAGCCCAGACGACGTGCAGCTCTACCAATTCATGGGCAAAGACAACGTTGTCTACCACAGCATCATCTTTCCCGCCACCAAAATCGGAACGCACGAACCCTGGACAAAGCTCCATCACCTCTCCACCACCGATTACCTCACCTACGAAGGCGGGAAATTCTCCAAGTCTCGAGGAATTGGCGTCTTTGGTGATTCTGCGAGAGAAACCGAGGTGCCCTCAGACATTTGGCGGTTTTATCTCCTCTACTGCAGGCCCGAGACTGGTGACAGCGAGTTCACCTGGGACGGCTTCATCAGCGCCAACAACAATCTCCTCCTCAAGAACCTAGGCAACTTTGTCAGCCGTGTCGTCAAGTTTATCAACTCGCGTCACTTCAACAATGTGGTGCCTGACTGGACACAATATGGCGAGCCTTCCTTCGATGCATTCAAAGCAGATATCAACCAGCTACTGGCACAATACATCCAAGAGCTTGACGGGGTTAAGCTCCGTGCCGGACTGTTGACAGCGCTCCAGATTTCTCAGCGTGGAAATGGCTTCCTCCAGGCGAGTAAACTTGACAACAGTCTGTACGAGACCCAACCTGCCAAATGCGCCGCCGTCATCGGTCTTGCAATCAATCTGGTTCACCTGTTGGCCTCTCTCATTTCCCCTTACATGCCCACCACAGCCGCGGCTATCAGCTGACAGCTTCGTGCCAACGCACTGCCTATTCTCGAGGAATGGACTGCCGATTCCATCAGACCGGGACATGAGATCAGTTTGTCACAGCATCTCTTCTCCCGAATCAAACCCGAGAAAGCAGAGGAGTGGCGACAGAAATATGGCAGCGAGGAGGCCAAGAAGCTGAAAGAGGAGGAGGCTGCATTGAAGGCGAATAAGGCTTCGAAAAAGAAGAAGGGGGGTGCTGCTAAAAAAGCGGGAGGTGCCTCTGCTGTCCAGCCTTCCATGACAGAGGATGATGTTGCAAGTACAGTTTCGACAGAGGCAGCTTTGGACGGCCCGAAACTGAATTGAAACTTTCTTTTTGGCGTTGGATAGAAAGTAGATTATCAAACACATTTTAGACGGAATCACATAGTGAGAATGGTTCATAGTCAAAAGTGAGGAGAAAGGTCACGGGCGTATCCTGTTGTTTTTGCTGAGGTTGGATTCCAGGCAGTTCACTTGAGCATGTAATTGGACTCGTGATGGTGTCTGACTAAAATAAAGTCATCCAAAAGGTCGTTCCAAGACAACCTAAGTATTGTGTCCGTGACGTGCCATTCAATCCTACCTTGCCCTATTTTCTGTCCCTCCACAGTATCTTGGGCAAAGCAAGACAAGCACTGTATCATCACAGTCTTTGATGAGTCTTGCTCTCCTCATTGTCAATACTGTTATACTGAATTGCCCCCTCGGGTGGCCGCAGCCCCCGCGCCTCCGAACGCTCTCCCAGGTACTTTTCCGGACTCAAACCTTCGGCGTCGGCTTTCAAGTTGGCAAACTCCTCGAGGGCCGCGCAGTACGGCAGCGGCTCCTCTCGGTCCCCAGCGTCAGGATCCCAGTCCTCAAACCATTCCCAAGGGTCATCCCCGTATGCCACCCGGCCGTCGCGAGATATAAAACTCCATCGTTCCGTTTTATGTCCACGAACCGTTCCTCCCTCAGGGACCGGGAAAGCAAATACCAAGCCACAGATTTTGTGGCCGGGGACGTGAAAGTATCGTCCCCATGCCCATCTTGGCGCAGTGCGCCGGCGGTGTTCGACGCTGTCATCCTCCGAGCTTCTCTCGCTCGCGCCGCAGTCGTCTTCGCTTCTCGTGTGTGTGGAGATGAAGACGCGGTTGTAGGGATTGACCGCATCGTGTACCCGCCGGTCATCATCGTTGACAGGTGCTTGACCTCGCAAATATCGGAGCAGAGCAGCTTCCGTGACAAACTCTGTCCTAAGCAAGCCATTGCCAAAACCTGACGATTCGGGGTTTATTAGGGCTTCGTCCCCGACCTCTGAGACACCATCACCGGTGTCATCGTAGACGTCCCCCAACAGAGATGTTTCGCCATACGCCACCTCTTCATTCCGAACTATCTGTATAGACTCTAACTGGAGCCCCTGGATTTGAGCCATGTCTCGTATCTGTTGCGAAGAGACAGGGATGTTATCGAGGCAGAGATGGCGCAGCGAGGTGGCGTTAGCCTTGATGAGTTGCGGCAAGAGGTCTGGTGAGGGAATCATGGAGGACAGGCTCAAGGACCGCAGAGCGAATTGACCGTTGCCGAGCCACTTGAGCATGGTGCCTCCAAGAGTCCAGGCTTGAGAATAGTGTTCGACCGACGTTGAGTCGACGTCCATGCTAAGCTTGAACTGACGTAGGCTTGGCGCTGCATTCAACAGTGCCGTTTCTAGTCCCGCCAACGCATCGCCGGGAAAACCCCTCCTCATCCACTCCATCATGATTATCTCGAGTGATTCCAGGCCTTTGAATGCCGAGTCCGGAAACGGGCGGGAAAAGGTACAGCTGGGGAACTCGTCATGCCAGCGCAGGTTTGCCACGGCCGATGTCGGTCTACCCATGACGGGGAGGAGGAAGAGAAAAAGTCCATCATTTGTTTCGGGGTTATCCTCAGTCTCATTTTGGAGGATTTGAAAGTGACAAGCGCTGATGGGATACTCCAGATCGGGCAAAGTCCTTTGCGAGGTCATGGGACGTGAGACAAAAGTCTGTAGGTTGGGCAAATTGTCGACAGCTGCTTCGAAAATGGGACGGAACGAGGCAATAGTATTCTCCCGCGTAGCGGCAATCGCATCATAGTCGACGCCATCCCGCGAGGGAACTGCGGGGGTGTTGAATAGCCAGAACAGGGATGTAGATGCAGTTTCCATGTGCTGATGTAGAGCGTCGAGGACGCCAAGTTCCTTGCCGTCCTCAAGGTATATCTTGGCGATAGTTTTGTTTTTGTTGCCGAAGTCACCGGGGGCGTAGCGAACCTCAAGCCACTCGACTTCCCTCACGTGCTGAACTAGGTGAGGACTGTTGCAAATAGCGAGAAACGCGTCGCGGTCGGCAATGAGTTTGGATATGTAGATGCGGAAGAAGAGCCGGCTGGCGGCGACCGGGGCGAGGGCACGGCAGCTGAGTCTCAGGGCTTGGACGTCGTATTGGTCAAGTCGGTCGCTCCATACGATGGATAGCAGCAACTCGGCCGGCAGCGACAAAATGTACATCTTTTCTGGCGGTACTGGTTCCCTTCTCACTTGTGTTGACCGCTGCTTTCGCGACTTTATGGTTGGATGATGCGTGACGGCATGGGGGTTTAGTGTGCATTTCAGCTGGGGAAAGACGTACCTCGAGCTTCGGACGAACCCCGGATGAACGCCTCTGGACAGGCCTCCAACCCCTGCATTCCATTGCCCAGACATAGTTGGCCGGGCAGGCATATTCGCCCAGGCATACTCTCACCCAGGCATATTTGCCCAGACAGACGGAAAAGCACTGTAGATAAAAGTTGTAGCGATCAGTCAAACCAACTAGTTCACATATTTATTGATTTGTACTACAGGCTCTAAATTCTCGTCCACAATAGGGCAAGTCCTGGAGCTATCTGCATAGATACCTAGCAATTTAATCTAGTTACTAATGCGGAGGGCGGATCGCATCCTCACAGGTCCAACACGCCCCTCCTGTGCAAGACGCATCGAATTTGGCCTTTTGAGGATACGGGCACACTACCCTAGCCTCAGTCGTGCCATCCAACCTAGTCACATTCACGGGCGAAGCCTCAGGAGCAATGCCCTGCTCGACCCAAGCCCGCAGTTGTCCCAACAGCTCGAGGGGGTTTCCACTCGGGCCGCCAAAGCAATGCTCAAGACCAGGGACTTCGTAATGTCGGTAGAACTCCTGTGTCTCCGACACAATAGCAGACACATCCTGATAATACCGCTCGGTGGCCTTGGGGGACAAAAGCTGATCGATCAGCCCATGCCAGCTGATCAACTTGCCGCCTTGTCTCTTGAACTCAGCCAAGTCTGTGTCGTCTGTTTCGAGCAAAGAACCAAAGTCCTGTTTGGTGGCTTTCACATAGCGATCCAGCTCCCTGTGAGTCATGTTGGAAACATCCGCCGTCGAGCTCTTCTCAACAAACAACTCAAACCAGTCCTTCCCAAGCGGGTTTGCCCTTCCAACACACCTCTCCTCGGTACAATTCGTCGCCACAATCCCAGACCCGTTCACAGTCAAATCACTCCCCGGCACAAGCCCATACCACACCTTCCTCCCATCCACCCTCTCCCTCCCATGCCAAGTCTTGTTCACCACCGCCGCCGCCGCCTCCGTGATCGTGATCACCCTCCCTCCCAACTGAGCACACTCAACCTCCCTCCCCACCATCCCAAACGGATCAAACACCCCCAAACACCCCTCCACCTCTTGCACAATCCCATCCACCACCCCATCCAACCCATCACACTGCTTCGTGGCCTCCTCCCCAATAGCATCAACCTCACAACCGAACGGCCACTCCCCCCCCTCATTCATCACCACCTGCGGCCACTGAAACCCGCCCATCGCCTCACTCCAATACACCGCCGGCGCCCCGGCAACAATCCCGTCAAACAAGCCCGGAAACCTCTGCGCAAGTACCATCCCTTGCCTCCCGCCCTGGGAACACCCATTGAAGTAGCTGTATTCCGGCCCCTTTCCGTAAAAAGCCTTGATGATTTCTTTACCTATCAAGCCCATATCGCCAAGACTTGCGCTCCCCAGATTGAGGAGGTTATACAAGTTCACATTTCCCTCGCTTAGCAGCGCCCACCGACGGGCGGTGGTGTCGGACCCGAGGCCGGCGTCGGTGGTGATGGTTGCGTAGCCTTCTCCTAGGCCGCCTTGCATGCCGGCGTAGGAGAGGTCGAAGCGGCCGGCTTGGTAGCCGCCTCCTCCTACGGCTAGGAGGCGGGAGTTCCAGGGGTTGGTGGGGTTGGTGGTGAGGTTGGATGATGATGAGGCGGCGGGCAGCCAGGTTTCGATGATGATGCTGTCGTTTTGGCCTGGGTGGGTGTAGGTTAGGGTGATGTTGCAGAAGGAGAGGTTGGTGTAGGCGATTGCGGGGGCGGTGAGGCGGTAGATGGCTGGGACGGAGGCAGAGTAGTTGGTTACCGGGGTGGTGGTAAGGGAGAGGAGGGAGGCGGAGATGGGGAGGGGGAGGGAGAAGAAGGTGGTGGGGTTGCAGAGGTGAAGGGACATGGTGGTGATGAGAGATGTCAAGTTGGTACGGTGGTGAAGTGATGATGAGAGTTGGGAATAAAGAGAGGAGGTTCAATTTATAGACGGGTCATGTAGGCAGGTATCCGCTCACCATGGCGATCGACTGACACGGCAGATCAAAGTTCCGTGTGAATATGACTGCTGAAAGTTCCATGCAAATATGGCTGTGCATCGCCTCCATGCGGCTCGTTATCACATCCAAAAGCAGTTCTACACCACGCGTCGAGGTGAGGTTGATTGAGCATGTTCAGGGAACTCACAGCGCAGGTTCATGTTGTCATTGAAGCATGGAGAGTGATCCTGTCGGGGGGCTGCTAATTCCGAGCAGTCCGAGGCAAATAATACACCGCGGAGAGCGCATAATCCTTCTGGTTTTGGTTTGGTGGGTTCTAGGTTGTAATGCATGTTGGTTCACGGCTCGGCTGTGTAACGCGAGACGGCTTGACAACATTTCCGGCCACCGAGTGGCTCCAGGTGAAGATGACCTCGGGAAGTTCGTCCGCGGCAGACATTGCTCAGCGGCTTTGTCATGGTTCAGGCTGTTGAGGCAATAGGGAGCCTTGGGAATATGTGCTGCCCTTGTCAACTTCTTCGTGACAGCAGCTCACCAGGAGAGGAAGACCTAGCAAAATGCTAGCCCTGCATATATGGGGCGTGCGGCCGGAATAACTTGTCGGACATCATCGACATTCCCCGCCAGGAAAAGTGCCCGCCAACAAACCTGTGAATGGCACCCTACAAAGACCCACTCACTGTGCTGCCTAAACCACTAGAGAAAAAGGCACCTAGCCTGTCATAAGAGGACCAAGACCCCGATTGCTGTTCATCATTCGCGTATCGACACAACAGCAATGGCCCGTCTTCAGGACCTCCCCGTGGAGCTTCTTACAAAGATTGTCGAGGATTTCTGCTGGTGTCGATCACCTCCGCCTCACGCCGATTGCCATTGTCTGACGATACGGTGCGAAGCCCATCTTGGCAGAGAGGAGACTGGCCTCGAGGCTGATTATGAGACGCTTGCCGCACTCTGCTTGACGTCCAAGCTGTTCAACGATCTCGCCACAAAGCACTTGTACCACTACATCCCGGATCTCGACTCGGACGCTCAGTGGTGGCTGCTCCTTCGAACACTGGTTACTCGCCGTGACCTTGGCCAACATGTCCGATCACTAGACATAGTGACCCGGGATTATAAAACGACACCAGACTACCCAGAAGTCGAAAGATATCTGCAGGACCAGGTGAAAGCCTTGCAAGATCGGCGGGTAGAGGCTGGCGGAAAACTCTCACCATGGGAAGAAGGGGAATTCAGCACTGGGGCGAGCAACTATCTAATCAGTCTCTTGACATCTTTGTGTCCCAACGTGGAGAGCATTCGCGCCCGGCTCACCGGGGATTCCTTCGATTTCTGTGGCGCTCAGACGATGTCGATGTTGAAAAAGGTTGCGTTCGAGTGGTACGATACAGAAGGCGGAATCTGTCTTGCTGGTCTCCGAAACCTTCTTCAGGCCGCTCCCAGCATTGAGAGCATGATAATCTCACCCTTCAGTCAGGAGGATGACGACAAGCTTGAGTTGACACTGAACAAACTCACCTATTTGGAACTGAGGCACTCCATGGTGGGGGCTGGAGCCTTGGATTCCATCTACAAGTTGTGCCCAAACCTCGAGATATTCAAGTATGAGACCGGGGACGCCTGCATTGGCTATGAGCAGTTTGCACCCCAGGACCTTCAGCGGGCGACTCTGAACCATGCTCGGAAGCTCAGGATGCTGATGATGAAGGAGGGCCCTGGCAGATGGGAAGAATTGTATGAAGACCATGTGCATCCGGGCGTGTACGAAGATGCCTTGGTGGAATTGGATGCTGCACTGAAGGCTCGGGGGATTGAGTGCAGGATAACGCCGTTGGAGGACGAAAGTGTATAGATACCTCGGTAGGACTAAGATCAAACGTTTGCCAGGTGTCAACCCACTTCGGCCATGGCTGCGTGGGTGTTTAGCATTGGTGGCTTTGGGGCACATGTCGGCAGCATTCCATGTCCAAAGTGTTCCTGCAACCCCTCACCTTCAATCTCCTCCTCCAACCTCCCGTCAGCCAGCCGCAACAATGGCCGGCTTCCTGGATCTCCCTCTCGAGCTTGTTACAATGATCGTTGAGCAGCTTTGCAAGGACAGCAACTTCGACAACCGGTGCACCCATGCCCTCGCTTCTGTTTGCCTGACATGCAGACTTCTCAACAACTTTGGCACAAAACACCTATACCACGATCTCAAGTGTATCCAGACTTTTGGTCATTGCTCATCCGGACACTCATCAAACGCCCTGATCTTGCACAACATGTTCGCTCCGCCTGGGTACAAGTTCAGTTACCTGTGGACTGCCCGCCCGACGTCATAACCTACTTTCAAGAGCGAATTGAAAACGCCCATCCAGGCTGGGAAACAGAGTATATGTTTAAAAAGAGCCCATATCAGTCCGCAGCTGCCATGCTCGCAAGTCTTTGCCCCAATCTGGAAACCCCTAGGGGCCCAGATGCATCATTGGAGCACGTTCCACTTTTGTCTTCCCAACACCCTGACGAGACTGAGGAGGGTTCAATTCTGGCATTGGAGCTTCAACCGGGGCGAACGGGGACCTGAGCGTCTTCTCCTCCTGATTCAAGCAGCACCCAATATTCAAGAAATGTCCCTCTCCGGGGTGTACGATGACGTGGATGGGGGTCTTGAAGGGCGAGTCCTTGACAAACTTACCCACCCAAAAATAGATTTCTGGCCAACGTGTTTACCATGGCCCCTAAACTCCACACTCTAGAGTACACGCCACATTCGGATAATGCGTGTCACGGAAGAAGACACTTTGGACCGCAGGAATTTCTGGACGTCACACTGAGACATGTCCCAAACCTCAAACACGTGGTCCTTGAAGACGTTGATGAGAGGGCACGAGCTGCGAAAATCCGGGACGAGAGTTAGTTCGACAACCAGATCAACAATCTGAAGGTTGGAATGGAGAAGCTGGGCATTGACTTGACGTTGAGTGAGTCTTGAGTCTTGTGTTGGAGATTGGATTGGGGAAAGTCTATTCAGATCTTTGCATGTATTTAGATTAGACGTCTTGGTCAATACACACAGCCGTGTCTACACCTCTCTTCTCACAAACTCTTCCCCGAAGTCCAAGTGACATCCTTAACGTCCCCAACCCAGGCATAACTCGGATTCTCAGTGTAGCAATAGTCGACCACGCCCACCGGCTCAGGAATCGTTAGCTCCTCGCCTTCCCCGAGCGGCTCGTCGGTGTACTCCCTATGCTCGACCTTTTCGCAGACAATGTTGCTGTTGACGGTGGCGGTCGACACTCCCGAGAAGCGGACCCTAAAGCAAACCCAACATAAGCATCATGGTCAAAAAGAAAGAAAAAAAAACTAAAGAAAAAACTAGAAAAGAAAAACTCACGGATTCTCGGCATCCAACTCCAAACACTCCCACTCAGCCCTCAAACTCAACTCCTTCCTCCCCTCATCCCACCTAAACTGGCATTTGTATGGCCACAACGGCCCCTCGGGAACCTGAGCACCACCATCATACCCCATCTCGCACTCCCACCACCCATCCCCGGCAGACTTGCCCTGGTAAACAGGATTAGGATATCTAAACCCCCTGTTTGTCTGGAGGATAATCTCAAACGATATCGAGCCGTTGTAGGTACTGAAATACGAAAACTGCCATTTGGGACTGTAGATCGAGGAGAGTGTGCACGAGTCTTGGGTGGCAGGGACGGGGTCCTCGATGGAGTACGGCTGGAGGGTGACGATCGTGCCGAGGGTGCCTGTGAGGGAAACGGTCGAGTCGGTCGTGGGGACTGTGCAGAATTTCTTGAGGTGGGTGGGCGAGGAGGGGATAGGCTCTGTAGTGCATAAGAGGGGGAGGGGGAGGGTTCCAGTGGCGGAGATTTGGAGGCTGTTTTGAAAACATCATTGTTAGCTACCCAAGGTAGGGATAGAAAAGGAGGGGATAAAATGGGGAATTACGGCTTAGCTGGGTTGTGATCGTCGCAGAACCAAGTCTGGTTTACGGTCACGCTGTAGGTTGCGGGATCGAACTGGACTGCGGTGGAGATGCTGTAGCGGCCGATGGTAAAGGATTGGAACTCGGTGCCGGCGCAGAAAATGTTAGTTGCTACGGGGCCCTGGGACATGCAGCTTGCCTCGTAGCCGTTGGCGAGGTTGGTGAGGATGAAGGTTAGACGCTGCTCTTTGACCGAGGTGATCTCGTCGCCGTCTTGGTCGGCCCAGATGACGTGGGAGAGGACCCAGCTGGGGTTTTCGGACTTGGCGAGGCACCCGGGGGTGTCGTGGCCGGTGGGGCCTTCGTTGTATCTGGGGGTGAGGGCGACGGGTTGGAGGAGGGACCCCTTGACGAGGAGGGGGGAGCTGTCTGCTTTGCCGTCGGTGAGGGGGACCGAGGCTGTTCCGGCGGCGGTGAACTTTGTTCTGGGATATATCCACGTCAGCCCTCTCATCTGTCGGTCAAACATCACCACCACACTCACTCGGGGGTGCGGTCACTGCAAGACCATGTCTGGTTGACCGAAACACTCGCTCTCGTCCCGGAGATCTGGACCGACGCAACCAGGTCCTCGATCTCTTCCTCCGCCGAGCAATTGCCCCCCTGGCAAGTGTACTCAGCTGTCTGGTTCGTCGCCCTGTTCAAAAGCGAAAACGACGCCCCCCCTTCAGTAGCAGTAAGGTCCTCGACAAACCAACTCGGAATAGTAAACGATCTCGACGTGCACCCCTGAGCAGAAATCACCGCTTGCGCCGAAGCCAGCGAGACCCCAAGAGCCGCTGCACCAACAAACCAAAGACGAGCCATCGTCATCACTCCAAGAACAAGACACAATTGACGAGACCACCACAATCCATCATCAGACAAAGAACCCGGGATGGATATATACCCTCCCCGACCCCCTATCTTCCCCGCCACGAACGTGAGGAGAACCAACCCCAAAACCCCGCACGACGGCAATTTATCCCACGAGGTAAAAGGTAGGTACTTACGCATCCAACATTATTATATTTCACAGATAGGACCCCAATCTATTCCTCTTCCCATAGGTGATTGATGAATTGATCAGGCTATTTAACTCGCACCCACACCACCACACCTCCTCCGCTCCATCATGTCCACCATTTGATTTCCCTCGTGGCCGCCACACCGTAAAGTCGAGCGGCACACCGGCACATTCTATATTATCCACGGGCCCCCCTGCCAAGTCCTTCGAGAGCTTCCTTTTGCAAATTGGGCTTAATATCGCGTTCGGATCGATAGCCCGGCATTGACGGGAGAGTCAGATGGTGTACCTACTTGGGAGAGTGATATCTTTTTCCCGGTCCTGGCCGTTGAGCAGGCAGGCAGACAAGGTGCAGGCGTGCTCAGTGGAAGTAGGAGTAGATAGAGAGGATGAAATCAATGAATCTGGCTGTACATTTTCCACTTTGTCAGTCACCATTGAGTGACCAAGGGCGCGCCTTGAATCACAAGAGTGATGAGACTCACCGGTAACCAGTATCATGCTGCTTGCGGCCACGTAAAATGCAGCCAAACAAAGTGGCAAGATTAGAAGGCAAAAAGTGTGCCATCTCCCGAACAGGAGGTGCATTGTATGGGGTTTGGTGTAGTTCTTTCTTTGTGCCCGGGGTTGTGAAGGAAGTTTACGTCTGCGCAGTGATCTTGTTGGAGTTGAGGAGTCCAGTTCGAAGTGGGTGTCATTTTTTTTTCTTTTGACATTTAAGCCAGTGAAGAAAACTTTACCGGCTGAGGCGTCGCGAGAGTTCCAAGGCTTGACGGTGGCTCCATGACGGACGGCACCTGACACATTGAGCGTTCAGCATGTGGGAACTTTCAACTGGTTCAAGATGTCAAACCTTGGCCAAAGAGTAAGAGGGAATGCAATGGTGATTGCTCTACACACCCAGATTCTCAGACACCCTTTACTTCCCATATATTTTCCTCGTTCTCTCATCCCACTCCTCATCATACCCAGTGTCAGGGTCCTCCTCCATATCTTCGTCCATCTTATCCACCTCGCCCTCGGACCCCGCCTCATCTGCCTGCTTCTCGGCGTAATGATCAAGAGGAAGATTCTGAAACTCTTCCATGTCGTAAACAGAGCCTGGCAACTCAACATCTCTTGGGATTGACATGATGCCAAACTTTTGGCACATGCCCCAAGACCCGCTCGTACCATAGAATCCGACAATCTTGTGATTGGCTGGTGGCTCTGTAGAGGCAGATTGTTAGTTTTCTTTCTCAGCCTCCACGCAGGGGGCAGCCATGAAGCTTACCAAGAACCTTGACCTCATGCAGCTCCAAATCCGCCGCAAAACTCTGAAGATTCAAGCCACCTCTTGCCTGGCCATTAGACAACCACACTCTCAGGCCTTTTAACACGTCGTGGTTCTTCAGAGCCTTGGATACGACCACCTTGGTGACTTCAACTCCAGGTGGGATCGCCATTTTCCTCGCCTGATGTCCTCCCATCTGTGTCGAAGGGGGTAACCTTGGGCCGCATGGCACCTTTGACCCATCCTCGTAATAGACATAGGCACCGTCCAACTCGCATCCGACCCTGACATCAATCATGGTGGCGTTCACAATCGTCCCATACCACTTGGTGCCTTTCCTCTTGCTCCGCCTCTTCAGCAAAACAGTCCACTTCCAATCATGATTCATGCCCCACTGTCCTTTCGAACGTTCCTCCTCCTCGGCGTTCGACCCAACGGCCGTTTTCGTGAAGCGAAGGTCGGTCCCGGGAATACCAGCATCGATGTACTCAGCCGCTCGCAACCTCATCAAAGTCGAGATGTCATGCAACGTAGACTTTTCCCCATTCATACCCAGCGCCTCGATCCGATCCAACCCGCCGGTCGCCATCCTTTCCTCTTCGCTGACATGAGGGCCCAACCGCTCCGTCAACTCTCGCAGTGAGAATCTCACACTCTTGAGCGGCTCGCCAGGGTAGGTGAGACCATCGCTGATAGACATGTTCTTGCTGCAAACCCAAACACTGGCAAGCCCAGCATCGCACTTGATCTCAACATTTTGAGCAGCGCGGCCGTCCACAGTGTCCTCCACCAAAGGACAAATCTCAGGTGCGCCCTCTGGCAAGGTCACATAGCCCGGTAACTGAAACTCGGGCGCGCTATTGCGCAGAACAAGCGCGTCCTTGAGTTCAATCCGGTAGTATCCAGTCTGCGAGACGTCTGATCGGACCGGCTTCGGCTCCTTTTCTTCCTCCTCACCCGCACAGCGCAACGCGCGCGAGAGAAAATGCTCTGGCCATTGAAAGTAACCCCACCAAGAATGTTTGAATGCCCACCCCAAGTCATGGCTGGTGATGAAATGAGGCTTGGTCGCCGAAGGGTTAAACGCCCGGACGATCTCCTTGTAAAACCGTCCCTGGCTCACGGAGCAAGCTTCCCACATACATATAGGCCGCTCACAACGTTCCCTGCTGACTGCGTCCCCGACAGGTGTCGGGTCAAGGAGGCAGTCTGGAATCTCATCTATGAACCGGGGCCACGAGTAGGTCGACTGACTCCCTGACATGGCCAGCGAGAGGCCTTCTGATTTGTGGATGGAGAAAAGTGCGTCTGGGAGAGTCCTTCCCAGCTTCTCATCAAAGTGCGCGTCCAGAAGCAGGGCCGCGATGACCGGTTTGTTGTTTGGGTGGAGAGGACCGCCCGAGTTCTTGACCGCTTTGGACATGATTCGGTACAAATCCTTGTGTCGCTGCTCCTGGCCTGCCTTTGATTTTGCCGCTTCCATCTCAGTCTCAACGTCGCGTAACTGGGAGATCGTCTTCTCGGTGCGGATGACGTGGATTCGGGGAACGGAACCCATGACCTGCTGCTTTCCAAAAGACTGCTGCTGGGCGTGCCTGCTGAGGGTGTCAGGGGAATATTCCTCTTCGATTCGAAACGACTGGCGAGGCAGCCCGTCCCAGTAAATGCTGTCGGCGGCCAAGGCTTGCCACATGTAAGCAGCCACACGTAGCTTGGAAATGGCGGCATCGAGACTCGAGTGAGTGCTGGAAATGTCGCCAAACTTGGCTGGTGGGCAGTCGATAAGGAGGGGTGAATCCTTTGCTACCAGGATGGCGAGATGAAGAGGCGGTACTTGGAGGAGGGGGGTGTACCGAAGGGATAGCTAGCTGCTGTGTCAGTGCCAAAACTCATGAGAAACACCAACAATTCAAGATGAACATACCTCAACCGCGTTGGCGGCATCATTCCCCGATGTCACAGTGATCTTGTTCAGGCCAGGGGAAAGCATAACCAAGGCCTTGAACTGTCCCAGCGACAGCGGCCAGCGCTGGTCAGGGAAGCCGGTGTTGCCATGCTCATCTTCCACATGAACCAAGACAAAACTGCTTGGCTTGGGTTCGACAACAACAAAGTCCCCGCCCGTCCCAGAGGTCGACTCAGTGGAGGCCACACATTTGCCGGAAAGCAGAAAGCATCGCTGGTGAACCTCCTCCACCTCGTCAATCTCGGCGTTTTCGATCTCAATCATGGTGACAAGATCACATACAGGCTGTAGGTAAAGAGGACAATAAAGACGGAGATTTGACAGAGACAAGACGCTGGAGAACACCAAGTTTAATAGTTAACAAAATGTCGGTGACGCGCTCCAGTTTTCATGGTGGTGGTGTTGTTCCAGGCAGAAGATGGAGCCCTGGGGTGATGCCCCACAGATGCCTGGACACAAGAACCAGGCCCCTGCCTAGCGCACCGATGGTAGGGCGCTGTGGGGCCTCGGCCCTGTCAAAGATGGAGTGGCGCCTGGGGTGCACCAACGTCGACATGCATCGGCAGGCAGATGGGTGAATGAAAATTGCGATCTGTTTTTGATGCCAGTCCCGGTATATGGTGAGAATCTTCCTCACGTCCCAGACAAATGCCCAAGAGCGCAATGAAAAAAAAAAAACCAGAAGCCGGTCAGACTTCCATCAAACACCCAGCCCATCCAAGCGCCCAAAGGCAAGTCCTCGAGAGACGGCGTATAGATCGATCATCGCCACTTTCTGTTCCAAATCCCAGCACGAGTGCCAGGCAGAAAAATAGCGAAAGTAAAAGGGCCTCATTGTGTAGGTGTCGAGGATATCGTTCATCAACCCGGGTGGGATCTGTGGCTCCTTTGGGGAATACAAAAGAGGACGACTACTATAGAAATGATTCTCTGAAGTATTGTCGACATGAGCAAAAAAAAAACCAAAAGAAAAAAAAGATTGGAATTCTGGCAGAGAAGTCGCGAATATATACTGGGCAGTGGTGGCCAGTGCGCCGCTGCATTCACTCGCACGGGTCAGGTGAAGTTTTGGGGGGCAATCAACCGGGAGAGCAACCAGCAGAGCAACGAAGCAGGCCGGTCCTGGTGATGATGGGAGCTCCAAGTGGGCCAAGATGTTAGCTGGAGATCAAGCTTCCCGAGCCATCAAGCCTTGTGGTGGTAGGCAGTGAATACGGTGGAGGATCAACATGGGAATTGGACGTCTTGCTGAGGTATCATCCGAAGAGTTGGGACAACAACGGCGGAGACTGTCTCAAGCACCACCACGTGGAATCAAGCCCCAGACGGGAGTGACGCAACCTGGAACCACGTCAGTGTGGACCAATGGCTGAAGCACAGGAGAGGTCAGTGAAAAGGACAAAGACGTTGCACAATACTAGCATCAGGGGCACCACCAGGCCAAATGACAGAGGCACAAAGAACGGTCCAAATGAGCTGGCGTTAAGCAAGCAACGGGAGCAGTACCCCCGAGCTACCCGAGTCCCTCACTCAAATAAGCTTCAACCAAGGTGTCTTCCATCTAGCGGCCGACATGAACCAGACACGGACGGCAATTTATAGTTTGCGCCTGCTCCCCTTTCTCTTGGACCGCAACGGCCATAAGCGCAACGTGGGTGACGTAGGAATAAGTTCCCAGCCATTGCAACGTACCACAGCTTCTCTTCTCTGTTTCCAGTCTTACCAGCCATCCTCGACAGCTTCAGCACCCTCTCAAGAACCAGTGCTGTCGTCGTGTGACAAGACCACCACCAACGACTCGTCGTCAACACACCCCCGCCGCCGCCGTCGCCGCCGCCGCCTCACCCACGCTGCAACCATTCTACCACCACATCGATAACCCCTTGCGCCCGGGGCTATGGGGCCCGACGAGATCGAGATGGTACCGCCCAAGACGCCACGCGGTTTGCCCCCCTCAGAAACAGATTACCAGCCCGTCAACTGGAAGAGGCTCTTTTTGCGCCCAAAGTACCTGGCCATGTGGGTGGTCTTGGTGATTATTATCATTCTGACCGCCATCATTACCATCTACCACGACAAGGTTGTTGAGGTGGGTGATATTCGACACTTTGACAATGTATGTGGTGGCAAGCAAGAGATACTGACTGCGCATCCTCTCCAGCATCTTCGGCCCTTTGCCGAGCAAGTGCGCCATCTACCCGGCGGGTGGCTAATACCAATCGTCATCCTCATCGTGATATCGTTTCCACCTCTATTTGGCCACGAAATCATTGCATTACTGTGCGGAGTAGTATACGGATTATGGATTGGCTTCGGCATCGTGGCGGCAGGCACCTTTTTGGGAGAAGGTAGGTGGCATTCGTGCCGTGGCTGGTGATGGCAGTGTCAAGATGCTGACAGGCCCAAACACAGTTGGTACTTGGTTCGCCTTCAAGTATCTATTTCGACAAAAGTCGGAGAAGCTCGAAAGGACAAGCTTGAGCTACGGCGCCCTGGCGCGCATCACTCGTGATGGGGGTTTCTGGGTATACCGCTTCCTGTCTTGAGACTAGAATTATCAGGCGACTAACATGTGGACGGTATAGATTGTCCTGATTATTCGCTTCTCGGCGATACCTACCCACTTTTCCACCGCCGTCTTTTCCACGTGCGGCGTGAACTTCTGGATCTTTGCCATTGCGACGTTCCTTACGCTTCCGAAACAGATCTTTCTCGTCTATCTCGGTGTCCTCCTACTCCAAGACAAGCCGGACGACGCGCCCAAGAACATTGTGTTTGGTATCGCGTTTGTGTTGACCATTGTCATGGCAGGCTACATCGGTTTCAAGATGCGGTTTGTTAAGAAGATCTTGATCGAGGAACAAGAGGAGAGGAGAAAGGCTTTAGCAATGCCGACGATGGATGACACGGTCAATACCGGGGATGGGGTCTTGGACACAGAAAGAAGCGAGGTTCGTGATCCGTGGACGGTGGAGGCGCAACACAAGTTTCTAAACAGGTCGAGTCAGTATGAGGCCCTTTCCCAGAACGACTTTAGCATCGCGATGCCAGGTCCTGCCGCCGGAAACCACACGCCGCTTGGTGAACCCTCCAAGGGACCGTCCACTGCGCCATCCGGGTGGACGACAGAGGCTGTCAACACACCCGATAGTCCAGGAACGCCGCCAAACGAGTACTTCGGGCAGCAACCGGCAAAAGGGTTTCAGTGGGTGTGAGGGATGGTGTTGCATCAACATGCGCCATGTTACCTTGAGTTTGGATATGGAGGTTGGAGTGAAACAAAGGGCAAACAGTAGTGCATGGGCGTCAGGTGATGTTTTTCTGGCGGCGATGATATGTTGAATTGCTGAGGGGCAGGGGCCACGTATTTCCAGCGCTGCCAAGTGGACTTGGCCAGAGGGCAGAGTTTTGAGCTCTTCTCAACAGGGCTTCGTTTATCGAACCTATGGTTCCAATGACACTCGAGATTGGGATCTATTGCAGATATAGATATGCAAGTACATTACCGACATCCTGGCCTGCGTTGACTGGGCTGTGCAAAGCCAAGACTGTTTGTTGGTGCTTTTTGGTGATGGCATCATCAAAAGAGGCCTTCTTAGGTCTTCCAATAAATTTTTGACTTCATCGAAGTCAGAGGGTTCACGATGGTGTAAAACGGAAGGGAAGCAGAACAACTGAGGATCCGCCATCAACCGTTCAACATCACCACACCTCTATACGATATATCAACACTCCAATCAACAAATGAAGCTTCTCGCCTTCCTCGCCTTGACGGCGTTGATGTTGCCGCTCTGTGCACCAGCTCCTCGAATATCAACAGAGAGATGGAGGAGGCTATTGCGAGGGAAACTGGCCAGGTTAGGTTGCTGTATGAGCAGTTTAGCTCTTCGAAGAGCGCGTGGAGGGCTGTTCTGGAGCCGCAGGCGGTTCGGTTGGCGGGTAGGTGTGAGGGGGTAAATAATGAGGTTGGTGGGGTTGGTGGCTGGTGAGGTTGGGGAGTGTATTAGTGCTTTGGGGGTGAGGTTTGCGGAGGTGACTACGGCGATGGGGGTGAGCACTACGGCGACGAGTGTCGCGGGTGGGGTCGTTGACACGGGGTGTTTGATGGGGGTTGTGGGGGGGTTGTTGGGGTGGTGGGGGCGGTGGTTGGGCTTTGAGGATAGGAGGACGAAAGTGGAAGAGGTTGCTGGTCGATGGGGGCTATGTTTCATCATTATTACGCTTATTTGTACAGAAAAGAGTGTCATCTGGTTGCTGTTTCCGAGCATGTATTCCGTCTAGTAAGACCAAAACCTAAAACGGCCGCTCCGAAGGTCTCCCAACAGGTGTGTCAGGCGACACCGGTTCTATCATGCTCACCCTCCCAGGCCTCCAGTTGGGTCCGACAGTAGACGTTAGTGGTGAAGGGGTTCTATCTCTTCCTTCATCGACCGACGGCAAAGACCCAACCGTTGAAGGTGCCCGATGCTGCTCCTGCTGCGGTTCCATCGCTTTACTCCCGCTGTCCGCCCCAGCCTTGACACCAGGAAGCTCAAACACACCCGGCGGGTCCTCCGCCACAGCCGGCAGCGGCTTCTGCACCTCCCTCCCGTCAAGCTCCGTGTTAGGCTTGACCGCCGTACCATCCCCATCCAACTCCACAGTGCCACCCGACGTCCCAGTCTCATTGGGGGACACCCCCGTCACCATGCCCGGACTCGGCCCCGACCCTGAATGCGAGTGGCCCATCGTCGTAGGCGTTGACCTCGCGCCGGACACGTCCGCTGCTGAAAAGGGCACCGAGCTGGACCCGTTCTGCATCGTCGACTCTGACGCGTGCCTGAAGGAGGGCGAGTTGAAGACGGGTCCCTTGAGGACTGACTCATCTGGCTCGGGCTCCTTGGCTGCGTAGGTTGATCCGATCCATTTTCTGCGTTTGCGGAGGAAGCAAAGCGCTATGCCGCCTGCGATGAGGCCAACGCCGAGGACGGCGCCAACGACGATGCCGGCTATGGCGCCGGTGCTGAGGTTGGAGCTGCCTGAGGAGGAGTTGCTGGATGGGTCGAGGTCGGCGTTTGGGTCGTCGGGGGAGGTAATGGGGATGATGGTTTCTTGGGCGCCTTGGTTCCAGATGCAGGAGGAGATGTTGAAGGTTTTGCGTTCGTAGTCTACGGAGAGGTAGCTGAGGAATGTTAGTCTTGATCTTTTTTGAGGTGAGAAGCTGGGGGACATACGCTTCTTGTAGGAATGTTCGGCCGAGTGTGTACTGCGAGGAGCTGTTGGCTCGTCGCAAGGGGAAGTAGTGGCTGGTGTTCGCTACCAGAGGAGCCTCGGCTGTCAGGTCAAACGCGGCATAGGGGAGGACAATGGTTACGGTGTCTCCGCCCGACCTGACATCAGAAAGTCTGAAAGAGACTTGTGCGTCCGAGTCGAGGAGTCTGTTTCTGTGTGTGTCGTTCACAAGATACAAACCTGATTCCTCATCGAGTTGCAGTCCAAACGCTTCCTCAAACGCTTCACAAGCTTCTTCTGGCAGCCAGATGTTGGGGTCTGTCGAGTCGATGAACATTTCGATGGGTTCGTTAAGGAGGGTGGCAGAGTTGGATCCGCTGTAGCTGATGGACTGGACCACAACCACCAGGTCTCGGGTGATGTCTTCTGCCAAAGAAAACGACACCGAATTCTCCCTGAATCGAGACGTGTCATATCCGGAGAACACTAATTGACCGTAGACCTGTTTCAGCCGGTATTTCGCCCCGGCTGTGTAGCTGTAGCTGAGACTTGGAATTTTCTTTTGGTCTTTCAGGGTCGTCAAGAAGGATGGCGATGAGGTGTTGGCCAAGGAAGTGAAATTCATGGGCTGATTGCTGAGACCAAAGATGCCCCTGAAAGAGAACAATGTTAGCTTTCACATCATTTCCTTCAAGAGGACGGATCACATACAGATAGAACGGCTCTGGAGCAGCTATCATGCCCACTGTCTGGTCGTCAAACTCGGGCCCGTTGAGCCCCAGTCCCAACTTTTCCAGCCCAAACTGAACTCCCACATCGTACCCAAGATGCGCCCCAAGTCCAACGCCGTCATCGTTGATCCCGTATTGGCCTATGTCTTGCCAGGTCGAGGACTCGTTGGGGTCAAACAAGTTGCCTCTTGAAACGGCGCAGTCGGGAGGTATGGTGCCAAATGCCTCTCGTGAGCAGGCAAGTTCTGTTAGTGGCACTAGTGTATGGGGTGATGCTGTTGAAGGGAGCACCCTGATGAACTGCTCCGGTGTGCCGACCCGGATGTCGAATGTGCTCCATGGGCCATCGTTACCTTCGCTGGTTTTGTGTCAGCAGTGATAATTTTGGCAAGACGTTGCGAGACTGGAACGTACAAGTACTGACTACCAGGAATTACAAGAGGGCCTGGCTTGTCGTTTTGCGCAGCTGTCTTGGCAACCAAGAAGGCACCTGCAAATAGGCCTTTTGAGGGGTGCATTTTGAAATTATATGAACACAGAATAGCGTACTAAAGTTCGTTCATTTTCCCTTTGTAAAGGGCCACGGTCAAGTTGTCATGTCTGTGAGGGTAGCAAACAACAACATCTCGCCGAAATTCTCGTGGGCTCACTACTTTTTTGCCTTCTACCCTTGATGATCGCTGACGACTTCTTTTGATGAACCCAGACATTCGCAACACCGGGATGCCACCCCATGACGTGAGAACCGGGCGAGTGTTGTCAGGGGCGTGGCCCCAAGTCAGAGACGTCACCCCGCAGCGGACCCCCTGTCCGTCTATCGTCAATGCAACCCTCCACACCCAATCAACAAAACCGACGAGCCAACCACTTGCCTCTTCCAGAAGCTCCACTGCCTTGGCTTCCACTTGTCAAGCCAGGTCCCCGCAGCATGTCCAGGTTCCTGGCAGACCTGCAGGTGCATCGATGCCGGATTGGGCCTGACAGCGCTCAAAACAAGATGTCGAGAATTCGGGAACCGGATGGCCAGGACGTGGCAGGCGTGGCAGACGGTGGCAGGGCTATGGTACCCTGCATGGGATTTGACCTTTGGAATAAATGACTGACCCATCTCCTGTTTTTCCGTGGTTCTGCCAGAGCTCTTCAAGTGCTTCGACATTCGTTGCCTTTCGCTCGTTCAACCAACGTCAACGTTGTTGGTCAAGGGTCAACCATGCTGTCGTCTTTGAAGACATTAGCGCCCTTGGGGCTGCTGATCCCGAATGTTGTAGCCTCTAGAGATGATGATGGTAAGCACCACACCCAACTATAGATTCAACTCGACAAAAGTAGCACAAGAACTAACAGTGGTGCAAGGGGACGACGTTCGCTTCAGAGTTGATAGCACCACAATCTACGACCCCCAATGCACGGCCAGTGTGACAGTGTACAACACAACGGTGGTGCAAAAGACACAGTTTGTTGACTACATCGTCAACATTACAAAAACCAACACTTGTTACGAGTCTACAACTCTGACGCTCAACTATACCGTGTCTGTCACCAACACAGACACAGACTTGGTCACTATCACCAACACAGACACAGACTTGGTCACTATCACCAACACCGGCACCGACCTGGTTACCATCACAAACACCGATACCGACTCCGTGACCATCACCAACACCGACACAGACTCTGTCACCATCACAACGACTGACACAGATGCCGTAACAATCACAACGACAGACACAGACGCTGTCACCATTACCACTACCGATACAGATGCCGTTACCATCACCACTACGGACACTGATGCAGTCACAATCACAACAACTGACACCGACTCGACCACCATCACCAGAACTGTCTACACGACCACCTATGACCCCTGCCCAAAGTCATGCTCCATCTCCGCCGCCAGCGTCCACCTCTACTACTGGCCCACGGACAGGCCGTACACCTACCCAACCACCTATGTCGACCCCTCGCTGTCCTACACCTTCACCTCTCCCTCGGTCTACATGTACATCCCCTCCGCCCAGGGCGTCAACACCCTAGGCGAGCGCGTGGAACCCTCCACAACAAACTGGATCCTTCCTCTCGACCTCTACGAAGTCTCCACCATCGCCCGCGGCTCCAACGCCACCAGGCAGCTCACCCTCGCCGACCTGGGAACCAACTGCCCGCAAACCTACAACCCGACCGCCATCGCCACCATCCCGAGGGACTGCGACCCCATGCTTGCAGCCCCCAGCCAAGTCCGATCCTGGGCCTACCCTTGTAACGCCTGCGGCCGGTTCGGTCTCTTCGACCCCCCCTATGCAGTCCCGACCACCACTGGACTTCTCGGCCCGTCGACCGTCGTGGTTACCGCCGAGCCGATCACGGTGACTGCCCCTCCTGTGGTTGAGACTTCCCCCCCTCCACCACCACCGCCACCCCCCGTGACAACGGGAGCGCTGGTGATCGAGTACCGGGACGAGGATGGAAATATCGTCTCAGCGACGACGATTCCCACGACGGGGGCTAGCGGTGGTACATCGACTAGCACTGTTGTCGTTGCGCCCACGAACACGGATGGTTCAGCCCTCCCCACAGAGACAGGAATGGTCCCGGAGCCATCGGTTGGTGAAAGTTCAAACATTTTTACCATACTCCCCACGGACACTATTATTCCACAGCCGGGAGAGACTGGTTTGCCGACAGCAACGACAGGTGCGCCTGACGATGAGCCGCCTGTTGAGGTGACGTCGCTGCCTACTACGACGGTGGCGACGGCGGCGGGGAGGAAGCTTGTTGCTTCGGGGTCGCTGTGGTGGGTTATGCCTAGTGTGGCGGGGATTTTGTTTTGTTTGTAATTTGTAATGTATTTTTACATGATGATTTGATGATCGTTTTGGGTTAGAGAAATAACAAGGAAGCGTACTTTGTGAAGATTAAAAAGCGCCGTGGGTTTATATCTTGGTGATGAACGTGCATTGCGGCGCTGTCCGTGTAAATTCACGCGTTCAGGGGGTCTGACGAAATGAATGTTGTGGTGTTTCTTTCCCTTTTGAGTGTCAAGGTGCTGAATGAACAAGGGGTGGCGAAATAAAAGCTCAATACATGCAGGTACTTCAAAGCTGGAATTGGAAGATAGGAGGTACCTTATTGAACACGAGGTGCTCTATGTTCAGATCTTCTTCCTCTACAAGCCGCCCATCACACCCGCAACAGCAACCCCCACAGCCGCCACACCCATCACATAACCAGTCTCCCTTGCTGCTCCAGCGGTGCTGGTGCTCGTCGTGCCAGTGGTACTCGTCGTGCCAGTGGTACTCGCCCCCCCCTCCCCATCGTCATCAGTCTCCTCCCCATCATCCCCCTCATCACCACCCGCACTCCCAGCCGGAGCAGCCCCCAAAACCTCCACCAAACCACCCGGACTCAACTCGCCATTCAGCACCCTCTGCGCAGTAACACACCCCCCCACATCAGTAGCCGCATGCGCAAGCATAATCGCTACCGTGTCCACTTCGTCAAACACAGTCGCACATTCAACCGCGAAGTTTGTCACGTCAACTTTGTGCTTCGAGATCCAGGAACTGTGCGCCGCGTTCCAGCTGCTGATGACTGTGCCGGCTGCGGTGCGGGACCAGTTTTGCGCCCAGGAGCACTGCGCGCTGAGGTCGGTAATGGTGGATTGGCCGGTGGAGAAGTCGTCTAGCATGCTTGGGATGAGGTCGGGGTGTTGGGTGGGTCGGTCACGGTTGAGGGATGAGTAGCTTTGCTCGCAGGGGGATGTGGTAGTGCGGGTTGGTGTTGGCGAGGCTGTTGCGGTGGTTGCTTCTTGTCTGGGTTGGGGCTGGGGGAGGTTGGGGGACACCGTGGCGAGGGTGAGGAAGGGGAGGGTTGTGACGAGCTTCATCTTGGGTGGTGTTCAAATTGGAAAGTTTCGGTTGAGAAGAGTATGGGTGACGGCCGGTGAGGTAGCAGCGTGGTTCATGCTCGCGGTTTTAAGGGAATTTGTCGAAATAGGTGGGTCGTGGCGGTAGGATCACCATCCATGTGGTTGTGAGTAATGGATTCAACAAGCGGTCCCGCATCGCGCCACGATCAGCGTTGAATATAACCATCGAGACCGAGGCTGCCATTTGTTTTACCCGCGCTTGGCGTCCTTACACCATAGCAGCACCAGCCCACGCCGCCGCACCAACAACTCCCAGCACAGGCACCATGTATGCCGTTTCGCGAGCTCCAGCAGCAGTCGAGCTTCTCGAAGTAGTAGTCACTGGCGTGCTCACACGCTCCCAGTCACCCGTCCAAACAATCCCGCCATTGTCGGTCGGAGTAGCAGGAACAAACGTGCCGAATAACAACTCCATGTTTGTCAGGCATTCTTCCAGGCCCGTGGCAAACTCTTGAAGATAATCCACCACTGTTTTGGTACCCAGCACCTCCAGACAGCGTTCGGAGAATTCGCTCAGTTGCGGCTTGGCCTGTGCGATCCACGACGACCTTGCTTCTCGATAGGTTGAAAACACGGTGCTGAGCTCGGACGGGAGCATTGTCAATTCTCGAGTTGGGGTACCAAGGTACAGCGAACACACCGATGTGTGATCAAGTACTCCCCGCGAGTCCCTCGGTGTCCTCATAGACAAGGCCTCATTCGCACCTTCACTCGCCGCACTTTCGCCGTACTGCCGGAGGACAGGTGGTTCTGTCGGGTAGCTGCGAAGAATTGAGCTGCTTGTGAAGAGACAGTTCTCCACAGCCTCGAAGTTTTCCGTGGGTGTTGGCGTCGGAATTGCTTCGGTTTGACGAGGGAGGATGGCGTGCCAACTGGCATGTGCTGGGGTTGTGAACACGCCCCACAGAACGGGGAGAGATGAATATGTTGACAGGCGCATTATGAGTCGGTTGTTCAATCAAACTTTCAGCGGGTTATTCAAGGTCGACAGGAGAGAGAATGAGGCATTCCAGACGCGTCTTCTCTACGGGGACGACGTTCGTTATATTTGTCTGTTGCGTTAGGTTGTATCGGCAGAAGGCCCGCGCATAACACGCTAAATAGCACCTCTTGGCAAGGCTTTCACAGGGCAATTTCCGAGGTCACAGTCCCAGCCAACCCCCTGACCAGAACGGCCATATCCCGTATTAGCCCCGTATTATCCCCGTCCTCGAACGTGAATGAGGTTCACCTGGCATATTCTAAGATCACAAGCTTTTGACATGCTGGAATTGGCTGGCATTTATGAGGTAACATAAGGCACATAAGGATGGAGGTCAACAGGAGCCCCCTGAGCAAGCATGTTGAATGTTCGACTCGTACCTGTCGCTATATACTTCAAATCTCTGTCACCCTTCTCCTGTTTAAACCCTGAAAAATCATTCTCTTCCTTCCCGACGCAAGATAACGCCACCCCTCAGTTACAAAAAGTCTTGAGAGTATGAAAAGTCCGGACGTCGTAGCAGGTCCCAGGGTACACCTGCATCTCGGTACCACTGCAATCCGTGTCTCCATAGATGAAAGCTAGGTACGAACCTACCATTAGCAGTATTTTTATGGATATGGCCAACAAGAGGTACTCACTGCGACAAGTATCAGCAATGCTCCTGACAGTGAGCGACTGCCCAGGAAGCGAGAAACAGCCTTGGTCGGAGTTGGTCCAGCTGCTCTTTCCATCGGTGTTGCACGTCCGGGTGTCGGACCAGGTGTCGAAGACCACGGCTGGGTCTACGAGCTTTGATCGAGCACGGATACTGGAGTCTGTGTTGATCACTGCGCCCAGGATGGGACTTGAGAGGAAGAAGAGAGCGGCGAGGTTGAGGGCGATCATTGTGACTGTGCAAAAAGGCTCGGGATATAAGTAATTGGCTGTGGTTGTTGAAGGGGAAGATGATGCGGTTATGGGCTGAATCTCTAGGTGGGGGGAAGGGGGTTTTATCCTTTGATATCTAACTGCTCGAAACTGTGTTCTAGCTGTTTGTTAGATTCGAACAAGGTACTCTAAGACATCGTCATCTGGCTACACATGTCACAAACACTCGGGTTTGAACACCACCTCACCACGAACTCAGATTCTTGATGCTTATATCGATATCGACTCGGTGTGACGAGCGCTACGCGGTACTCAGCTCCAGTTTTGTGCAATCATATTGGACTGAGTCACTAAAACATCAGGTTATGCAATTCAAAAGGAAAGAAATAAGACAGAAGCAAAAGTCAAGGGTCTTGTGACACCTTCTCACTGCTGGCTTAGATACACAAAATAACTGGGAATATGTTGTGAACATGAAACCGACATTTATCTCCGCCTGAGCGGTGGGCATATTCTGAGATTGAATATCAAAAGAAACCGCAAAAGATCGTAAACTACATTCTCACGCTAAATGACTGAAAAAGACACAAACTTCTACCTCTTTGTAGTATAAATTCTTCAAATGTACCGACATCCCCCGTTCCTTGCCCAGAATACGCCACTATAACCCGCAGAAAACCCTCACCCCTGAAACACCGGCGGCCCAGGCGGCGTGTACTTGTCAAACGGCACATAAATGTTAAAAAACAACCCCGGATCATCATACGTATACCCCCTATTAAAGTCAAAATCCTGGTCAGGCACCGCCTCCCCCCCGCCCGTAACCTCGACCTGAACACAGCTAGGGTAGCTCTCTGGCCCCCTCGTGTTGTCAACCTTGAAGTTGATATCCGCCATATGCAGCGCCAGCAGCTCCTGCCGAATGAGATACTTCCCCGCCGCCAAACTAGCAGGCAGCTTGAAGTCCGCGCGCCCCTTGTTGGCAATCATCTTGATGGTGGCCCACTCGCCATTCTCAAAGCCCTCCTCCGCAATCTTTGACCAGATGGGCTGAGCACCGTTGCCTTCGGTGAAGGGGGCGATGTAAGTGATGATGGCGCCCTTGTGGGAAGGGTCGAGGATGTCTGTTGGGTCTTCGGGGCGGAAGTGGAACCAGCGGAAGGAGAGGGTGGCTCCTGCTGGGGCGGAGACGAAGTCCGGTGCTGGGGTGCCGCCGTTGGTGTTGCAAACGATGTCGGGGGATTGGAGATCGCGGACGGGGTCGTTGGTTTTGGGGGAGCGGATGTACTTGTTGCGGCCGTCGCCTTGGTCTTGGCCGTTGACGAAAACGCCGAACATGGTTGCGTGGGCGGAGATTAGGGGGGTGAATGCCAGTAAGGCGGCGAGTGTTGAGGTGCTGAAAAGCATTTTGGGCAGAATTGCTGTGATGTTGAAAAGGAACGGCTGGCGCAAGCGCTTTGACTAGAAAAGGAATGACTGTCTGTATTGCCACAACAAACGGATCTGATGAGTTGGGATGAATGAATGCTGGGATAATAATCGTGCGTGCACAAGAGAACCTTCTTATATCTCCAGGATTCAATCATGGACTGTCAGTCGGTAAAGAATCCATGGTGACCTATAGGTCAATACGGCCAGGACATCAAGGCCTCGGGAGCACAATGAGGTCAGCAATGCGGCGAACTGCTGAGAAAACATTCGTCCAGTGCTTGGGTGGGTCAAACATGGTCCTTGTAGAAGGCAAGGATGCAAGGTGTCTAGCAGCATCATTGGTTAACTTTTTTGTCTTTTAGGAAAAGACCATTAGTTGGCGCCCATCTGGCCTGTCTGTGTTTCAGGGGATAGTTCAGACGAGGTCACGCTTTGTGGGGATATCGCCGGTGTCCCGGCAAGCTGGGCGGGATGCTGGGCCGCTCGCTGTGCCGTTGGCTTTGCGATGTGTTGAATAAGGCCCTATGAAACATGGCCAAGGTGCTCGCTGGTAATGGTGTGCTGCAAGGGGTGAAGGTTCAAAAGGCGCAGCTATGGCCAGATTCCCGACCAACAACCTTGATGGAGGTCAGAACTTAGATGCGCCAATCTCCCCAACGGCTAAATTGATGAGACTAGGGTCTTTTTGAACTTTGATAACGTCGTGTTGCAAGTTTTCAATTTCTGTGTCAATCTGAAATAGTCGCTGAATGAATTGATAGGGTTGAATGAGAGCGAGAAAGCGATGTTTGACTAAACTTGCCCTTGACCATACACGCGATACTTTAGGAGCAGTTTTTGAACAGTTAGGAACGCAAACGGTTCGAGGCTTGCAATCGGCCTCCTTATCAATGGATATTCGGACTCGATCATTTGGACAATCGTCAACTGTTTGTTCCCACTCAGGGGCCCCCTTTTCTTGGACGTACTCCGCCATGAGCACCATGCGGCCCGGGTTCCCGCAACAGTGTGGAGAAATAACAAACACCAAACCGGCAACTCCGCCACAGTCGGCGCACCTCGGCCCCGCCATCCGATAGCCACGTTTTAGAACCGAACTAATACCGCCCAAACACAACCCCGCGTTTATTCAAGCCACCATATGAGATCATAAAACGGTGAATACATTCACACTTATAACTTAAAATCAGTTGGAAGATCTCACTATTCTTTTCTCACCAAGTCTATCTCCAACCCACCATAATAATGTCCACCCCCGTCCCCCCAGGCCACCCCGACTTCGACCCCGCCGAAAACAAACGGCGCATGGAAGCCGGCGAGCTCTACTACGCCTTCCACCCCGACATCTCCAGCGCCCGCAGAAAATGCATCGCCGCCTGCAACGACTTCAACGCCGTAGGCTCCCGCGCTGACTTCACCCGGCGGCAAATGGTTGAGCTGTGGAAAAAGTAGTCCTCCCCCACTCCCCTTTCTCACCCTGATACTGGCTCACCCCATAGAATCATCTGTGACGACACACCCAACCCCCCCGTCCTCGCAGACCCCAAACAGGACGAAGCCCAGTTCACCCTCGCCTACCCCTACATTGACGGCCCCATCAAGGTCGACATGGGGTTCAACCTCAAGTTTGGGGAGCAAGTTTACATCAACTACAACTCCACTTGGCTGGATACTTGTACTATCACCGTTGGGTCGAGGACGTTGATTGGACCGAATTGCTCGTTTTATACCGCTACTCACCCGCTTGATCCGTTTCAGAGGAATGGGCTCAAGGGGCCGGAGGCGGGGAAGCCGATTGTGATTGGGGAGGATTGCTGGTTTGGGGGGAGTGTGACTGTTTTGGGGGGTGTGACTATTGGGAGGGGGGTTACTGTTGGGGCGGGGAGTGTGGTGACCAAGGATGTGCCTGATTTTGTTGTTGTGGTTGGTAACCCGGCGAGGATTGTGAGGAGGTTGGATGAGGCGAAGGAAAGGTGGGAGAGGGGCGAAAGGATCGGGGAGAGTGCGTAAGGTGGTGATGGTTGGTTGGAAAGCGAAGTTGGAGTATAGCGTTGGAGTTGGAAGCTGCATGTGGATAGACCTTAGATAGAGGTATGTTTTGGTTTGGACATGATTGTTGCGATCACGGCTTTTTTGGTTTCTTCCAGGGGACAGACCAAGCCGACTTTGACTTGGGCTCCGTAGTTTTGGTCTCGTCGGTCTTCTTTGCTTCCTCCATTTTCCTCACTACTTCCTGCTGGAACACCATCCACTTCGCTTCCATATCCTGCTGGCTGATCTCCGGCTTACCCCCGAGAGGGGCAGTATCAGCATCTTCCTGACCGTTGTACTGACCATCCTTCACGTTAAGAACCTGACACAGGGATTCCGCCTTGCCAACCAGCCATTTTCCATGTACCATGCCGTTTCTCCAGTGATCTGGCAATGCAGCAAAGCCCAGATAGGCTCCAAGCAACGCTCCGGCAAAGCAGGCATTTGTGTCGGCATCTCCACCCTTCATAACCAGCTCCGTGATCAGCTCCTCAAAAAGCCTTGATCGGTCGAGCACCCCACGGTTTCTGTCCATGGCCATCCTAAGCAACACCACCCCCGCCCGCCAACGTTCTTATAGACAAAGGGAATGTAATGGGGATGATGGAAGGTGAAGGGTTGGATGGGATGTTTTGGATGAGAAAGGGTGGAGAAGTGGTGGGAATGGAGGGGGTTATGGTGTTGGGTGGTGGGTAGTAGAGTGTGATAGGAGGTGGTGGGGGTGTGAATGAGGGGATGAATATGGTGTGGGGTGTTGAGGTGTGGGGTTATGAAGTGGGTTTAGGAAGGGAGTGGGGAGAAGTTGAATGAAGGAGAGAGGTATTTATTAAAATTTGTTTATAGGTGATAAATGTTGTTGGGGGAAGTGAAAAAGAATTTTTTTTTGATGATGAGAAAAGTTTAAGAAAAAAAAAAAAATTTTTTGTTAAGAAAATTAGAATTTTTTTAAAAAATATTTTTTTTGAAA